TTCCTTTCATAAAATCACAAACATCTTGGATTTGGCTCAATTCTCTTTCCACTTCTAGTGAAAGTTATACTGGGTACAAATCAATAACAATATTAACTTGACGAGGAATATTATCATTCGAATCAGACTCATTAGAATAAACGACGTCTCTTTTTGTGCGAGGACAGTAAGATTCATTTGCTTTAAGAAGTATATCTTCTCCCATTAAATGAAGTAAGATCTTTGTAAATGATGACTCAAGTTGTGGTTCAATCGAAAGCACTTGTAATGTCATTTTCCGCGTTTAACCGGTTTCTATATTTAGTTTTCATTGCTGCATACGATGAGAATGTTTTCTCGCACTGATAGGTAGACGGAAATCTTATTAGAGCTTTCAATTCAAATTTGCTTTTCACCTAAAAGTTCGATGATATATCAATCAGCCGTTCTTTTTCTTTTGATGATAGGGTTGCCACTAGGGCTGGGCATTTCGATTCGAATCGAATAGTGAATTATTCGAATCGGTTCAGAGCAAAATTTCGAATCGCCGCTTTTTTTCTGTGGTTAAGGACTCTAGTTGAATTCCTCAATTTTTTTATTGAAGCCATATTTTTTCAACGCAATTCTGACATATGACTATTTTCTGTAGTGAGATATTGATAAAACGTGTTTCTCATTGTGTGTGGACACTCAGCAATCCGTCTGAGATGTATTCTATGTTTTTAGTATTTCATTTGTTGACAGGACCAATTACACTAAAAAGTCGCATACAATTAAGTATATCCCAAGTATTCGAGATTCGATTCGAAAAAAATATTCGTTTCGATTCTGAAATCATCAGGTATTCGAAAATGCCCAGCCCTAGCTGCCACGTTAGGAAAAGCTTGAAATGGGTTCTGAATCCAAGACTTTTATATATTCCAGCAAACCAAGCTGGTTTGAAAAAAAGATATTCACATTCACAATTTCCAAACTATTTGTGTTTTTCTTCAAGGACACATTCCTTCCATAGATTTATTTTCCGTTGAAGTGCAAGTATGACGATAGTCACTTTCGAGGATGAGCTATACGCGCTTTTCATATGGAACGCAGAGCAGCCACGTGGCTGCCAATTTGAGCTTTGAAATGTTACTTCGTTTCCTTGTAACACATCAATCTTTGAATAGAGTCACTGTCTGCTAACTCAATAGCAAACATGTACCTTTGATCAGATAAGTAACAAAAACTTTTTGTGAGTTTCTTCTATATCTTCACACAGCAATTTGAAAATTCTGAAATTAGGTGGTCTAGCACTCCAACTTTATTAAATTTAACAATTCCTGTCACATCTACCATCACTTCAGCTAAATCAAAAGGCATCCGCTTTGCTGCCAGGGCATGTCGATGCAAAAAGCAGTCAATGGACGAGTTTTTACTTTTTATGTGTGCCACCATCGCTGCAGCACCATCTGTACACACACTTGAACATTTTTTCCATGATATATCATGATTCTCAAAAAAAGATCAATTAATTAATTTTTTTTTGACAATACTCTGCCATGTCGCCAATACGCTTGGAAACTGTACTGTTTGAAAGAGGTACAGCCTCTATGCTACGAACAAAATTTTAGCATATCATACTTTCAACTAAATCTTTTGCACACTGCTTTATTAAGTTTTCAGCTTTTGTGTGAGCTTCTCATTCTTATGCTATCCGGAGCCAAAATTTTTGAGAAAATTTTCAAGTTAAGTTGCTCAACGTGGCAACCCTTTCATTAGGAGAAAAAGAACATCTGATTGATAAATCATCGAACTTTGAATTCAAAAGCAAGTTTGAATTGAAAGCTCAAGAAAGGCATTACAATATATTTTGCGCTCTGATAAGGTGTGTACAATAAATAATACGGGAGTGTGGACGCGCAGATAGGGCCATCAATCCACTATACTCCGTAGACTTCTTCGTGTGCGCTGGGTGGACAAACGAATGAGTGTTGGAGAAGATTGGAAAATGCCGAATACTGCTGGGCGAGATCAAGGACGAAAAATTATGATTTTTGAACATGTGGCCAAAACAGATGGCTTTACAAAAGATCTGCTTTTTGGCACAACCCCTGGCGCAAAGGACATGGAAGACCAAAAACAAGAATGCCGCAGACAACTTGACATGCATGACTGAGTTGCTCAGAATGACACAGGACTGGATTTAATGGAGACGATTTTAGAGAGGGCCATGGTTGTTCAGTGATGACTATTCCATCAAAGAGAGAGATGACATGAACCAAGCGAAGACATTGACTAACATGTGTGAATGATGATCAATCAGTTGCCAGATGCTTCCAACCGAAAATAGCCACCAAAGTTAATCATTGCTGATTTATCAAGTTTTTCTGTGTATAAACAGAATTAAAATACTAAACCTTTCTTAAAATAGGGTTAAAACAAACTATAAATACTATAAAGTAATTGAGTTGCCACATTTCAATGTTACCGTTGTCGAACTTTCTGCCGTTATTTATTCTTTGGACAGTTACAAAATTAGCTATATCGAAATGGAATATATTTCTGGAACTTGGATTGGCAAACTTTTTACAGTATGAGGCCATCTGTGCTTAACAACTTTAATCGGTTCTTGCAGTGTTTGATCAGTTTTGTTTTTTTCAACCAGTTCACGAGCTCTTGGTGGGGGAATAGAAACAATTGGGGACATTCATAACTTTTGACCTGTTGAGACTTCCGCATTCGCCGATGCAAAAAGAGACGACGCCTGCGATTTCTTGCTCTGAAGGTGAACGCGTCCAGGCCTGACTTGCAATATTCTTGTGAATAAAACGCAATGTAATGGTGTTTCGTTGCTGGCTTATTATGGTGTTATAGTTCTTTTCAAAACTATAAAAGTAATTTTATAAAAGGAAACTTCAAAAGTGAGGCTGATGATCTAAAATGAGGAATTCGGTCCGAATCAAATACTCGAAGGGTCCGGATTTGGTCGGCCAGTTGGGTAGCCATGGACTAGGCTAAACTTTTCTACCATTACATTTAAATGATAGGCTGTTGAATGTTTTGAATCAAAAAGATGGTTTAGGACATATACCCCGGTTCATTAGCGTCAACTCGCGAAACCACTCCTAGAAAAAGGCACTAAAATTTTGCAATGATAGAGTATAGGAAGAATTTTCTGGGGGTCAAAGGTCGGGGAAACATCCATTGTAGGACTTCGTAGTACACGATATTTTTGAGAGGGTTTTACAGACTTTGCGAGCATATTGTAAGTATTAAAATTAACTAATGCACATCATTGTATAAAAATGAGACTAGTGGAACGTCCATAATAATGGGATAAAAAAAATGAACAAAAAAAATCAGTCCAAGTAAACAAACGGGATGATCTTGTGGTTAACATGTTATAGCGAGTTCCAAACAGCAAATCCCACTTTATTTTCCAACTTGGGTAGACTATGTCGATCGGGAAAAGTGTCATTCCTACAAACATTCTAATCCATAACAAGTGTGAAGCCTTGTTCGTAGTCAAAAAATAAGGTACTCTTGTAGATCAAAACATGTATATTTTATATCGATGCCAAACCAGTGCAGAAAGGCAATGTCGTTCTATATAGAAAATGGGATGGGCTTTTCCTCGTTAGTACTTTGGCATTTATTCAACCTAACATGAGTCATTTTTACTTTACACTTTTCCAATATATAATAAAAAGTCATTTTATGAAGTGGTTTGACATGTATCTTTCGGTGCGTCATTATACCTCGTACAAACTGCCGTTATTCAATACATTTCTTAACTAAACAACAAGTTTGTTAAGCGTCAACAGCTACAGTAATTTGTGCCTTTGCTCGTCAAAGCTGACGGTCACTACTTCTCCTTGATTGCTATTAAAACATTAACAGCTAATATTTATCAAGTCAAACACGTAAAGAATACGTAGATACATAAAGCACGTGTCTTCACTATATGATATGTTAAATATTACTGCTGTATGAGAGGTAATCATTTAGTGTAATTAATGCTGTAAAGGGTAAACGAATAAAAAATATTCTTTTTTACTTTTCATGCGTGTCATCTTTAATGAAGTTTTTTAAAACGACAAAGCTTAGATATACGCCACCACTATTCCGTAAACGATAAACCTAAAATCGAATACAAACATTATTTTGCAGGATCAGTATATTTTCTAATATCCCACAAGCAAATTAGTGATTAAAAAAACTAGACCGTGGAAATTTTGCTCCTCTAATGAAGTTGCGCATATGGCATCGATCATACATCTCACAGCAGCCTCTATTCGTTAATGTTAATGTCTTAATACATTGTTAAAAAGTCTTCAATCACACGTAGTTAGGAACACACTGCTCTAATCAAGTGGGTAAAACATTATTTCATGTTTTTAGTACGACGCAATATAAACCCTATTATATAAAAAAAATTATTATCAATTATCTAAATTTCCACGTTTTTATTTATTTCCGAAAACACACGATTTTTTCAGGTAGTCTTTCAAGTAATTTAGAAAGCTGGTTACTCTTTTATTGCGTTTGCTATGTAAGTGCCACGCAACCTTATGTCTGTAAGTTATACGATCACAATCCCGCAAGTATTCAGATAATACAAATTTTTGCGTTTATTTTATTCCAGCCAAATTTGTGAAAAAATACAATTTATAATTTACTGATTTATTGCAAATCGTAAATTAAAATTAGAGGAAATGTGTTGGTGCTCTTCGCCCACCTGCAAACGAAAGCTGCACAAATAGCATCGACGTAATGTGTTCTCCTCTGTAATGTACGTCACATGGCAAAAGACTGACTATGTTTCTCATATTAGCTAGAGTAGCCAATGTTTGCCAATCGTAAACACGAGTTTGTCGAACATGACTGTATGACGACCAACTCAGCGATCGTCGCAGATTTTCTATAATTTCCTATATATATATGTTTAAACACTATTATCGGTCCACACAGTCAACAACGATAGTCTGTTGTACAGTGCCTAGCAGCGACACAAACACATTTGTGGTATAAATAGTGCCAACAGTGATGCGATACCCATAACAGTAAAAGCTTCCTGTACTCTTGTCCTGTGTTACTGAAGAAAATTGTGCTAATGAAACAAGGCTGGACAAAAGTTTTGGCGACATATCAGTGCGCTGAAGAAATTCATTTAAACAACGATAGAAAATTTCAAGGTAATTTTGATAGAAAATTGGTTATTAATTCCATTTTCCTTTTTTGTTTTATGGTTAAATAAATAGATTTCAGGATTTATTTTACATTCTATACAATTTTTTTTATTATCTAGAAAGTCTTAAAGAAAAGCGAAATACTTCAAAGCCAAAAATGTTAAGAATCGCAGATCCCAGAGATCTGGCAGACAACAGAAGGCGACGGAAAGAAATTGCAACAAGAACGTCCATCAAAGTATCTGATCCTCGAGACAATAAAGCTTTCCACAATTCTAGTCGTACATCTTCAAAATTGCCGAAAACCACTTCACCAAAGTTTGAGTCAACAGCTACCGGGTGCTCTTTGCCTCCACCTGATACAAAAAGAAGTTTCAATGTGCAATCTAGAAAGAGAGCCATAACTTTCTCAGAATATGTCGTGGTTCATAGATATTAAAATTCTCAGTTTGTGAAAGAAAATTCGTTATGCAAAAATGATTTCATCAATTGAACTTTTATTTTACAATAACTCATCATCATTATTATCATTTTTGCAGTAAGTTGGGGAAAACACCCGAATGACCTTTATATATTCATTTATTGCAATTTGTTTCTTTATTCCACCTAGCTCAGGGGCTGTCTTATCCCTTCAGTCATATATTTATTGTTTTTGTATATTTTTAAATTATTTTATGCTCTTTTAATTTTATGAATTAAATGAAGTGAAACACTTAAAGATGCAATATAATTCTTTTATGGCAGTATATATAGGGTATAGGAGTGCTGATCGAAGAGGGTCTTCTGCAGAAGTTTTATTGCTAAAGTCATTTATTGTGATTCTTCATATTTTGTTATTTAAAATTCGATTACCTTTGGATGAGACTATTTCCGGAAAAATTTGTAAATAATGATAGTAGAAATCAATCAAGGGTTTTAGAAAAGTATTCAGTAAAATAATATATATCACATATATATGGAAAATTAGATATTTCGAATAGATACACACCGAATGGATAAATTTTTGATTCAATCGCTCAGATCAAATTTCGTCACTTGAGGTAGACAATCCAGTATGTAAATATAAAATGAAGATTGCTGGGGTTATCAGGCAATTCCAATACTTTCATTTCAATACACGAAGTCGAAATGAGTCTGAAGGCTTCCCAAAAAACAGGAGTAAGTGAAGTAATATATTGAAGTTCTCAGTGAAATCAAATCTCAAAACTTGAGATGAAATTGGTTTCCGTTCCTAACCGCAGAACATCTCAAAGTCATTTATTCAGTGATTGAAAAGAAGGCGATTTATGTCTCAATAACAACAACGACTAAAAAACCCAAATAATGGCGAAATGCTCGTAGGTGAATCCATTCCACTCCACAAAATAGCAGACAGGATATTGGAGCAAAAACATTTCGTGTTTGAGTGTGACTCATGTTTCTCTCAGTATAATAATATTGTTTGAATTTGTTTAGGAATAATTCGTTTTCATGAAATCATGATTCATCACACTTGACATGACTTAATTAACAAATCGTTTCTGGGGTGTGTGGTAGTAGTTTCGATGACGTCACAATACGCCATCATTTCCTAGCGTTTACAGCCTTTCATTTCTACTCTGATTCGGAATTCAATTCGAAAATCAATATATTCGGAACACCATTCGTTAAGCAGCAACCAAACATCCTATGATTTCATGCTACTATTATTTCATTATTATTATTAAAAATCCGATTGTTTTTGTTATAAGAGGAATTTCATAAAATTAAAATAAACTTTTCCCTCAAGCTGGAGGAATAAATAAGGATTGTTCTGAGAGATTTTAGACTGATTAATCTGAATTGTAGATTGAAACTAGCATCATTTAGATTATATTGTTAAATGTATTGGTGCTAATACTCTTTAAAAATTGTTTGTGGTACGAATGAATTATCTATCCATCATATGTTGAATTAGCACTAGATCTTGACATTTGAAGTTTTCTTTGCTCTTACTCAGAGTCTGAGTACAGTATATGACTAATATAAGTGGTGAAGTTTATGCCTTTCAACTTTTATTATAGTTTTTTTATTTATTATTTTATGGCATCACCATTCCTAAATGAAGCTTACTCACAGGTCAATGTAAAATAGATTGTGACCTACTTATATTATAATCAAAGAAAATTATTTCCAATTATTATGATTCGGTTCATAAAGAAATTTTTCGTTTGAATGTCCGTACCTATAGCAGTTAACGCCGGTGGGGCAAATTTTCTATTAGTTTACAATTTTTATTGTCTCAAATGGATTAAAACACGTAGAATATTCCCTTTTTTACCGCTGGTAAAGGGCAAATCTTTGTGGCGCCGGTAATGATAGATAGATGGTTTTCTCGTTTATATTGCTCTCTTGTTATTTCGTGGTATCTTATCAATTTGTTAACCATTTTTGTACAGGATCGTATAAAGACAGTCTTAATCGATCCATGTCAAATAATGTGCTTATTAGACTATTGCGATGTCAAATGTTTTGCCAAATAAATTTTTGCCTTGTACACGTCACCTGGTTACGGTTTATTTTGTCGCATCACTCTGATGTTTTCTCATCTATATTTAGATGGGGTTTTTTCTCCTTACGCTTTTGACTTGTCGGTAGACTCTGTCCGGTCTGTAATTGTTTGTTATCCGGTCTAGCTCAAAACAATGTTGTTGATTAATCGAAAACTTTTAAAGAATTTTATCACTTCTACAAATAACTTCAACTTATCTTAACTTCTAAAAGGTAAGAGGCTGTCTACTTATAATATATATTAGCCTTTAAAGGGAAACGAAGCAATGCTTTTCTGTTTTGAAACCTATCTGTAGATAGCCTTTCTCTAACTAACACAATATAGCTTCGCAATGGTATGTATTGGGAGGTCATGATTACAAAAAGAATCTTTATATGGTATATATTGTCATGTATCCAAGATTAGCTACCGGTACATCATATGGTAGTTCGATAAACATGCCGGACAGCAGACGTATACCGTAGCATTCTGCATTTACGTAACAATATTTACAAGTTGTAAAATATGAGTTCGGCGAACGTGACAATCTGACGAATTTAGTTGTCACAATTGGCCCACCCACTTTCTCATTTCCTGAATGTCTAAACATTGTTAGCGTCTGAACAGTCAACATTGTTAGTTACCAATGTTTTCACTCCTACCTAGCGACCACAAATAAGTTTTTTATATAAATGACGCTGGAATGCACAAAACTTTATTATCAGTATATGAGGGGGGAAAACTGGAACTGAAAATTTCTATCAAACAAGTCAGTGCTGAAGAAATTTGCTAGCAAAACATTTTGTGCTAAAAAAAATTCAAGCAATCTCGGAGATGAATGCTACAGGTAACCTATTAGTAATAATACTATAGCCGACTACTCTTGCTTGGTTTCGAAACAATTTATACAAAGCTGAGCATCGATAAAATTTCATTGTTCGCCCAAATCTAAATAACGAACATTCACTGGGAAGCATTGAGTTTAGTAATTAAGCAACAGTTGTGCATTAATTGTTCAAAATAAACATATACAAATGAATTATTTGAAATGGTGAATTCATTTAATATTAAAAAAATGGAACGAGTGCTTCAAGGATAGAAAAGTAGATTTCGTTGTGATATTTATGAATCTGAAATAAGGCAACTGAAGCCGCATTTTGTAATGGTCAAGTTTTTGTTCGTCATTTTAATATTGTAAAATATTAAATTAGACATTTAGTAATTATTACCCTAATTAAGTGTGCTGTGTAGGGCAGACGGGTTAAAACAATGGTATTTGAGCATTATTCATAGTACACATTATTTCAGATTGAAAAAGAAATATATCACATAATATGAAATTGATGTTTGGTATCCAGATGCATTAATTGGTTCAGATTCATTGTGCACCGACGCTAGTAATCTCGGTGTTCAATTAGAAAACTTATAGGCCGGGATGTGCAATTTCAATTTAATATTAATATCGTGACATTCGAATATCGTTTTTCGTGTTTAAAAGAATAACGAATATCGCCCACGCATTCTAGCGCCCCCCGTCCTACGTTTTAATTTAAAGCATTTTTAAAATATTTTATTTTGTGTCTAATCGTAATCGTCGCGGCAATAAATTACAGTCAAAATAATAGGATATCAATCAGCGCCGACTAGAAGTACCTATAATACGTCGAGAATGTTTTTTATTTTACTATTTTATAATATTTCACAATTACTATCGTATATCTTGAGACAATTTAGGCCGCCACGCCAATAAATCAATGGAGAAATTGTGTTTTTTAACGAAATTAAAAATTACTGAAATCACACTATTTAATACCTGCGTAGGGGAATGATTGTGTTGGATTTAGTTTAACGACGTCGACGGACTAAATGACACTTGCGCTTGACGATAAATAGTCAGAATTTATAGCAGTGCCAAAAAGTGCATGTGCTGTAAAAAAGAACTCCGATTCCACTGTATGATTTAAAACTGGGCGCCTAGTTGCTCATTTTTCTGGGCTGTGTTGATATATTTCTTCATAATTACTATGTATAGTATGTAATATTAAAATGTCAATATAAAAATTTGGCAGCGAAAATAGCCAAATTAGTTGAGCTAGTTTGGCTAGTAAATATTTAAAAACAGGTGAATCCTATTCCCGTTACTACTCGCGGGGGTGGGGATATGCATGGCCCATAGTTCAGGATCTCTCCAGACAAAAAATTAATTAAAAAGTAATATTTTAACTTATCTTTTAAAACATTCTGGATCATATTGAAAAGGTAAATAAATATATCGGAAATATCGGTATTATTTCAGCCGATACCGATATATGATCGATACCGAAAAAATGGCCGATATTGCCGATGATACATCTCTAGTTGCAATACGGGGTGTAAAAATTCGTATTTAAAGGCACTTTATTTGCCGACAATTTGTTTTAGTCTTTCCATTTGCAAAGTTCATATAAGATGAATAAAAATTTAACTTAATTAATCAGATATTTAGGAAACAGGATCTAAAAATTTGTCGAAAACAATTTTTCTTGTCGTTTTATTTTATTCACAGTCTTTCATATGGAATAGGTTAAATTTTAAGTTTATCCTAATTATATATTTTAGAAAATTGTTGTCGACACCACAACGACTCAGCAAAACACCGAATCCTACGAATTGCAGATCCAAGAGATGTAGCGGAAAAAAGAAACAAAACGCCTATGAGTTCATCGCGTAGAGTATTTGACCTTAGAGACAATACTGCTGTCCGTAAACATACGACCTCAAAGTTGCTGCGAACAACCACCAAACAATATAGAACAGAAAAGCATAATCAAACTTCAGATAAAAGAAAGCAATATTGTGATGTTCCAGTAAAAACCACTACGATAACATTTTCAGAATATGTTATTGTTCATCGATATTAGATCCATTCTATTTCCTTCGGAAGTGATATTGTGAACCATTGAGCTTTACGTGCGTATGGATGAAGCGTTTATGAATTTTTTTAAGAAAATGTGCGTGAGAATTTTCTATACACCTTAGCAGATCGGCTTCTCGTGTGGGCGCACTGAGAATGTTGATCAGCACTATTTATTTTGTTTGGTGTTTCAGATAAATGAAATTTCCGGTTCAGGATTATTTTTTGGGGTTCAGGGCAAATTAAGTATCTAAAAATGAGTGCTACTATAGCATGAGTGCTACTGTTATATATCGACTATCTAGAGTGAGATCCACTGCCTCTAACCCCAACGTAATTACAAATTACTTGTTTGTTGCTAAATTAAATGTACAGAAAAACATGTGGTATCCATTAAGCATGGTAAATGCAGCTGTAGACCTCACGATGTGAAGTCACCCAAATATGTGTGAAATAGCAAGAAAATTCAAATTTGAGCGATACCACGTTACCCATATTTGCTTATACATCGCAAAGAACTGGGTTTGATGGAATGTATGCTGGAAACATTCCATCAAACCTTTTTTAATATCTTTTTCAGATTAAATGCATTCTCAGTTTAATTACCAATTCAATTTATTTTTCATATTGCTTCCTTGTTGCTCCCAGTGGTATTTATTTCCATTTTTTTTGTGCTTCATTGCTTCGTTGTTAAGTAAAAAATTAAACCTGGGTATGCTAGAGATATCAATTTTTTTCTTATACCAGTTAATTTTTCACACTGGTGGTCGACGTTTGGAACAACTATAAACGAGATTTAGAATTTTAAAGAACATCATCTTCGTATAAAAATCGTGAGAGTTGAATGAAATCATTACTCGAGGCTGTAAGCTGTATAAAAACAATCATCATATTGGTAGATTAGTCATTGAGCTTCAATGACATATTGAGAATGATTAGGTATGTTTAATAGTTATTGCGCTTTCACTGGTTGTTTATTTATATATACATTAAGTATCGATTTGGTCCCCAATTATTGTTGTACCAAATAGGTTCTAGTATTGTTCAATAATATATAGTATCACCGTAACGCGATCAGTCTATGACTCAAAAATATTTTGTGGTATTGACCACTTTTTGTGTACAGCTGCTCTAAAATTCAAACCTGCTTCAAAGAGGGCATTCAAGCGTCGATTAGTACTATATTACCATTCCTACACCTACCTGTAAAATTTTACTGTAATTAATGATTTTTATCAGTACTTGACGTTTTTATCCTGCGTACCCCGCAGTATGAACTGAGTTCATAAACCACAAATATCCGTATTGATGTACTGTGACGTCATCGAAACCACGAGCAAACACCCAAAGTGTTGATATACTTACCGCGTATGCTCATACTATGAATCATGCTGGACGATGAAACAACAGCTTCTATCTATGATCAAACAATAATATTTGATTTATCGTATAGCGTAGCACAATAATAATCGGAATAAACAACTGCAGGAAAAAAACAATCAGTCTTTGTTATACCATAGCTGGACTTTAAAATAGTCAACACGACATCCTACGGTTTCGCATACTTGCTCGGGCAATGATGCCGAAAACTTAGAAAGCTGTAATGTAAATAATGCGCGTTTTAGTAGTGCGGTATGTAACCAGATTTTGATCGCCGTACGCGAATTATGCTTTAAAATAACATAAGATTCGCAAACATTTAACAGTACAAACAATTTTGTTTAACATACCCATTGGTAGTTTTCAACCAATCATGTGAAGTTTTGGCGTTGCGTCATAAAGCCGATGAAGTTACGTCGGTCCATGTTTGACAATTATACTAATTAAATTCGTCATATTAAAATATAAGTAACATTACGATTTTTATAGCGAGCACATACCAGTTATCATACTAAATTTTAGGTGAGTAACTGGTAAAAAGTCTTTGAAAAAGCGCGAAATGTGAAACTCGCCAGTTCGGCGTTCTGAGAACTTTGAGTTAGAACGACTTTGCCGCCGGCGAACATTTCAGGTGAATGAGAAAGGAAATGCGTAAACAAAATAATTACAATAAATTGGTAATATTATTACATGAAACGTGTTTCTCTATACTTGAACAAATTTGTTTCAGGAAAATAGTACAAGTACGATTGTCGTTTACTACTTGTAGCTAGAATAGATTATACTTTTCCGGAAATGGTTTGCGTTACACAAGCCCAACTCGTGGGAATCTGCCATATTGAAAAGGTTAATTTATTCCTATCTCCAAGCGTATACCTTCAACGTAACCAACCCTGGGATAATGGTGTATTGGTATTGTGGACATGCTATCGTACAATACACACGTTGTTTTTTAATCGAGAGGCTTAAACTACGCCACAAAATCTGATTTTCTGATTAATAAACTGCGCTATCGAAAATAGTCTTGACTAAGTGTGAGAGTAGATTGGCTACTATTTTCCGTGGATAAATGAACACATAATTTTTCTATGAATTGGACCTTAAAATTGTTCAAATCGCGAGTTCTTCACATCGTACGCGCGTCATAGACAAGATAATGTATCATATTTTCACTCGCTGCGTTACCAGAGAACAAAAATACAGGCTACTGACGTAAACCACCAGACACCGACTCTTTTCGCCCGGAAGCTCACGAAATATCAGCGAACAAAACCGCCAGAATAAGATGAGAAGTGATGTAGTACATATAAATATGTGCGGTGGGCAAACAAATACAGAAACCTATCAATTCTAAAGCAAAATCACATTGCCAAATTTTGATTTCTTTTGCATAAAAACGGTTTATAATTTAAGACTTCTAGCGCCTCTTATATAAATTTTCCTCAGTTACAAATATTTTGAAATTTTGTGACAGGATGGCACGCCCCTAGAAGTCAATATTTAATCGCACTGAATATAAATTTAATTGAGCTGTTTTCATTCAGCAGACCCAAAGTAAATATCCCTTGCGAGCAAAATAAAGTTACAACAATTCGCTTTGTGTGCAACCGATCAAGGTATTAAAACCATGGAAAGATCTTAATAAACCTACATCGATCATATTCGAAAGCATATTTACCGAAACCCAAAACCATCCATTATGTTTCTGCAAATTACAGTCTTGTTTTTTTGGCATGGGTCCAGTGTGGACACGCGTTGAAAGCGCATTATAGTCTTTGTCCGTGGGTGAACATGTAACACCATGATAGGAATGAGCGTTTTAAGCTTCGGGCAACATAACGTCACTACTCTTTGTTAAACAGTCTTTCGTTGTTTTCAGACAGACGCGAACGCAATATGAGCCAAGCCGCATTATAAGCAGGAACGACGCCCGATGCTTTCATAATCGTCTCTACATGTTTTGACAGTGCGTTCAGTTCGATCAGCTAGGCCGTAACAGTTACCAAACGAAAAAAGTTTGCCAGCAGGCTAGCGAGCATCGACACTTATAAGAAAGTTGTTGACCTGCGTCAGCATTAATTCAGTACCAGTTTGGATATACAGTACTATACCAGCGCGTTATTATCTACAACAATGGTGGATATCTTTTCAGCAATGGGAATTTGGCGTTTTCATAACAGACCATCCTTCGGCGGTAAGTTCGTATCAGTTTTGTATATATACTATATTAGAGAATAGCCCAATGAAAGGTGAATTGCGTGGTGTTGCCCAGAACATGGGCATTGAAGATATCAGTGGTTAAAAATTCAAAAGTGGGTCAAAAGTGTAACATCATCGGTATTAAAAAAAAATTCATACACTTTGGTATCATACTTGTGTAGGCATATATATATATATATATATATATATATATGTGATATTGCCTGTTCGAAGTCGTCTTGACGTTTTTTTTTTTGTCGTTGAACACTTTGTATGTTTGCAATCCTTCGGCGAAGACGCGCTTAAATAAATGTAATTGTGCAAATAACTTTGCAAAAAATCGCTTTATAGTCATTATGAAATAATACGCAATTTTAAAATGCACACCAACATATTGATCTCACGTCGACGTTTGATTAATTCCTTCGAATGAGAAAACCTAAATTTAGTTAGCTACTGCACGTTTCGGTATTTCTATGTAGGGGAAAATGATATTTTGAAGTGATAAAATTTTTGATCAATATACCATCGACCTTTCCCATCTGAAGCTGTCTAAGGCCAGGCGGGTTTGGAACTGGTCTACAATTTGAAATAAACGGATTCAATTTGGATTGTGGTTCAGAAATTGCTGATGCTGTGATTGTCAGCGTAATTTGAGCAAGTTTATGAAACATTTAATTCTTATTCCGCGGGAATATTCGGCGTGCTGTTGTCTATGAATCCATCTGATTGATAGCAAACAGTGTCATCTGATTAACCAAAATGTGCTGCCTTAGGGAGGGTTGGATTAGTTGATTTGACACGATGTAATTCACAACAATACGTAACCTATCCGCTCATATTCCTAGCACTGATATCGTTGCTGCAGCGAATCATGTACGCGTTTTCGTGGTATGAACTACGAGTTGGCACGGGCTTGTATTTTTGCTTTCGGACGATTTTAAATGTAACATTCCAAACTTTTTTTAAAACCTATCTTATTAATAACAATAACAACGCTATTTAACATAAACTTTTGAGTGAAAATGGTTTGAGCATACTTTAGGATATAATACCAATACGGCTATAGGCACAAGTTAAAATTTTTGTACCAAATTTAGTGAAAAAGTTGTGTTTATGCTAATTTTCAGTGTGACTTTTTGACAACATACCTAATTGTTGTGTTTTTAATTTAATTTTTCCCATGTTCAGACTTGCCGTGGTTTCGCGCACATTTCTTTTTTTTTCTTCAAAAATCTACTAGTAATAAAACAATGTTAGACAACCATGTTTTGCATATTTCTCTGTATGTTCTGAGTTATTTATTATTCATATGTCTCCCGTTCCATTGCAGACAAATATTCAAGCAAATCAAAAAGAAAAAAGTCAAAATCCTTGAAGAGTCGAGAAAAACCGAAGGAAGTACAATTGTCACCTAAAGTGCCACGAATACGAAGATTATCCGAAGTTTCTGATGACGAAAACGATGACCCTACACCGGTCAGCGAGAGCCATGAAACTATAAAGGAATGGCATGATGACGGAGAAGGCTGTTGCGAACCCCAACCCTCATCACAGAGTGGTAGAAAAAGAGTCATTTCCTTCTCAGACTACGTAACTGTACATCGATACATATGACACTTACATTATGATGAACTGCACTTTGTCACGTAGCAGAAGCAATGACGCAAATTGCTGCGTGTGCGAGATTTGCACGAAGCAAACGTCAATTGGAATGCAACAAGCGAAATGAGCAAACGTCGCACGAATAACATTCATCTTTTAACGTGTATTGAGTGTCATATCCAAATACTATTGCATACTATACACACCAAAGTTGAGAAAAGAACGAGGAAATGAACGTTAATGAAATACAACATATTTGAAGGCATGAAATGGATATATTTTACTTCAGAAAACAAATTCTTTTTCTAGTTTTGTGCAACACACTGAACGGTAAAGTAGATGAGACTCTTCTTATAACCTACTTATCATCGCTAAGCGGTCTACGACGACAGGGCGAACATATCTGCAGGGCGTAATCCAATTACAAAACCCTTTATTATCGCAAGCCAATCAAAGCTTCAGAACCTGGCAGCGCAAAATTGTAAATTGGATGTTCGAAGTCTAGATTTAATCGAATGGATATTTTAAATGGTTATAGAGAATATTGCGGCCTTACACATCTATAGTTTCACACTACATTTTTGGAGGATAATAACGCATAAGTATCAAAAAAGCAGTTTTATTACATCTACAATACATTATGCAAGTATCCGAAGTAAAAATTAGCTTAGACTTTCATATAATTGCATGCCCATGACGGTTGGCGTTTTGAATTGCTTTTTATTCACATTTGTTTTCCCGTATTTCGAAGAGGAGATCTGTTGGTTAAGTGCTACATGTACCATCATCTCACTGCTCTTTCTTACTCGCTATGTTATTGTTGTTAGAACTTAGAACATATACTCTATTCTATAATATTTTAAATTTACATCAGAGTATTGCTTTGGAAGTTGTGCAATATTAATTATGATATTTTGGTAAATCTTTAATTACGTTTAAACTGGAATAATTTATTGTTTTTCACTTAATTATTAGTAATATAATATAAAATTATATTTCGTAGCGTTAACAACACATCATTTTTTTTTAAACAGATGCAAGCGTTCAGTTCTCTTGCATTTAAGTCTGTGCATTCATTTAAAAATTGAAACAATTGGAGTAACAGGCCCTTCTTAATCCTGCCTTGCCTACCACCATTCGGAGATAAATTACATAAAATTTTCATTCAAAAATCTTGGCCTGGGAGTTCGAAAGACAACAGGCGTGTTATTCACAAAATTTTTATGTGTCCAGTTACACAACTTTGCTCAAATATTTTAAATATCAGGTTACTAATCTATTTTTAAGTGTTCGTATTCGTATTATTCAGGGTGTCCAAAAAATTTTGCTCGAACCCACAGCAAGAACGATTCAAAATTTCGCCCGATTTTATAGTAATAGCAATTGTAGGTTTAAATAAATTTTATTTTATGATGAATGACATCTACAAGCACAGTAAGAACTATGAATAAACAAAGACAAAGAAATTTCTTCAATTGTTACCACTGCAAAATCGGGCGAAATTTTTGGATATGTATCATTTGCTGAAATTCCTTTTTTTTTCAAATTGTAAATTTAACTTAAATAATTCAGCATAATGAGTGTGTATTCTATGAGTGTGTAAACTTTAAATATACTTTTTTTTCAATAACAGTCAGTACTTCATTCACTCTTCATGGATCTGTGTATTTTATTAGCGTCAACTCATAGTATACAAAGAGTCGCAGTTTTGAGGTGTTTGGTATTACTGGAACATCTCTGTGTGAGATTATCTTGGGATATTTACAAGGCTATGAAGTGATTTTCTGTATGACAGTTTAAAATACCTAATCGCAAAATATGAGTCAACTCCAAATCCCGCACCGAACTCCCGAGGAAATTAAATTTGATAACAAAATTTTTGGCACGTGCTAGCTATTTCAATAAACTATTAGGAACGCCTAGTCCAGTGGTTCCCAAACTGGGGTTCGCGGACCGTGAAGCACTTTGAGAGGGTACGCGAAACAAATCTGTAATATGGATAATAGCTGGATAAAACAAAGTTAAGTGCTTGAATTTGAAAATACACATTTGTCGCCTTTTGCTGCTTCGCAATCACCGCTGGAGACACCGATTCTCCACTTTCTGTTTCGATCACGCTGCTCCATTGTGATGTCACAGAGCTGTGGACCTGTGATATCACAGAGAGAGTTCAATTCATGCCACCACAAGTTCACTAACTGCAGAGCTATTGCCGACGCTGCACTTTTGCACGTTTACCAAATATCGAAACAGACTGAATGTCACACATGTCATTAGAGTTGCGCTTTATATTCTTTTGTTCGTTTCACTATACGGCGCATTGATTATTTGTTGTGATCTTTTAATGTTTTGTTTTAGTGCACAAGGCCGGGAATCATTAAAAATATTGCAAGGGGTCCGTCATGGAATTTGGGAACCACTGGCCTAGTCTGTTTTTATTATTTTTTTTTTCGAGTTTCTGTCGAAAAATTTGGGCTTCGATTATTGAATCGAAATCCTGGTTCCGAGGAACTCAAAATTTTGATTCCGTATCCAGACTCTGGGGATGTGGAAATACAGCTGGACTCGAATGAAAACATGCCAGGCTCCAGACTCCGCAGCGCTGTTTTCAATACCACACCAGAATTCTTGTGCTTGCCTTTTGAAACGCGAGATGTCGCTAGTAATCCATTAATAGAGGGCATTTTTTTTTTGGGGGGGGGGGGTCTTTCAAATGTGAGAATCGATTATGTTAAGATTATTTTCAGCGATTGGGACATAGGTAGTCCATAGCTTGCCAATTCCGGTCTTATGGGACGTCAAAATTTTAAAATCTAAGAGAGTTTGATTCAGACGAAGCAAGACTACTTTAGACTATTTGATCAAAGCAAGGTCACTCATTTATCCAGTAAAAGAAACTCACCTCTGAGCAAAATTTAGGGGGACGACTGGAATGGACCTAACGGTACTGAAACAATATATAAATATGGTGGCGTAACAGATGCCAGTTCAGGAGCAGTTCAGATAAAAAAAATAATGATAAAACAGCTATGATATAGTGCATTCTATATAATTGAAGTTTTTGGGAAAAATAGGAACGGAGCTTGTAGGTCCGAAGGGTCCGTGGAAATACTGTGTCTGATATCTGGTCCCAAATAATACGGTGTGCTAGGTTCCTTGCGTTTCAAATAATGATGCTCTGCTTTAGACCAATAAATATATGACTATATTTTATTCAACACAAAGGATATATGAAAATAAGTCCGTTGCTATATTGGAATGAAATAATTGATTTCACATTTTCAGAACTTAAAGTCGTTAAAAAGCTATTATTTTTATTTACTTTTTAAAATTACCCTGAGTCCTATGGGTTCCAATTATATTTTGATTCACGGGAACACGTTTTATGATGTATGGGAACTTATCATTTCCTAGCGCTTGTCTGTTGATCTATTCAGCAAACTACGTGCTCATACCTTACCGGTACCGATTCGCCTTTGTGCCATATTAAAAGACTAATCTCTTGTTGTGACTTGTGATAGTTTATTACTCATCTTCTTGCTTCATATTTAAATATACCATATCGAACGACGAATTTTATTGGATACTCCATATTCCGAATCGATATAAACACGTCTCTATGTGTGTGCCAGTTGTATATCTTGTCTAAGTCCCAATGAAATAACATATATATTTTATAATCTTCAAAAATCAATCATCGACGCTTTATATTTTCATACAGCAATATCGTCCAACTCTATACATACAACCCTGTACAGGGTATTACGTGTTGAATTGTGGGATCAGTTTTTGAAATAGTAAACTCAGTTCCGTAGCAAGATATTTTGATATTTTTTTTTACAAAAATCGTTCAGTATTTTAGGGAATGAAGTATTAGTTCCTGGTAAAGGTGCTCTAATGCTTGTTCACCTGAATCAAAGGGTCTTGATAATAAATGATAAAGGAAAAAGGGAAACAAAAATAGACAAAGCCCGAGTGGAAGGGAAGCTTCGGTTTTTCGTCTCTGGATATAACTTTTTTTAGTCCTCGACATAGCCACGTGATAGCAGGTTAATAATTATCCACTCGGTACTTCTAGAGGATTTCACCACTTTTTTTTAATTAGTTAGGAATTACAGACAAATTGAGTTTACTTCAGCTTTAATAGGCAAAGCATGTTCAGATGTAGGCTATGCTGCCTGCCCTAACGTTTTCGTTTTGACCTTTTTTCAAACTATTTTCATGACGCTATTTTATGGGCAGCGTATAATAACTATGTCCAATTACTGGTTTTATGTATTTCCGACTTCGTCATATTTCTATCGCCCAAGGGTGTGAATTCTGAAAATATTTTTCGAGTCTAATTTGTTATAGAATTTGATATATATTGGAAATAATTTTGAGTTGGTATGAGGATTGATAGTATAAATACGTAAAGGTTGAAAATTAAAAAAAAAAAATTAACGCTAGATTCTAGTGTCTTGTATCAGTTCGTGTGTGTGTCATTACAGCTCTAAAAATTGATAGATATCTTGAACGCCGGTCAATAAATTACTGCTCTAGGTTCCCGCTTCATCGCATTCTGGTCCTGTATGCCACCGTCTCGAACAAACTGAATTTGCTGCATGTCGCCTAAATACAGTTGTAGACCTCATGCTACAGCAACTTGAGGTAAATCTCACGGTCACGATAAGGATGTCAAGGGAATAAGCCACGCCTATCTCAAATATTGTTTTCACGATAATTTTGTGTTCACTGTCATGTTTCAATGAAGAACATGCCTTTCTAGAAAGCGAGCAAACAGTGCATTTAGGCGACATATGGCGATGGACGTAACGTTAGTTCAAGTAAATATATATTATATATTGCTAGAAAGCTTGATGTGCATTACAAATTCCGCAAGTACGTAATTGTATTATTTCATTTAAAACTGCACCATAATTATAGTCGGATATTTAAGAGAATAATTAAATTTGGTTATAAACAGAGTTTCGGTGTTCCAATCGCATTATTTCAAGTGCGGTTTCATATATACCTGTCGCGCTTTGCACACAACTAATAATTTAGGTATTTATGTCTATATTCTTAACCCATATGTGCCGTTGACAAGGTTGCACGGGCAAATAAATTGCGAGGTGGAGACAGAAGTTTAAAAAAAAATTAATGAGGATTTGGGTTACATCATGATCGCAGGGGGGTTTGAAGTGAAAAAATCCAATGCGTTGTGGCTCACAATTAAATATACTCAAAACTGAAAATATAGTGCTATCATCATTAAAACAATTATTTTATTGTGGCATGTTCACTCGGCTTTGCAGGTTTGCCATCCTGAGTCTTGGCAGTGAATTCAATAAGATCGAAAAATATATCTGTCCTTGTTGTTTCCCTTCGAGCCTGATTGAATTTAAAAGCTTGAAATCGTGGCGAAGGTTCTAGATTAAGCTGAAGTACGACGAAATGAATTCACACACCTCTTCTTAATTGCGCGCTCGATAAATTTAGCGAAATCGATAAAGTTCTGATTGAAAAACTCGACCACTCCGTCTGGGGAACGGTGTTAATTGCTTTGGTTTTGCGCCAAATGAACTGTGATTGAAAACAACGGACTCCACATAGACAATGTCATCTTTTTGGAAGATTGTTATGGCATTTTTACGGAAAACTCAATTATAACGTGTGAGTGATTTGAACGGCTTGGACCCATGGGAAATTGAGAGATTCAGATAGCGTTTTGTCAATTAGTTATGGATATTGTGGCGGTTAGATAGCGACCACGCGACATACGATATTCACCGAATAAACACATCGATGTCTATTTTGAGTGGAGCGGGTGTTAGTGCACACGCGATTTGTTGACAGTTACTTTCGCGTTGCATGGCCGCTGTCATCGCTTACACATTCTTCGATAATGACTTACAATTGCAGGAAGAGATGTATAAAAACTCGAATAGATAGTTATGTGCCACTTTGGTGTTTTGTATTGGAGTGGGAATCTCGGAATAGCAAGTTGTGAAACATTGACAGTTCGTATAACTCTAGTATAGGGCCCGATGGGGCCGCGGTAACTTCGGAGAAAAGTGGAAAGAATGGAACATAAGGTCTTTGGCGAGCGCAATCATCTTTAGATTAGCTAAGGGAAATTTCCAGATTGAATATTTTTGTACATCTCTGACCGCAACAAACAAACCTATCCTTAGTCAAACCGGTATTTAAACTAAGTAAAAATCTTCTCGATACCAGTAGCTAAAAGCACTCAGTTCTCAATCTTCAAATACTTCCTCGGCCCAGACCACGCTCTTCATGATGCTTCGGTATCAGGAATCTGGTATTTCTAGCATATTCAGGTAGTCATTCGATTTGAACTAACAGTCGACCTTTCAAACAATAGTTTCAAACAATAGTTCAAACAATAGTTTGAAAGGCTTGAACGGGATTTAAAGTTGCAGTTTTAACTGATTTATGATATCAAAAGAATAAATAATTGAAAGATCTATTCTCCGAAGGTCGTCGTTCTTGGTTGGTGATTAAGTGCAATCAAAGGTTTATAAAATTCCCCACGACTGTAGAAACCAGTAATGTATATTGTATTGGGAACTAGTTATATTTGTACGTTCATTAGTACGTGAAGGAACAATTCTGATTTTTCAACCAATTGAAATGGGAATTTTAAGATATATATTTAGATAGAGATAATTTACTTTGTACTTTTCACTTTCACGTATTTGTAGTTTCTTCAAGATTTTTCTGTTGAGTCTAAACTCAATGAATGCATACCTGAATTCCTAACTAATTTTTTTGTTTATCTTTTCGTAGTATTATAATCATAATATTTCCCAGATTTACTTCATTTCTGGATTTATCGCTGCAATAAAAGGAAAACTGGACAATCCAAAGACCTGGCACCATGGTTTTTGTATATTATATTTTAGTGGCGTTTCAACTTTTTGTATTCGTAAGGTGAGTGTTGCATAATATTTTGTTAAGAAGAGCAAACTATGTAGAAGCTTGTCAATGTAAACTTGATAATATGGTGACAAATTTTAAATATAATTTTCAAAAAATGGAAATGATATATTCAAATTAAAGGTACTCCAGTACAAGGTTAGAATTAGGCCATAATTTTATTCCGATTTTCCATATTTTAGTTCTATTACGAGTTCGGGGACTGTCTGTCTCGGCCAAGTGAATATACCCCCTGCCCATAGGCTTCCGTCCCTTTACACAACTTGATGTGAAGTAGGCGAACAAAATTAGTTACCTCCATATTGGTACACACACTTCTGGTACGCCAAATTAAACGCTTGATTTTTGTACGTGACTGAGCGTGGTCCGAAACAGAGATCCAGCATTTTGATTATGATCCTGCATCTTGATTTTGACGATAACAAGTTTAGGCAAAGAAACAAAATTTCATTCGCATCGTCGACTTTACGAAGCGTAGCCTATTATGTTTCACACGTTTTCACTGTATTTCAATAAATATATCTCTCTACCTCGATTAAATTTTGAAATTGATTGATTTTTTATATTTCTTATTTACTGTTACGGACATCTCTACTGAATGAAAAGAGAATATCATTTGTTGTAAATAGATATACGTATCCTGTCACGCTATAACCAATCGAAAGTTATTATTGTTTGGATCTGACGCTCAAAAGCTTTTATATTTTTGTAAAAGTGTGAAACAAATATAAATATGGTTGCTTTTTTACAAAGCAGAGTTTTAATAATACACAATAATTTCGCAAGAATAATAATAAGTTTAAAAGGAAAACAGTTATCAAGAATATTTTGTCACATATCACGTGGCATGTTATTTGATAACTAATATTGATTACACGCGTTTAAGAATTCATGGACGATATTTTAGGAAAATAAAACCAACTTTTGAGAGCTGTCACCGTCAAATGTAGTTTATATAGATATATGTCAAACCATATATATATCCAAAATATTCAAAAATTTCAAAATTCTCTTTATAGAAACTTAGCTCGCAAATTCTTGGACCTTGGTTATATCAATTTACTTAAATTCAATACCTTACTTATTTCGTTCGGCGCAAGTCAAACAAAATGTTCCGTCTCGGGTATACGTATGAATTAACTTGACCAAACCAACAAAAAATGAATATATATATCTATATTAGGGGGGGCCAACCTCTTTTCGACTGCATGAGATAGAATAAAATCTAAAATGAATCAGTACTAATAGGGATGTTTTGGCGTTGCTGCTACTGCTGGAAACAAAGTATAAAGCACAGTAGGGTAGAAAAATTTTCATGATGGTGGAGAAGTTAAAGGCAAAGTGAAATATCGTCACGCTAATAACCGAATTGCGTAAGTCATTTTTAGCAGTTTTGAGAAAAACGTAAAAAACTTCCTAATGATATTGTTATGCCATTGAGAGTCAATAATTTGCCATGGTTCAATTTTTTGATCGTAGTCGGATTTAAGCTAATTTGTATGACGCAGTGAAGTGACGTCATAATGGCGCACTGTGACTTAGGCAGAAATGTGTTTATGACATGGGGACATACGCAATTTTGCAACTTTACTATATGCACCAGTCCTGAAAACTAAACATTCCAAAAACGAATGTAATTCTCAGTATCTACAATGTCTTATCCCCAAAATAGCTAATCAGTTTCAATTGCATTATTTTTTATGTTTAAATATATATATTTCATCAATATAACACGTTCTGCACATCCACCGAAATAAGACTAAGATTAAATATAAAGAATAAAACAGCAATGCACCCAAAATAAAAGCCAACCAAGGTGAATTGGACTCGGACAGTGAATATCACAAGTGCACGCCTTCCTATACTGTAGTATAAATTCAAATTAATACGCGCTAAGCTAGAATCCGAGATGCGGAAACTCGAAAATACTTCGCAGAGGCTATTTTGACTTTGTGACGTCACAATAGTCCTGCGGTAACGATGATAATTCATTATGACGAAACAATTGCACAAATGTGCATGTCATACTAAATCTCCATTTTTATGGGTTTCGGAATTCTTAAAATAAAATCTGAGTTAACAGACAGGTGCGCAGCATCACATAAATACCTATTTTATAAAAAACTCAAAATCGCCAAAAATGACTTACGCAATTCGGTTATTAGCGTGACGATATATATAGATTGTAGAATTGTTGGTCGCTCAACAACATCTCACTCTGTTTGTTCATTTCTAAACCTTGACGATGACAAACTTGTATTTGTTACGTTTTAATATGCTTGTCTCCGGTCTTTTGGGCAAGTGCAGTACGTATTCCTCTTTTTAGAAATCAGCGGTCGCTGCGTGAATTATAGTTGAAGACAATTTTTTTAGCATGCTGTTAATGAAGTTGACTTAAAATCAGGTGCGATCGATCATTTCAGCGAGGTGATCGATTGCCATCGACGTGTTGGCCACCCCTGATCTATACCAATGTGTTCAAGTTAACGTGACTGCTTTACATTCGAAATTGTGGGACCTGATCCTCACACAGGCTTGCAGTTTTGATTTCGAAGCCAAGCAGTGAAATTTTGAAAATCGCAATGTTTACTTTCACTAGTTATTGGCATGGAAAAGCTATACCGTTTATATTATGATAATTAATGGAGAATGTGCTCATATTTTTTTCTGGAGGTATATGCTTTCAAATCATTGCGTTTCGTTATTCTTTGTATTTAATTGCAGCATCGAAGGTTTTCCAACGGGTAATGACGAGTCAACACCAGCGGGTAACAGTGGATATGAATACGAGTATAATTATTTTTATACACCGCCAGATAATAAAGGGGTGAATATTTGTTATATATATATTTAATGCATTATATTTTTTAGTATATATATATATATACCATATTTAATTAGAGTCTTGACATCCGCAATTTCGAACATATAACTGCTATATTTGAGTTTTTGACGAGATTTATATTTCAAACTAAACAGTTGGGCACTACCAATGTTCTCGAGTTGCGCATCAACAGTCGCCACACTTCAAATGTTACATACGTTACAAATGTTCAAGTTCTATTGACACGCTTGTCAGATTTATCCTAATTAAGATTCTTTTCTTTGCGGCATGCATTTTTCATGGTAACTTTTGTGGCTATCTGTCTTATGGACACGTGTTGGAGGAAAATTTGCAGATGCCCAGTCCGTCCTATCAAGCGACGTGCTTTGATTCCAATTCCAAACGTTTAAGCATATCTTTTCCGCATAGGTCATTTATGTGCGGTTTTTTAATATTCCATACCAGTCATTTGTATACACCGCGACGAATGCCACCATACTCCCAAGAAGTACTACCAATATTACATTGAATTAAAATATATTCGTTGCCAATTATTGAAAGGAGTGTAATACAGTAATAACAGTATATCGCATAAATGTATTTTATCCTTTATTCAATTGACTGCTTGCACACGCATAACATTATGACTGCTGGCATTGGTGCCATGTTTTGCACGGTATTCCTACCATATAGGCGCTAACTTCGGCCAAAAAGAATGATAATATCATTTATTACATAAATTGTTCGCTATGTCGCCGGAATTTGACAACCTATAAGGATGAACACATTATATAATTGACATTGGTAAATAATAGCATTTCCCTTATTTTTCTATTGAGTTTTTAAATTGTGTCAAATATGTGAAATAATTTTTTTTTCTAATCAAATGCTCAAAGTATTTATTTACTCTGCGAAACCATATCCAACAACGATGGTATCAGTATCCATTCGTATTTCTTCTCTCTCATATACAGTATATATTTGAAATGTTACCGAAGTTGCAATTTTAAAGACGATTAAGAAAACATGAAATATTTATTATTCAAATGCAGTTCCTAAGAACTGCGAAAAAGGTGTATTTAATATCAACCATTCTTTGGATAGATAAAGATAAAATTACTTTGAAATATGGCATTTCATCAGATGACTGTCCAGACATCTGTTCTGTAAACAACGGCTTATACTTACAGAAATTTGACCGAGTATTCGGACAAATATAAAAAATAAAACCTTGAGAATGGGGATAGATAATACGGTCTTAGTCGTCGCTTGAATACTCTCACCTGTAGAGGGCAATTGATCCGTGACATGGACAACAGACTTAATTTTGACACCTATATATACGTCGTGTACTGCCAAAACAATCCCAGTTTTAATGCTATTTGATAATTCATAAGAGGACATTTGAGCATAGACTTAAATGTGCTGTAGCCTGTATACCAATTTCACATAATCACCGTACAAGCCGTACATGAATCATCCTATTTTTTAACTACCTACTTGCCAGATTTATCTTTGACCACCATAAAATCTTAGTATTTCTAGGTAAATTTTTTCAATTGCGTTGTGTTAGCATACCCATTGTATATATTTTTGAGTAAAATTATATACATCTAAGACTAAGATTATGTCATAGACTAACTTGTATCAATGCTACACAGGTGGAAGGCCAAAACACCGGATCGAGCATGAACGGTGAAACTCTCATGGCTGCCGAACACAAAGCAAGAGATACGAATGAAATCGAGTTTCTTGAAGGATTATTGATTAATTATGACCAACGGATAAGGCCAAATAATAATGGTAAGCGTTCGATTCCACAATTATAGGCAACAATCAATCAATCAATCTTATTTCGGTCGCCCTGGCAAAAAAACGAATCAACATAACAATAACAAAATGCAGAAATACTTTGAGCGAGTATAACTTGGCGTAAAGCTAAAAACGTACAAAAAAATACACACCCGGCTACCAAAACAGGGAAACGGTAAAATAAAATTAAACAATGATTACACGTTAGGTGGTTGGTTGCTTATCGATTGAACCGGTGTTATCTATCACCAATGAAGAACAACACCGAAAAATCGCAATTTGTCTTAATTCAGAAACCGCTTCTTCATTCATTTTTAATTTAAGGATTTTTTATATTCTATTGTTAAGAAAATGAATTAAAGATTTTGAATGTTTTCGTTCAGTCACTGTGTAAAGACATTTTTAGTCGATTTGAGCAGACTTGTTTATTATATCTATACACAAATAGACGGCATTTGCAATTCCAGCGTGTGTTTTCTGAAGTTCTATTAATTGCAAAACTGTAATGACAGAAGTGGGATTCGAACCCACGCCTCCAGGGGAGACTGCGACCTGAACGCAGCGCCTTAGACCGCTCGGCCATTCTGCCTCGAGAGTCAGGAGTTCTTCACATTACATTATATACGCAATAACGTAGTTCTCTCGTATTTTCTCAATCATTTCTTTTTTCGTGATTGATGCTATATTTATTCCATATCTAGGTGTTCCTGTGAGGGCTAATGTGTCGATTTTCGTTAATTCTTTCTATTCGGTCAACGAACAGACAATGGTAGAGCACAACTGCTTTTTATATTCGTTCACTGCATGCGCTAATGATAATATGAGCCAGATGCGCGGCATTTTGCAAATACATATTTCATTATAACAGCACTTGAATTCATTTTCACTTCGAACGTAACGTTATTTATTACGTGGGTGATGTTTTTTATTTGAGGTAACAGTTAACACTGTTGCTAGTTTTCTCTCTTATATATAATGGTAAGTTAGTCTGCTCACTGAAGAATTTTTTTCTACCTATTCTATGTAACCTTGCCATGCTTTTCTATTTGGCAAAATACAATTGCTTTTAAATACCTATAGCTTCTACGTAAACCAGCCTATGAAATAACGGTTTTCATATTAAAAAAACTCAAACTGTACAATACACAAAATAATAGTTACATTACCAAAACAATATTACGTATTTAAGTAGCTCAATCCATTGAATATAAAGTTGATATTGACATTAGAATTTTCCGCTTTTCTTTAAAATACGTAAAAATATAAATAAGTATATAAAAATAATTTGACTGAGCTGAGATAGATAAAATCCAACACACCGCACGAAATAAATGGTATTTGAACACAAATACGAACCCCAATCCCTAGCGTGTCACCAATCTGACACTAAGATACCGCCATTGCGGTAGGCCTACTTCTGAACGCACATTTTCACACCTAGACAAGCGCATGCGTTTATAACGATAGTTAACCAAAGTCAGCAAATGTTCTAAATTCATCAAATTATATATCTCAATTTAGACGGGCCTGTAAAAACTCTGGTTCAAATATATGTGAACAGCTTCTATTCAGTGATACAAGCTTCCATGGTGGGTTATCGCGTTTGCTTTGATTCATTGCAGAGTGGTTTTGATTATAATTTGATGCTTGGCGTGAAACAACGCTATCAAGAATGAATATAGTATTAGTTGAATCGTAAGCCCAGTCAGATCAGAAGCTGAAATAAGCTTTCGAACTAACATTTTAGCGTTCTCATTGATCTGTTTGATTGAAATCTTTAATTTTTGGGGAGTTTCTCTGCAATTTTCAAGAATACATATCAACTTAAACAAAGCTGAGTAGCTGGCGTTTTGCGGTAATTAGTCACGTAGTCAGACCGGGCATCATTTTTGAAGTTTGATTTTTAAATTTCCCTTAGTCTCAAAATCCAAAGGTTATTGTCTAAATTTCAAAATTGTAAAAGTTGGATGGCGGAGATACAATTTTAATTGATACTTGAAAGCTAATGAATTATTGTATAGTTTAATTTGTTATCGCCGGGTCGAAAATTGAAATATTTTGAGCCCGTTGGTTTAAAGCAAGAGCTGATTCTGATTTTTTAATTTGCTCTTAATTGAAAAGAGCATTTCTTCACGGCCTGAAGTCAACAAACAGACAAATTGACCCACATAAGCAGCTTGAAAAACGGTAACTTGTACTTGCTTGCTTGCTGGTGACAATGCCGATTCTTAAAGTTCCAATTATTCTGTCAATGTTCACTAAAACAGTAAACTAATAGTAGAAAACTAACATTTAAAGTCTAACATTCGCATTTTATTAAAAAAATACACGTTGGACAATTTATTTTAACAATTGCAATTTATAATAGTCGTTTATGTCCAAATGCATGCAATAATCGGTGATATTTATTAGGTGGTTTATTGGTGCATGTAGCCTACATTTGAGCAACTGTTATTTTATCAATATCAATGGAATGGAAACTCTTGTTTGCGAATATTGGTCGTTGCTATACTCAGTTCTTTCATTTTGATTTTCTATTAAATACAAAACAAGGGTATATTTCCAAGATTCAGCTCAAAACGTACAGTAGCTTCTCTGCTGATCACGATGAAAAGATAATTAAACATTGGACCAAGTTGCTGTGACAACCATTGTTATCTGCATGCATGTTTGTGAACTGTGTTGCAATTTGATGTGTTATTATTCTTTTGTTATTATATTATATATGAAATTAGCAATGATAGATACGATATCAGAGATTAGTACTGGGGTTTTCTATACTGAAATTTTTTATCTAGTTAAGAGTAGCCTACGTATGTTTTGTGGATTTGAATTTTTAATGCAGTTATGGTACAGTGGCAAATCCAAGCTATTCTCTTTTTTCTCTGCTTTCATCCCAAGACACAGTGAAAAAAAACGTAGAAGTGAAAATAACATATCATAAGAAAAATAGTCGAGCAGTGGTCACCACTAATGCGAAAAGAGATAATTGGAAACTATAAAGTATTTGTCGAGATCGCCATGCAATGTCAGATTGATGCAGTTTTGTTATATCACATCAGTGTTACGTCCTGCTTCAGATTTTAAAGCGTTCTCCGAAGAAAAAACGAATCAGAATTGTGAATATATATATTTGTTACAGGATTACAAATTGAATATATTTTTGCGTCTTCGGTGGAATGACCCACGGTTGGCTCACAACTTCAATGACAAAGCAGTTGCTCTCCACCCATCAATGTTAGGAAAAATATGGAAGCCGGATGTTTTCTTTTCTAATGAAAAGCATGCTGCATTCCACTCAGTAAGTATGATAATTGTTTGGTGAACTATGAACTTTTACCGCTTCGCTAAATTGTGGTTGCCTATGTTGTTTTTGCACAACTTTTCTGAAATAACCAGTTACTATTTTTAATTATTTCTGGGGTCTTAATACAAACTGCTATCAGTTGAATTTTTCGCGAGACAAACTCCTTTCCTTTGTGCTTTCTCGCTGGTGGATTTGTATTTTGTAACCTTGCTCTGGCGAAACTTCACAGAAATACATTTGTGTTGTTATATTATGATATTTTTACTTTTTCGTCTAAAACGATCAAGATGTGCTGTTTGTGTTTTTTTATTTTCCATATGAAATCATATTTTTTGTAAAGATATATTATTGATTTTTTAGGTCACAACAGAGAACAAATTACTGAGGGTTTATACTAATGGCGATGTTTATTCCAGCGTTCGCTTGACTCTTACGTTATCTTGTGCTATGCACTTGAGGAATTTTCCAATGGATGTACAGATTTGTAACATGGAAATGGAGAGTTGTAAGTACCTATCAAATAAATTCTAATCGCCGCGTAGCTATCAGGATTCCAACTCTACCCTGGCATTGACTTTATACCCCTTAACAACCTATGTTATGATAGGCCTACATTTCGTTGATCCCGTGCAAGTGACAAAAACAACGGATCTCTGTCAATAGGTAGGACCCATGACGACAGTTCGATAAACGGCTCTGATAGACTGAATTATAATCAAGTATTTCTTTCGATTCATAGCAGCCCGATTCAATATCCAAGTTACCTTATTTAAAAGGGGCAACGTTTTGTTACACGCTCTTCGAATAGCAGTCAAGAGATCTGCTGTTGATTAAGAGCTAACCAGAGAAACTCTAACGTGTTTAGGCATTGTGAGAAATTCACAGATTTCGCATTTCTTTTTTCAGTTGGTTATGACATGAAGGATTTAATATTCGATTGGGACGGACCACATGCCGTGCAACTTCCTAAAACACTTGCACTACCTCAGTTTCGAATCCGTGGATACAGGTTGAATACCTGCACAAAAGTATACAGCACAGGTTAGACTATTGAATGTTATTGATATATTTCTAAATCAAAATGATGGTTACTATACTATATATGTTTGTTTATGATTGTACCTAAACGTTACAGTAATATAGCACGCTTTGCTCAAACTTATGTTACGGTGTTACAAATGACTTTTTTCTTTTGGGGTCACTCTGTACTCTTGGCCTACTCTGTATATACTTGCTGTTCAGCATAGTCATAAAGCGCGGTCAAAACACGGTCTGTCAATATATATATATATATATCCTACTTTGCTAAATGCAAGTTTTAATGAAAGTGTTATTCAGCCAGACTCCCTGTTGCTATAAGGGCGATTGGATAGCACACTATAGCATTTCCCATCCTTACTAAATATCACTTTATACATTCAATTTATCGATAAACGCTTAATTTTTACATTTTGCCAAACTTGAAATTACTTTCCCCAACCTAGTTTACAATAAACTTCAAGTTAGCTTTAATAGCACCGCTACAAGTTTCATCTCTTTGTTGGATTGAAGGTTCGTTCACTTGTCTTGGAGCTGACTTTATTCTTCAGCGTCAAATGGGTTATTACATAATTCAAATGTACGCCCCATCTCTCATGATTGTCATTTTATCGTGGGTTGCATTTTGGATCAATATGGATGCTGCACCTGCGAGAACAGCTTTGGGAATAACTACTGTACTTACTATGACAACTCAAAGTTCCGGAGCTCGAGCTTCGTTACCGAAGGTACGTACGGTTATTCGGAATATTTCATATTCGGAAAAAGTTCATATCCACTCGAAGGTGCTTTGGGCGATAATTTCAAATGTTGTAGATATCCGATCATACAAACTCAAAATCTACCACTGATTTGGTTTCTGAAGGATTAATTAATTTTGTTGCTTCTCTGCTTTTGCACTAGATGGTTGAATATTTATTCTTGCACAATATAGGGATGTTATAGCAAGTTTGAAGATGACTTTTCGATATGATTATGGAAAGTCCTGCTACATTTATATGTACTTAGAACCGATCGTGATATAGCCAAAGTGTCGGATGTTGCCGATGGATGGTTTTTGACATAATAGGAACTTTTCGTTACTTCTTTCAGGTATCTTATGTCAAAGCTATCGACGTATGGTTTGCCGTTTGCCTCATATTTGTATTCGCAGCTCTCATTGAATTTGCTGTTGTCAACTTTTTATCTCGACAGGAAAAATCGTTTTTCAAATTGGGATTGCAGCTTGCAAATATTAAGGTAACGTAATTCACTGTACCGCTATTATTATTTTTCATCGGTGATTGCAATTTATTCTCCATAAACTCGGTGGAAACTTGACTGCTAGAGTATATGCGATAATGTTAGAATGGCCTCAAATCGGACATATCATTGTGGTGGCATGTGTAAAATCAACCTTTGAATGTTTTTAAAATTATTTTGGTGTGTTCATCCTATATGTAGTGCAGGGAGATCGCTGGATCAGGTAGATTCTTTATAATGATAAGAACAAAGTTCCAGTCGATTACAGTTCATTTGTGATACTAACATAATCACCTCGCATTGTAACCATTCAAAGGATCCCAACCGCCTTTGTATATAATTTTATTTGACATATTTACAGAAAGAGGAAGAACTCGATGAACAGGTAAATGCCATAACACTAACGTTGATTCCTCTTAACAAAATCATCCAAAGCAATAATAAAAGCACGCAGAACAGCTACAATGCATGGTCATGAAATCTAATTGTTGGAACTGTTGCAATCTCTACTACCTAGATAATCGGTCATATTTGAGAATTGTATATGTGGGAATGGCTACGAATCAATGTTCCCTCTAATTTTTTGTAGTATGTGTGCGCAGAAATTTTGGTGTGTGCGCACTTTTTCGGAAATGACTAATATTTGTGCAAAAACCAATGAAGAAATTTTGGCGTTCTAACAGGGTAATAAGAGGGCCAACAACAAACTTTCTCAACCTGCCAACCGAGAACATTGTTACATTACATCGAAATACGTCTGTGCGCAGTAAATCTATGCGTGTGCGCGGCCTCTGAAAGCTGTGTGCGCGCGCACACGCGCACACCTTAGAGGGAACACTGCTACGAATGCTGAAAGAAGCGCATTTTGACCTTTTTCCAGTGTATATTCGCCACATAATAATCGCATGACTGACCTTATTTAGTCGAATGTCATGAATAATAAAAACCATTTTGGAATCGAATTATTCCAAATTGCCGGATCTAGGCGATGACGACACCAAGTGATAACAATCTAAGTTGGATTTCATATAGAATACATTTACCTCCGTCAAAGTTCATTTTCAGCGAGGTCACTTTTATTTCCATCTGGCAACAAGTGTAATAAGCTATTCCCGATATTACAAAATATCGCTGTTAACAAAATGAATATGAAGTTCCACATTGAAGTACTGCTAACTGTAAAACTGCAATGCATCTTTCTTGGGCACTCTTGTAGTATGTGTACCAGGTTAGAGTTAGGCCATAATTTTATTCCGATTTTTCTTATTTAAGTTCTATTACGAGTTCGGGGACTGTCTGTGTTAGCCAAGTGAATATCTCCCTGCCCATAGGCTCCAGTCCCTTTACACAACTTGATGTAAAGTACGAGAACAAAATTAGTTCCATATTGGTACACATACTACGGGAGCGCCGTTTATTGTCATATAACCAAAAAGTATTAACTTTGGAAGTAACTTTTATTTTATGGTAATTTGTTACTACACATTTTCGTCACACAAGGTAATGAGCGCAATTGTGTATATATATACTCAGAAATTTATCTGAGCAAATACTTAAACCCAGATGACAACTAAAAGGGCACACAACTGCAAAATTTGGAATTTCAAAACTTTCTTTTCGGAAAAGTAGTCATTTTTTTCCAAATCTGGAATAGTCGGATGGAGTATTTCGACGACTGCGTATAGGCTATCGACTTTAATCTAATGCAGGTACATTATTGTTGTACGAAATGCATTTTTTGAAAAATGCGTATCTATGGACACAAAGAGTTCAACGTCAAAACAAGTGTCACCATAAATAAAATAAAAAACAGCAAAATTTTCAATGAATTGTCGGCCTAACAAAACTAAAATAAAAGCCCTCTAGCGACTTCTTTCATCTTCGAGTACGTGAAACTTGAAATTGGGTAATCGGTAAGTCTAAGAACAATACCAACAACGATCCAGAAAAACAATTCAACGAACACTTCGCGTCCAAAATGGACTGTTTACGTCACTTATAAGAACCGGTGTTCCAATAACTAAACACCATGAAACGATGGCGCAATTGTATCAGTGTATGTAATTAATGTCATTGGAATCATGGTTCGTGGTTCCGTTAACTCTTCGTAATGATTTTCTTCTTTTGATACCAATAATGTCCATTACGGCACAGAATAGGTAAAAACAGGAAAAATAAGGTTGTAAAAATGCATCATATATATAGTGCAGCATGAGCATCACGCATTATTTTTATTTGAATGGTAATGCACTTTAACCATTCTTCATTGTATGACTGAAAAGTTATGATTATATATTTTTTGCAGATTGTCCCATATATATATATAAATTATGAAATGCCGAAAATAATCATAAAATTGACTAATTTTGTTAGAAAATTTGTTTATATGATTGATCTTGCGAAGGACTGTTCTGTTTGATTAGCACTCGCCATTAGGATTTTGCATTCGTCATCTGTATTTACCCGACGTAAATTTGCCAGGACTTGGAGACATTGAAACTACATTATTCACGGGTGTCGCTACTCGGCCTGTTTTTTCGTCCCCTTTCAGCCTGAAATGCCATTTACACTGTATTTTCTATGTTCTGTTAGTCGAAGTCTATTTTCAGTTAGGTGAAAAAGTTAACTACTCGTTACTGATTAAATGAATGTGTATTTACACTCTACATCTTTGCTTAGTAGTATGTTCAGCAATATATATAATGTTTTTCATTTATATATTCAGGGTACGTTGAAGCCAAAAAAGAGGCGGAGAGACGTACATTCCGACACAACTGGAGACGGAATATCGACAGAAATGAAGGCGATGAGTACAACGTCACCTACACCAACCAGTGCGTCACGATACTCCATGATTGGACAAATTCCCGATGAGGTTTGAGAATTTAAGATTCGAAGAGTTAACATATGTAAAAAAGAGTGATGTTGTAACTATTGCTTACAAGACTTGTATAAGTAGCCTATTCAGGTTCAAGACCCTTCACTTCACTGATAAATCTCTTCTCTGACGGTTGCAGGTTTCGAGACTGCCTAATCCTTATGTTTTATAAAAATAAATATCTCCCATTGTCACTTAAACAAATGAATTTAAAATAATATTTTCACTGAACAGTATCTTAGTTTGGAATTAGCTTCTGGCACAAGTTTGACTTCTCTTTTTAGAAAGACAAAATGAGGTAACTTTTACTAAATTTTCTACAACATTTTCAGGAAAAATCTAAGAAGGAGAGGTACAGGTGGAAAGCAAAAAGAATTGACCGTATTTCACGAGTTTGCTTTCCTCTTTCGTTTATTGTCTTCAATTTATTTTACTGGATTGTTTATCAGGTATCGTCAAATCTTTATTGTTCTATTATTCTTCAAAATATTGTTAGAGGGCCTCAAACAAACGTCTGTCTGTTCACGAATTACTGATAAAGTGTATTTTTGAGGAAGACCAGAATCTCTTTGTGCTGGCATTGTCAACGTAATGTGGTGGGTGGTGTAGGAGTTGAACCTTCTCAGTATTGGGTCTCAAGTTGAGTCTCTTTAATTTTGAGTTGAGATAGCCGCCAGAGATTCGAGTAGCTATTAAATTTAGAGTAGCAGCACTCGCCTATACTGAGAAACCGAAAGCTTGAAAATAGATAAAAATGCTCAACTGTGAGCATTACAATTTTGTACTCTCATAATAAAACGTTTCAATTTTTTTTTATTTGTTATGAAAAAATCTTTTTTTTCCGCCTCAAGGCGACCAATCTAATTTTCAATACTTGAAGATAGAAAAAAATCGCTGAAAGGCTATTACTCTTATTTTTATCTCAAATTTCTCATGGGGTTTCGATATTTCACTCAAAATATGTTATTTTATTTAATTCAAGGGAACACTTTTATTTTGACTTTCGTGTCCATATATTGCATTTGCAGCATTGCTGTATTTTTTTTTAATACGTGTTAACATTTTCGTTTTAGGTTGCTCGTGACGACCTACGCAATGTGTTAGATGGAGCGATACCTTATGATACCTAATCATTGGAGAAAGCACTAAACAAAATAATCGGAATACGACCATAATGTAAAAATGCCCAACCCAAATATGGAATTTCATCAACCGTCAATTGAGCCTGATGTTTGAATCTACTTAGCATTTGATCAATAATGAGGATTAATTGAACTGAATGATGTTGTCATACCAAGAATTGATAATCAAAGTTAGGCGTAAGGATGGTTATATGGTATCAATCACCATTTAAAGGGCATATTGGGCTTCCATTTAATAGCAGGTTTGATCTTAGGAGAAGCTGCTCCTCACATATCCTCAATGCATGAGGAGTACTGATTTATTTTTTCATGTACTGTACAGTTTTAAACACCAACCTTTTCATTCTGATTTATCACAATACCAATCAGCAAATTGCTGACAAAACGCAGCCTAAAGATCAATAACGTGTGTGTTTGAATTTGAATATACCCATGCTCAGTAAAATATTGGCATTCAAAATAGGCTTTGGACTCGTAACTTTTCGAACGTCGTTTCTTTTTTATATTTCTTGCACCATACATTAGAATTGCTTACAGTATTTTTATGCAATTCAATATGGTATACAGTATTTATTGTTTTGAATTGAACAATACAAAAAAAACGAGAAAAAAAGGCATGTTTCTTCTAGTATTCAACCAAAAAAATAATTATACTAAAATATGTATAAAGGTTACAAATACGACAAAGTCAAATATAGTTATAGACTAACCCTGTCCCGCTTGCTGTATTGGGATACAGACAAAATTAGGACAGAATTTCATATATATCAAAATAGGGAAAAAGACGGCCCAATCATGTGGCAAACCACTGTATTTCGTCACAGTCCATGTCCGGTATGAAGATAGTCAATCTGTTGTTTGTGTCAGCTGCACGAACTTAATGGTGGAGGAAGTCGCAAGCGATTAGCTGTTACGTGAACCACCACCCTACGACTGCGAGGAGTCCAACAATCCTCTCGCACCATAACTCAGCTGTACGAACTTAATGGTGAAGGAAGTCATGGAAAGTGAACAGCTTAAGTTAATCGAAGGCTTTCTAACAGTATTACTGATTGAAGGCCAAATTATGATTAATTTGTATGATATTTTTTGGAAATAGTTCTAATGCTTAAAACAATAATAACCGGGCCAATATTGAGATGTTAGTCGTGAAATTTCTGTGACGCCACCTTTCCCTCGGTGCCCCGAGCACGTACTTATTTTGCTTAATGGTTAATCCAGCCCTGATGCTAGATATACGTGGAATGACATTATAGAGCGAGTGAGCGTGACCAAATTGTCCGTACTGTACTGACTCTCGGCCTGGACTAGGTAACGTCAATTTGGGGCAATTCAAGATACTGCAGAGGTAGTTTTACCTTAACAGAGACCTCCCACGCTGTAGTAGCGCCCATCCATATATCAAGAGGTCCAAAACAACAACTTTACAAAAAAAAGCTTTACTTTGATATATATTCGTCTTGAGATTAAACAATTCGTGTTTCTAAATATCCAAATACTGCAACCAATTATTCTAATTTATTCGCCCCATGTGCTTCGAAGTTGTCTTCCGGTTTTCGTATGGGCCTTTCGCAAACGGACATGTACTTCTTCTTACTTAAATGCGATTGTGATTATGGTTAAGTAACAGCAAACTGAACTATCGGTGACATTTTGATTGTGTGATCTCAGTGATTTTAGTATTAACATAACCATAACCCATTTTGGTATGCGATTGAGTTCATATTAAGCAAGTGAGACCAGATTCCAGAGAAGTTTTATGGCACTTAGAACTATCAATATTGATCGAGCGCAGTAGCGTATCTACGTAAAATGGCGCCCATGGCAAAGTTTAAAAATGCGTCCCCTCGATCGTTTAATGGAAATTTTTAACGACTGTTGTTGAAATTGAGATACTTGTACGTTATTATTCTAGTTAAAATACGAGTTTAAATTATTTCCAATTTGAAATTATATTATTGAAACATTTTACGATCTTAACTTTTCGCCCTTTTTGCGCCTCCATGACATGAGCATTGCCTGCCACACCCTAGATACGCTACTGATCGAACCGTATTCGTAAGTTCACTTTTTGTTGTTTGAGTGAGCCATCCTGTGATTATAACTGCAAACAAGAATGGTATACTCGTCTGTGTGTACAGTACACAAAGGTAAACACAACACGGTTGCGCAGTTTTTGGAAATGCGCAATATCTAGAGGCCGTCAAATTATCATTTTTAAAATAGTTGGGTGCTATAATTTGGGTTCATCAGTAACAAGTCGTTGATGTTTTCCGGTTGAATAAGGCGCAGCATTGATGTTTTGCATTTGGAATCACGAACTAGGATCAAATTGAGAACAAAATTGATGGTTCGTGATATTTTTAATCACATGTGCATTGCTCCGCTGTCAAAAGAGCGGAAGTCTGAACTGAGTCAAACTCGATCTCCGCATCCAGCTCAATTCATTACGGACGTGAAATCCCGGGTCAACGTATATTCACAATAGATATGGCCCGATTTTTCTACTAAAAGTACTCACGTAAACAATGAAGCACATCTACATCCACACTTTGTCCTGCTTACTAATGGTAATTAGGTGATACCGGAGCTAATATATGCTGCCACATCACAAATATCCGTGTCAGATAGAATCGACTGCCGGATGATGAACATGATGCATATTGTCGTATTTGGCATTACCATTCTCACTGTGGCACATATTGCATTGGCCAGCAAAGGTAAATTCCTTAAATTACTGCATCTGAAGTCGAGTATGGACGCATGGAAAAATTGGTTTTGGGATCTGGGGTTGGGATCCCAAGATTCAAACCCCTTTTTCTAACGCTTTGTGCATTTATTTTAGTAAAAACACTCCTCTGTTTTCAAGCGTGGGCCATGTGACAGTAGTGACGAAACGCAGAGCCGACTTAACGCCGCGCAATCAAGTTTTTTTTAGCTAGGTCCCGAAATACCAACTTAGACGGACCTGGTTGTTATTTGACGATGGCACTAAGCTTGCTCACGCTGCAAGTTTTCAAATTACTCAAATATAACAATTCGTAATAAAATGAGTGTCACAAGAAAGGTGACATGAGGGAATCACGCGAAAACGTATTTCCTTGCCCATCACACAATGTCTGGTTTGATTTCGAGTAATATCTGTCACGAAAGAATATAATTTGAAGCGACATTAAACGCGAGATGCGGAAAATACAACGGTAATTCTCTGGAATTAATTTTAAAATAACTGAGGGCTTTATATATATTTTTTAAGAGAACACCATCCATGCAACATAATAATAGTCTGATTAGAACATAAACCCACTCCGCCTATTCTTGGCTTACCCTGCATATTAATTAATTGGATTTGTTCGAAGGCATTGAAATGCTAGGTCCTTGCGTTCCAAGTGCTTAGTTTTTTGGAAAAACACAGTAACTCTGAAACATATGGACTCGCCATATGGTGGAGTTGTCTCGTGGGTCCGCCAGGACTACATATAAAAGCTTTTTTTTTCAAACTACTAAGAAAGCGCATCACGTGCATTCACTCCAAAATAAAGGAGACGGATATCTAAAAGGTCGATCACTGAAGTGCCATTAGTTGCGTTAGTAAATACACAATGATGAGAGACTTTATAGTTCAAGTCAATACAACCAGGAAAACAGCTATTAGTGAATTGTACATGACTGAAATCCAGAACCATACTCGAAGAGAAAACGTTAAATAAGTGATCAAAATCTCTGATATAAACTCCTGTTCATAATCCCGCATCGGTTTTGTTGAAATCAAAATAATTTCATTTTTTTTTACGTAAAATTGATGAAGACTTGGTTCAAGGCAAGCAACGGCTTGTGCTACAAGCTTTACGCTAAGTCCAGCTATAAAACTGCTAATTCAAACTGAAAAAAAGAAGAAGCGCGGTTGGCATCGATCGGTATTCGGGATCCTCTAGTCTTCAGGTTGGTCATGATAATGTTTATGAATGGCGTTTTTCCGTTAATTATTACATATAAATATCGTTCAATATCATTACCAAAGCATAGCAGTAGTCTTCCTTACCTTTAACATTATCGGTACCGGTAAAAAACTTCCGAACTTTGCGAAGCCAAAATTTGCAGAATCAAAACGGACAGTCAGTCATCACGCGGATTAAAAACCGTGTTCCCAACAATAAAAATAATACAGCGAAATGTTGGATGGAATATCATATCTCATAGGTCTTTGGGAACAAATATGAGTATAAGCCTTCTAGCGAAAATAACAATATTTAACTACTAAAAATTCAAAGCAAATAGTCCAGTATTCGGAGAGAAAAGCGATTTTATTATGATGAAGAATTACAAGAACAACAACATAATATCAAAACGATCCATATCTCCATTTCGTGTCCAATGAGAACTCAAAATAAACTAATCAAAGCCACACCCGTCGATTCATAAATGTACAAAGAGTTCGTAAACTGTTCATGCCAAGTGAATAAAAAAAAACGGTCATGGATTCGATGCTTATAAATATCTGTTAACAAAATATGTCGAAACTTTGTACTAGAATACGTAATAGCAAGAGTTATAAAGTTGTAGCCTATTTCACCTTTTGGCGGAGCTGGAGTCGGAGTTGAAATTTTTAACCCTGAGGGGGGAGTAGCAAGAGTCAACTTTTTTCGTAGCAGGAGTCGGGGGTTAATTTATGCCACAAATGTTTGAATATCATTCTTACACAGAAGAGTAATCAAAATTAAAGCGAACCTTTATTTTAATTTTTAAAGAGCACTGATAAAAACATTATTATCAAATCAAGACTGGGGTATCTGGATCGGATTGGACGACATGAAACAAGAAAACGTTTTTACTTGGTCTGATGGAGTTATTTCAAAGAAGAATGCTACTCCCTGGGCTGACAATGAACCAAACAGTAATGGAAACCAAGATTGTGTGAAAATGGCTCCTGGTTATGGATGGAAATTGAATGACCAGCCTTGTGCTGATCTTTATTCTTACCTGTGCGAAAAAGAAGTTGAATAGACATCAGGTCAGCTTAGAAATAACATTGGACTCAGCTGGAGCTGAGAAATATTTCTCTCGTTGATGTATATACAGAAAAACCGTATATTCTCGGATATCCGAGAACAGATTGTTTTATTGGATCTTTTGTACAAAGCCCTCACTAAAAAACACCCTCGCCAACATTTAATCTAAGAAAATTAGTATTTATCCAGTTAGAGTTAGGGATGCAAATTGTGCAGGAAATTCAAATCATTCCTAGCCCTAATCCCAACTGGATAATTCTTAATTTGCTATTTTCGAGTGTTTTTTCCAAATCTTACATTTTTGCATTAGTGGAAGAGGCTTTGTACAAAAGATCCTCTTTATATCGCAATGCATGAAACGACACACAGTGACACAATTCAGACAACTAGTATACACGTATAAGTAAAAGCTCATACCAAATTTTTTGTGCCCCCGTAATATTCGTACCATTTTCCCTTAGGATAGTTACTTAGCCCCAACATTGGTACAAATATAGTAGCGCTCCTTGTGGCGATATCGTCTTCGCGTCAGCGATCTTGTGGTCCAGCGAAGTCGTGAAAACTGCGGATAATGGTAGGCCACTGTGAAAGACTGTACACCGATACTACTCCGTGTCCATATATTTGAGCATCGCTTTCATGTTTGTATTCGGATTATTTGCACGCTTTTTCACTACGATCCTGACTAAAATAGTATGTTGAAAAATGGTCCAAAACGTTACTAGAGTAACATAAATTTATTTTGAACACTTTGAAAAATTGCAATTATACATACTCATGGACGCCGCCGATTTATCCGAATAAATATCCTTCTAGCTGACTTATTTGAAATTGATATGAAATAATTTAGGATTGATTAAGGAAGATTGATTTAGAGTAAAATCCGTGATACGTGTTACAGAGAATCGGAAGAAAACTACACCAGGATAGGACCACACACAGTCTCTCGCCCGGTAACCTGTCCGTGTCGGGTATGGGATTGTTTAGCCAGTTACTTGTTTCAAATGTAATGGACACAAAGATAGAGAAAGCCATAACTGACAAGCGGGCACGTGGATCACCCTACTGCTGCGAAGAGTACAGCAATCCTCTCGCACATAATTATTCGAATCTGCGAACCCCCAGCAGGCAAGCGTATTCTTAACGCATGGCACGATGCGCCAACCGCGGAGCAGTATTTACATACAATAGATTGCGATGTTGCCAGCGCTACATCTTAAGCTATACCAGTGTTTCACAACCTTTTTTGGCTCGTGACCCCCTTCCGGAGGTTTTTAATATTGATTCATGCATTTTGGTAGTTGCTCGTCTGAGACACTATTGATCGTGATAAGATTTCAGTAGCTTAGCAAAATGACTACACCTCTGTAGAGATGGGACGAGTTACCGGTCGAATCGCATTTTAGGGATTCGGAAAGGTCCATGTCATTTTTAGCCTTTAGTCCTTTTTTAATTTTATTAGTAGTGTGTTTACGAATATAACATGATAATAAGTGATACGCCTGTATACGATGCATTTTTAACTGTTTGCTTATGGTTGATACTATAGGACAATTGTTGTTTATAATAAAAATTTAATGTGTAAATTTATTCCTGAACTCTGATCTTTTTTAATATTATTACCAAGTTATTATAAAGGAAAGATTAGTAAATTTATATTTAAATCTGTTGGCTCAGTGAAATATATCTGTTAATCTCTACTTATCAAACCGGCAGTGTATCACTGGTGACATAGTTCTGAGAGAAATTTCCAAATTTAATGAACAAACTTCCTATGAGAATGTATCCTTCAATGGGTACAAACAATTTTGTTACGTCAGTTGAAAATCATCAATATCGCACAATTATAGTTCAGAACTATATTATTTCCATCTCAATAAAGACACTCAAACTTGCAAGTATTTTATTTTTTTATAATAATGTATATTATTGTTATTAGTTCAATTTTCAAATTAACTTTTAGAATAACTTGTTTATCAGTTATCGACGAAAAATATGACACCACACGTTTAGAAGAAAGTATGTTGATAGTCTTTGTCAAAAATCCGCATATTGCTTCACTTTTCATCGTTCGACAAAATGATATTTTTCCAAGTCGCATTTTAATATGTAGCATCATTAACGGCACATTTTAATCCTGTTCCTGCATATATAACATAATCCGTAAATAGAATATGAGGTTAATTTAAAGTCAATGGCGTGTCTAGAGGGAGCCATAGGGGCAGCTACCCCGAGCAACTCGTTCTATGAGTGAGTATGTTTCTTAGTTTAATGGTTTAAATATCAACAATACAATCATTTTACTCTTACTTGACCTTTAATTTATTTAGTTTGACACACTCCTGATTACTGTGCTTGTATATTATTATCCGGACATCCTGAAGTATGCGCACCAAGATGGCGCACAACCTGAACTCAAGGTTGTGTACACTGTACCATGTTAGGGTTCACCAGTGTTCCCTCTAAGGTGTGCGCGCGCACACAGCTTTCAGAGGCTGCGCACACGCATAGACTTACTGCGCACAGACGTATTTAGATGTAATGTAACAATGTGCTCGGTTGGCAGGTAGAGAAAGTTTGTTGTTGGCCCACTTATTACCCTGTTAGAACGTCAAAACTTCTTCATTGGTTTTTGCACAAATATTAATCATTTCCAAAAAAGTGCGCACACACTAAAATTTCTGCGCACACATACTACAAAAAATTAGAGGGAACATTACTTCAGGTTATGCGACATCTTGGTGCGCATACTTCAGGAGTGCCATAATTTATTATCCATATACATAGTATTAGTATAATTATATACATTTTATTTCAGAAGATTAATATGCAACATCTCACAGCAATGCACTAATTTTTACACAGTGCCTTCAATTGGAATATGGTTGACAAAAGCAAGTTCTGGACGGAACAACTTTAATATGTTGCAATAAATAGCTTAGTCTATTAGAATTTCGTTGAGTAAACGGAGTTAAATTTTAATATTTGTTATTTTTCGCGTAATAGCCATAACTAACCTATCTTGCTTGATAACGTCATCCATATTTTCTGGTAGTTTAACGTTGTTTGTTTCTGGCAACAGTAAGCTGATAGCAGCTGACAGGATTGTGAAACATCCCATTGTTATGTATGGAATTTCTCGTCGAGAATTTTCTCCTGGATAGAAAAATCAATAACCAAATTTTTATTAATTTATTTTTCAGAAACTTGAAAATTATTATAATTGAGTTTATTCTTAAGGACCAGAAGATCTATTTTGTTATTATCTTAAAAATAAAGATTTATCTATGAGCGAAGTTACAAGCAAAAAATCTCTTCTCTTCCATCGAGCTATAACGATACATTATAAAACTAACCTGCGAATACCACGTACGGAGCTGAAATTGTTCCAATTCTACCGAATGTAAAGCAAACCCCCAATCCCAAATTTCTTATTTGAGTTGGATATAACTCAATGGCAAAAACGTACACGACTGAAAATACACCCGAGATACAAAGTTTTCCAAGCATCGCACAAGCGGTCATTAGATTTTTGTCAACTGCAAAATTAAAATGATATTATTCAAATAATTGTTTGGCCCTCCAGAAGTATGCGCACCAAGATGGCGCACAACCTGAATATAGTAGGTGTGTACCGGTTAGGATTCAGGTTGTGCGACATCATGGTGCGCATAATTCTAGAGCACTAATTGTTTTTCCTTGAACAAAAAGAAAGCAATATGAATTTGCCTCATGGTTTCGACAATAAAATTATGAGACTCACTTATCTTTCCATATGATTAAGCGGTTAATCCCAACTTAGTAAGCTCATAATATTTTAAAATAAGTATATATTGACGATTACACTATAAACCTGTATTTATACTATATTGTTTATCATAAAAATGCATTGCACGCTCTCATTTGAATACCGAGGCAACAATCTGGTGCAGTGTCACAAACTTTCAAACTAGTTTATTTCATTTTTTTTTTCAGTGTTCTTATATGAATATATTTATCATTAGCAATAACCATTCTGTCTGATAGTTGCAGAACATTATCTCGTAGTTATGGTGCCAAAAATTTTGTTAAAGTAAAAAGCACAACCATTGCACTAGCTTTAAGAATTCAGCACAATTCGACAAATTATATAACTTCATTGTAACTGCGATATCTGGACGGTAGGCTATAGAATACTCTGTTGGCCATGGGCGTTTCAAACTTGTGAATATAAATTACTTTCTTGCTTATACCGTCCTGCTTTTTATTAATAGATATATTTTGACAAGTGTTTGTATTAATAGTTATGCTAAGAATATGTACGAGGTGCGGCTAAAATGAAACGGGACTGACGTCACAGATTGCGCAACACGATTAACCATCGGTAATCAACACTTTTGCAGTGTGGCGTAATATGTGTTCTTTAAACTTAACAGCTGTTTTGACACAATATCGCAATTATTTTTGCTTTCCAGGATCCATAAGTGAATGTGATAAATTTCTTGCTGAAAAAAAATGCTGTGCGAGGTCTGATTGAGTTTAGTCGTATAGTCGCATAGACCAGAAAATGTCTTACTTCAGAATAGAATAATTCTGCAATTTAGTACTGTCTTTATATAGATATAGGGGGGAAAACACAATCTTAGTCTGTGGAAGAAAACATCGTTTTTAGAATGTACGCCTATATTATACATTCTGAATGTAGGTTATGATTACCTCTGAGAAGCAATGGCGCCGATATACAAGATATTCCTGTGATAACCAAAAAAAATGCGAGTGTGCTTCGTCTTCCAAACTTTTCCATGGAAAAATATACCAGAAAGAAAGAAGGTATTTCAACTCCAGCTGCAACAAAGCAGTTGATGAATTTGTTTCCTCCTAAATTTGAAGTTCCCAAGCTAATGCAATAATACGTTAATGCCACAGTCAGCCTGGAAAATAAAAATAATTAGTGAAACATGCAAATTCAGTAACAAAAGCAAATAATCTATATCATTAAATCAGGACCAGTTATCGTTTTCTTAACATCACTAGCCTTTTATTCTCAGCTTCCATTTATTTTAATAAAAGGAAAAAAATATTACGAATTCGTGTTTGATTTATCCTTTTATACAATTACTAAAGACTTACCAAATAAATGCGAGAACAAAGGTCCGATTTCTGACTGATCTGTGTCTCACAAGATCTAACAACGTTGGTTTGAAAGATTCCTCAACATTTACTTCGTCATCTTTTGCATTGATCTGATATTTTGTATTATTAGTTAATTTTAATCTTAACATATTGTCAACAAAAATACATAATTAATTAGCTTCAACCGTTGGGAACTGTTTTAATTCGGTTATCAAATCCTAATGGGTTCCCTAAATGTCTTTTGGAAGTTTGGCATTTGAACTAATTAGCAATTCTTGAAATGATATAAAATATGTGTAATAAAAATACTTTAGTTAGATCCAGGTTGTTTGTTTGTTTTCCGTTGATTTTAGCAATTTTCAATAACAGCGAGTGAGCTTCTGGTTTTCCATTCACAATCAACCAACGAGGTGATTCTGGAATCAACCTAAAAAGATAATGAAGAACAAAAAATGATGCACAAAGATTCTAGACACGAACTGTAATTTAGACAAATTTATTTCTCCTCACCAACAGTAAGGCACAAATAAGATTCCTAATCCTCCGATTGTAAAACACAACCACCTCCAGTCTACAATAAAGTATGCAAATAATGGAAGCATCATGTATCCAACAGCGAATGCACCATTGGCAAGGTTCCCAATTAAAGCACGTTTAGAACGATCCACAATTTCAGCACCTATAAAAATTTGAAGAAACAGACTGGAACCAGTCAATCATAATAAAAATAGGGAAATTCTATTCGAGATAAATCAAACATTTCAGGCTTTCAGAATAGTAAATGATGCGATGAGAGTGGAAGTCGAAGCTATTTTTCGTATTAATGTTCCTGCATATTAATGTTATACCCCTCACAGCGATGTGTGGGGTATTTTAACGAAAAAATACGAAAGAAATGAAAACAAAAATGGATTTAAAACAGACCTATATTTTAAAACAAGCTCTTTTTTAATAGAAATCGACAAATTCCTCGAGCTATTTTTTTTAGCTTAAATCTTAAAATTTGGTTTTAGTTTGGTTGTGGCAGCATCAGGCGGGTCGTAGTTTGCTCATGTCAGTGCTAGACTCTGATATTTACAACATGTGCCTCCAACACGAATTGATGCAAAAATCATAGTAGATTTGAAGATTTACTTATGACAAATGCTCCCGTGTAGTTGATTGGGCCTCCGAATCCTGCTACAGCATATAAGATAGTCATCGTGATGAAATTGTTGGAAAATCCGAGCAAGACAATGAAAAGTGATTGTAAAGCAAGTCCTGCTAAGAATATTACTTTCCGTCCGTATCTAGAATTGTAAGAGATGAATAAAACATCAACGACTCGACATGAAATCTATCTGAAGTAAACTGGTGAATGTTTGGGGAAATTGGAGATGGAATCTGAAATATAAATAAATCAATAACAAGAGTGATGTATCATTGTAAATAAAGAATTGCCATAAAACTGCTATAGCAATGATCATACCTGTCGGATAATGCTCCTCCAATTGTTCCTCCTATGAGTGTCCCTACCATGTATCCTGATATAATGACAGGTTTTATCCAAGAATTTCCGCAGACGAGATTCCACTGTGAGTAAAATGTGCTCTAGGGTGGTTACGCAGTATATATATGTAGGCCTATTTAACCTTGCTATAGGCGTTAATCAACAGTAGCCAAACGAATACGCATAATGTCCATCGTTTCATTTTCATTTCAAATAATCCGTTATTTAATTTTTCATTTCGAGTTATTTATATCATTTCAGTAAATGACAAATCATGCACTTATATGTCTTTAACTACCCCACAATATCTAAAGATTTAGGAGTTAACTTATCTTTTTAGATTAACTACCGCATTGTGATCATACCTCCATTACTGCCGTTGTTTCGTTGAATTTTGTTAAATAATTCCATCCCCGGTCACACCCAATTGTTGTTCTATTTTGGGCATCCTCTGTTTCTTTCCTATATGAAAATAAAATAAAACTTAATTAAACCAGTAACAAAATATGATATCTGATAATGCATTGACTTTTGTATAAAACTTGAAGTTTTTGTTTGAATTTGAAATGTTATTTATTTTCAAATACCCTATCAGCTTTTTCGAAACGTGCTAAAATGTTTATCGTTGGCAGGAAATCACAAAAGCGAACCGATATTATCATTGAACATTCTTCGTACATGTTTTGTGAATTCAAACACTTTTATTTCTGGTTTACTGACCACAGATATCTTTTGCATTTGCTTGGAATCATTTCACCAGCGTCGTTTTCTTCCCAAGGGATGTAGTTTGTTGAACGCAGACATTGATGATTTTCGTCGAAGTCTGAAATTAATTGAATTAAAATATTTATGTTAATATAGAATGACGTATGGTTATAGCGGAATTTTCTGCTTGTCGCTATGATCGGCGAAGGCAAATTATACTTCTGCGATAGAAAATTTGATATAGTGTAAATCTTCTGTAATTTCATACTATTTGTATTCTTCGCTAGAAAATTCGTACCTCTCATAACCAAACTGCATTAACTTCAAATTGAAATGCAAAACTAAGTTGGGTAATAGCTCATGGCAAACAGGTCTCTGGCCAAACCTGCCGCGTGGGATTCAGATCTTGGCGTCTTTCGAGCGCTTGGCAATCTGCTAAATAATATGCAGATTCAACCATTATATATACATGCCTATTTACGCATGCTTATAGTAATTTATTCTTTTAAATCTATATTTTAACGAACTCTAGGCTTCTTACATCACCTTGTTATCATCGTGAATTCCAACGTGGCAGAAATGTTCTGGAATATCGAGTATGAACACAGATAACATAGCATACAATCCGTTTGGAATGCAACTCAAAAGCATTAAAACTACAACTCTTATTTGGTATTTTCCAAAACCTATTTCTTGTAAAACGTCATCGTACTTCATTTTGTCTTATCTAAAAATAACAAGTTACATTATATTGAAATCTTGGTCTTCCGGCTGATAATTATTATCGCTCGTTGACCATATATGACACGGCATCATAAGATATCTCAAAGCAGATGTTGGTTACAAACAATGTCTTTTGCTTACAACATACTAGAAAAATCCACAATTTTTAAACGAATAATTACTGAAAATATAAATTATTTTCACAGCGTTAATTAATTGTAAAATTCTTCTGCAGCATATTCCCGGAATTTTATACACAAATATAATCGTAAGACGAGTCTATGCTTGCAGCGAGAAATAACCAATTTTACACGAACGTAGTCAAAAATACTCTGTAAGAGGAGATCTAATCTTTACTCCTTAGGTTCTGCATCATTTCATCAACTTTCAAGGCGATTAACCGGTTTCAGCTAATCAGGCGCCCAGTTAAGTGAACCGTGAATTCGTCTTCGTGGTTCAGTTTAGTTCGAAATAAAGTGCAGTGAGTCCATGTCTGATGGACGCGTGAGGAAAAAAAGGCTAATCTTAATGCCCACTACATCCACTTGAGGGTGTTTACAGATAACATATATACACGAAGATAAGTTGCGATTGCACTCTCATTAGAAAATTGCCGTAATAAATTACATTATTTCAAAGCTTTCCAGCTATATCTAAACTGTAAATGTTTTATTGGACGCGAAATGGACGTACGAATCGTTTTATTATTATTATGCTGTTGTTGTTTTTCTTGTGAAAAAAATTGCCTTTCTCATTAACTACTAGGCCAATTGCTTTTGAATTTCCAGTGGTGAAAGATTGTATTTATCGCTTGTAGGCTATTACTTCTACTATACGTCAACAAAATCAAAATTTACTTGCAGCGGTTCCGCGACCGCATGTCTGTGGATATCGTGCCTAGCAGAGAGGGGAGAAAAGAAAAGATTTTCCATGGTGTACGGTAGACCAGGGCTACTCAACTGGCGGACCGCGGTCCGAATCCGGACCTTTCGAGTATTGGATTTGGACCGCACCTAATTATTTATTCTGGATCATTAGCCCAACTTTTTGAATTTCCTATTATAAAATGACTTTCATAGTTTTGAATATATACGAAAAGAACTATACCACCATAATAAACACTTTCAATTTGCTACTAATCATTAATCGGTCGAGGAAGTGCTCGTTTAAGGATATTTCTGGAAAGACCAAACCCAAATAATTTTGAAGTTTTGTTTGCGGACCTTCGATAAAAATAGACTACGGTAATGGTAATGTAAAAGATTTGATAATACAGTTGCCACTCGGATCCTGAAAAAACTAGGACATTCCGGGTACCGGTACCCTGATACAAGTACCGGAAAGTTATCGCAGCTGTTCCGCAGTCCTCGCTTCGTTCACGATACCGTATGATTTTCAGGGAAGTTTTTTTGGCGCTCGTGCCCATATATTTAAGCATCGCTCTCTTGTTCGAGTTATACTACGTTGGAAGTGGCCTCTGCCTCTTACAACACTATCAACTAATCTAACATGGCCATTGTACAAAGTAATCGTAAGTATTGGAAAAAGATGTGCTAAGACCGATTGACGCCATCACGTATGGTATGGGTTCAGCCTTTCCTGGTGAAACTGTTTTATTACATGTAATGTAATTGTCATTCATTTTTTCATTTAGTCTCTACAACGCTGTCGCATTAGCCGATAAATTGAACAGGCGGACAACAGCCGTAATTAGGGGATGATGCAAAAAACTTCCACAGTGATATTTCACATTATGCGTCCTAATGATCAAAAAATGTTAAAAAATGAACTTGAATGCTTTTGTGCCCATTATAAAGGTTTAGCGCAAATTATAACCCATTGTCGCATTTCCACCCGGTCAATACCCTTATCTTTTAAATGGTAATGGAAGTCTAAATCGACACGTGTAGTATTGAATTTGCAAATTCCGCCAAAACAATCGTAAAATTTTCGGATATTAGCTATCATAAAGGCGGCACTGTTTTGTTTGAAAATAACACTAATGTAAAAATAAAGGTAATCAGTAATAAGAAGCGTAAAATATATTATTGGGGAAAGCTCTTTTGCATCATCTCCCGGTTATAGAAATTTTTCGCTTTTTAAATTCCTCGGTCAATGCGACGGAGTTAAAGCGTCTGAATAAAAAAAAAGAATGGAAACTAGTTCTAATAATAAAACAGTTCGTGATTGTTTTTGATGTATCCGGCAATGATGCTTTGTGAACTTAACAAACCCTTCAAAATGAAAACGAGAATATCGGTTGGAAACCGAAGACTTATCGATCGATAGTTAGGGGATCCCCCAAAACAGAAACTGCAGTTTCGATTCATCCGTAACTTGCGCACTGCGCATCGCACACACACACTCGGCGGGTTTCAAAATTCTCTCGCTTTACAAAAATCTAGATCACTATATCAATAATTGATTGATAACTCGCTAATTATACGACATAATTCGCCCAAAATCAATAGGCTACTGGTCCGAGATAAGATGAATGCACATGCAAAATCTGGAGCAGATTCAATCTCGCTTTCGTGAGATATCGCGTGCATCTAACAGACAGACATACATACAGACAGACATACATACAGACAGACATACATACAGACAGACATACATACAGACAAATACCTATCAATATACTTACCGATCTTAAGATCGATAAGTAACGAGATAGCAATCAGAGATCACTGACTTATCGATCTAGCGGCGTGTATCCTTCGCTCTGACTCAATAGCGTGGAAACTTTCTCGCACACACACACTCAACACATGCGCGCACTCGCCTAAAAAATTTAGGTCATACACGTTCTCTCGCTTTGCAAAAATCTAGATCTCTTCATTACTAATTAATAATTCGCTAATCAATAACTCGCTTATTATACGACATAATTCATTCAAAATAGGCTTCTGGTCCGAGATATGATGACTGCACATGCAAAATTTGGAGCAGATTCACATCGCTTTCGTGAGATATCGCGTAACATACGAAAGTGTCCAACAGACAGACAGACAAGCGAGATAGCGATCAGAGACCGCCGACTTATCGATCTAGCGCGTGTATCCTTCACGCTGACTCAATAGCGACAACGCGTGTCCCATCACTAATTAAATAATAACTTGCTAATTATACGACACAACTTATCCAAAATCAATAAGCTTCCGGTCCGAGATATGATGAATGCGCATGCAATATTTGGAGCAGATTCAACCTTGCGTTCGTGAGATATCGCGTGTATCTAACAGACAGACAAACAAACAGACAAATACCCATCAATATACTTACCGATCAAGATCGATAATGAAATTAACTTATTTTATTATTAGAACTATTTTTAGTCATTCTTTCACTTAGTCTTAGACTCCACAGCTCCGTGGCATTAGCCGAGGAATTCAACAAGCGGGAAACATCTGTAACTGGGAAATGACGCGTTCTTTGCGTCCCAGTTACAGATGTTTTTGCTTGTCAAACTCTTAGGCTAATGCGACGGAGTAGTAGAGTTTTGAATGGAAAAATGAATGAAAACTAGTTGTAATAATAAAACGGTTCGTGGTCGTTTTTGAAGCATCCAACAATGATGCATTATTTAAAATCGAACTTAATAAACCATCAAAATGCAATCTGTCTTATCAATAAGAAAAATGAGCATATGCAAATTGAAACCAGGTGCGGCACAGGATGTGGGTGCTCTCGTCTGGCAACTGAGTACAAACTATTACCGGTTTGCGTTGGTGAATTGATCTCTCACACCCTTCCTTCACGTACGGACGTATATATACGTCTATGGAACTGAATGTGCTATACAGTGTTCATTAGTTACTTAAGTTCGTCTATATAAGTTAGCGTAACTTTTCTTCAGGTATGTAATCTGAAAACACCATGAAGTTGATATAGTTGACATTAGAAATGGTCTTTTTCCTATAACGCAGCTAACAGATATGCTTTCACCGCGTTGTAATGTTTTTCGAATTAGACTCTACAACACGAATACGAATTCACGCTTCGCATAGCTGAGTGCCCTGATAAGTTGAGTGCGGAAATGATGCAGAATCTAAAAAGTAAAGAATTAGATCGCTTTTTACAGAATATTTATTATTTATACTCGTGTCAAATTTGGTATTTCTTGTTGCAAGCATAGTCTAGTTCTCGTCAATACGAGTTGTTTATAACATTCCGGAAAAATACGGGTGAATAATTTTACAATTAACGCTGTGAGGATCATTTACATTTTTAATAATTACTCTCCTAAAGCTTGTGGAGTTTTCTAGTATGTGGCAAGCAAAGGAACATTGTTTGTAGCCAACATCTGTTTTGAGATACCTTATGATGACGTTTTATGTATAGTCACTGAGTGATAATAATTATCAGCCGGAAGACCAAGATTTTTATAATGTAACTTGTATTGTTTAGATATAAGACAAAATGAAGTACGACGACGTTGTACAAGAAATAGGTTTTGGAAAATACCAAAAAAGAGCTGTAGTTTTATTACTTCTGAGTTGCATTCCAAACGGATTGTATGTTATGCTATCTGTGTTCATATTCGATATTCCCGAACATATCTGTCACGTTGGAGCTCACGATTCGAATAAGGTATAGAAAAAAGCCTAGAGTTCGGTAAAAAAATGGATTCAAAACCATAAATTACTGCATACGCATGCATAAATTGACACTTTATATTCAGCGTATTGTCAAGCGCTTGAGAGACGATAAAAATCTAAATTCCACAATAGAATACTGTCGGATGAGTCAAAATTCTTCCATGAGCCAACCAATGTCCATTTGAATGTAACGTTTATCAAGTTTGAGAGGTTTGAAATGTATAGCAATGAATACAAATATTGTAGTACGAAATTTACATAAACTATTCAATTTCACAATATGTTATTCCCATTATTTCCAGACAAACATCATCAATGCCACGTTCAACAACTACATCCCATGGGAGGAAAACGACGCTGGTGAAACGAGTCCAAGCAAATGCAAAAGATATATGTGGTCAGTAAATCAGAAATAAAAAACGTTGAATCCACGGAACATGTACGAAGAATGTTACCTGCTAATGGCATAGGCTCATTCGGTCTGTTTCCTGATTTCCGACAATTAAATAACATTTCGGCACGATTCGAAAAATCTGATGGACATGTCGAAATAAATACCATATCTAAAGTTCAAATGAAAAATCGAAATTTGAAAAACCTATATAAAAAAGTCAATCCATTATAAGATATCCTTTTTTGTAGCTGGCTTAATGCTTATTTTTTTATATATTTAGGAATGAAACAGAGAATATCCACAATAGAACAACAATGGATTGTGACCAGGGATGGAATTATTTAACAAAATTCGACGAAACAACGGCAGTAATGGAGGTATGATCACAACGTGATAGTTATCCAAAAAGATAATTTAACGCAGAAAAAAAAAACTTTCATATCTTTTGATGTTTTGGCGCAGTTAGTAACATCTAAGCGCTGTGACACATGGGTTTGTCATTTGAGATTTAGAAAAAAAAAATGAAATTATATGAAATAACCTGAAATGTAACACCACGTAACTGACTTTTATTCAATTGTTTGGCTACCATTGATCTACACCATACCAGGGTGGTAATTGGAGTCCAGTAGACGACCTATATTCACTGCATAACCATCCTACAACATATTTTACTCACAGTGGAATCTCGTCTGTGGAAAATCTTGGATAAAACCTGTCATTATATCTGGATACATGGCAGGAACACTCATTGGGGGAACAATTGGAGGAACAGTATCCGACAGGTATGATTTAGCACGAAATATAAAAAAAATATTATTTAATATTTCATTTGTTTATACTTTTGTTCCCTTTCGAATTATTTCTAATTCACATTCCATTCTCCAAATTCCAAAACATTCCCAGCTTACTTTAAATAGTTTTTATTTCGAGTCGTTGATATTCATCTCTTAAAATTCTAGATACGGACGAAAAGTAATATTTTTATCTGGACTTGCTATACAATCCATCTTTATTGTCCTGCTCGGATTTTCCAACAATTTCATCACGATGACCATCTTATATGCTGTTGCAGGATTTGGAGGCCCAATCAACTACTCGGGAGCCTTTATCATAAGTAAATCATAAAAACTAACATAAATTTCACACTAATTTGTGTTCGGTATGCATGTTGTTGATAGCAAAGTTTAAAAATAGCATGTTTTCGATATTTGCAAACTCTATGTTAGTGAAAATAAACGACGTTAAGGAACGCCAAATATATTGGCGCCGAATGGCATAAATGTTTGAATCAGTGCCTTTCCATGACCTTTCATTTATCTTCCATGTGGAAAACCAGTATATATATAGTATTTTATTCTATCACAAATATAATTCACTTCATTTAGATTCTGATAAGCTAAATAGTTTCAGCCTATTTCTTCAATTTTTTATAGGTACTGAACTTGTTGATCGTTCTAAACGTGCCTTAGTTGGAAACCTTGCAAATGGTGCGTTTACAGTTGGATACATGATGCTTCCTGCATTCGCATACTTCATTGTAGACTGGAGATGGTTGTGCTATATAATAGGAGGATTAGGAATCATATTTGTGCCGTACTGTTGGTAAGGAGAAATGAATTTGTCCAAATTACAGTTTGTGGGTTTATCTAAAAGATCTTTGTGCATCATTTTTTTAGCTTTATTATTTTTTTAGGTTGGTTCCAGAATCCCCTCGTTGGTTAATTGCAAATGGAAAACCAGAAGCTCACTCGTTGATATTGAAAATTGCGAAAATAAACGGGAAACAAACAAACAATCTAGATTTATCCCAAGTAGTTTTATTACACATATTTTATATTTTTTTTATTAATAAATTGATGTTTTTAGGCTTTGCCAAAACTTCCGGAGGAATTTACGAAGCCGTTTAGCATTTTGACAACCGATAGAACTGTTTACTAATGATGGAAATAGTTAATCATGTAATTTACTTGACAATATGTTAAGGTGAAAATTAACTAATAATACAAAATATTAGATCAACGCAAAAGATGACGAAGTAAATGTTGAGGAATCTTTCAAACCAACGTTGTTAGATCTTGTGAGACACAGATCAGTCAGAAATCGAACCTTTGTTCTCGCATTTATTTGGTAAGTCTTTAGTAATTGTATAACAGGATAAATCAAACACGAAGTCGTGATATTTTTTTTTCTGTTATTAAACAAATAGAAGCTGAGAATAAAAGGCTAGTGATGTTAAAATACTGATAAAATGAGCCTGATATAATTATAAAGAATATTTGCTTTTGTTACTGAATTTGCATGTTTCACTAATTATTATTATTTTCCAGGCTGACTGTGGCATTAACGTATTATTGCATTAGCTTGGGAACTTCAAATTTAGGAGGAAACAAATTCATCAACTGCTTTGTTGCAGCTGGAGTTGAAATACCGTCTTTCTTTCTGGTATATTTTTCCATGGAAAAGTTTGGGAGACGAAGCACCCTTGCATTTTTTTTAGTTATCACAGGAATATCTTGTATATCGGCGCCATTGCTTCTCAAAGGTAATCATTCAAAATGTATAATATAAATTCCAAAGCGATATTAACTTCCGCATACAAATATTGTGTTTGTTCTTGTTCCATATATCTATATCAAGACAATATTGAATCGCAGAAATGTACTATCCTGAAGTGGGACATTTACTACATATGTGAAACTTTTATTTGGTACTTACTATTTCTGTGCTTGTTATCCAAAATGAAATAGCATAACAATTAATATTGACATTTCGTGTACAAAAATATATAGCTTAATAAGAAGCAAGAAAATAATATATTTTAGCAAGTTTGAAACGCTCCCGGCCAACAGAGCAACAGAGTGTTCTATGCCGCTCAGATAACCCAGTTACAATCAAAATTAACAGCCAAAAGCGGGAAAAAGTATAAATTAATTTTCCTAATAAACCAACTTGTATTTTTCCGACAACAATTTATCGGGTATCGTAACATTATACGGCTTTCCATAACTGTCAATTTTTTGACGAAATTAAAATGAGTGCGTGAATTAGACGACTTGCAAGGGAATGGCCGCGATGTCCATCACGCAACCGTGCAAAGGTGTAGCAACAACATGCGGCGCACGTTCCCCCCTACGACAACAAACAATCAAAGTGCCGATTCTATTTCATCGTCATTACAATATGTGACGAAGCGCAGGAAATCGTTTCAAAATTTCCCCGAAAACAAAACACCTTGCTGATGGCGCAGCTAAAAGTGGCTTAGCCGATAAAGTATTCAAATACTTTAATATTCGAATATTCGCTTCGTTTTGGACAACCCTGTATGGAAATCTTATCAAACTGGGAATAACCTCTTAGTCATGTGGTAGAAAAATAAGTATGTATCATAATTGTATTACCAAAATTAAATAAAAAACAATTAATTGAATAATATCCTTTTGCAGTTGACAAAAATTTGATGACCGCTTGTGCAATGCTTGGAAAACTTTGTATCTCGGGTGTATTTTCAGTCGTATACATTTATTCTACTGAGTTATATCCAACTCAAATAAGAAATATGGGATTGGGGGTCCTCTTCGCAATCGGAAGAATTGGAACAATTTCAGCTCCTTACGTGGTCTTTGCAGGTCAGTTCAATAATAGATTGTTATACATATATAACTACATAGAAGGTATTTTCTCGTGCTAATAGATGAATCTCCTTCATTTTCGAGTCAATAGTCTAAAAAAAACAAAATATCTGGTTCTCAAATAAATTAATAGAAATGCGGTTATTGGTTTCCTCATTCTAGGAGAGAATGCTGGACGAGAAATTCCATACATAACAATTGGATGCTGCACAATCCTGGCAGCCGTTATCTGCTTACTGTTGCCAGAAACAAACAACGCCAAACTGCCAGAAAAAATGGATGACATCATCAAGCAAGAAAGAAAAATGACAATAGTTAAAATTTAACTCCGTTTACTCAACGAAATTTTATTCGACTAAGCAAGTCGATTGCAATATATTAAAGTTGTTCCGTCCAGAAATTTTGTCGACCATACTCTATTGGAGGCACTGTGTAAAATTTACGTGTAACTATTTTCTAAAAGGGCATTGCGTAAGTTATATATTGATCGTTCGAAAAAATATATATTTATACTTATTTGATAATAAATTTCAAACGGAGTAATTTAGCGTTAAATTTTATTGGCGGACTCTGTTGTGTGCCGGTACAAGATTAAATGCAACTTAGATTATTTTGTTAAAAGATCATACGTCAGTGTTTCCAGAAGGGGTCAGGTGCTCCTCCACAATTTGCTAAGTGCGCCTAAAATATAAACAGAATTGTGTTGAACCTAAATAATATATGATTGAATAATCCAAATATTGTATTTATTATATGTGTTCTACCTTTCAATGTTGTTTACCGACATGTATGGCGCTAATCTAATTGTCACCTTATACTCAACAATCGACAACATAGCTTTAGGCCCAGTTGGTTTAACTTGCAGGGGTCGGGAACCTTTTTGGTCAAGAGAGCCCTAAAATATACATATTTTCAATTGCATTTCCGTGCGAGCCATATAACATTTCTTCACTTAATCAGGCCTGAAATGTTTACTCAGAAGTCAACACGTACAATGCCAATATACATTTAATGTGATTTCTGATGCTGCGTGTAGTCGCTGCGGGCCTTGAACTTGCTCACTTGCAGCCCAAGTTGAAATCTACGATACTCATCACCCTTTTTCGTTTAGGCATCTCCGTAGTGTTTTTAAAACTCTATCGCTTTGTGATGTCACGATATATGTTCCAGAATCCCCTTGTTTGTCACAATGCCTGTCTGGTGATTATCTTACATAACATAGACATGAGCTGGGCGCGCGTTCTCAAACGTATTGGGAATTTCCTGCCAAAATTGGCTATAAAAGTGTTTGAAATCTCGTAACAATAGTATGCTTAGTCTTAGAATATTAGTTTTTTTAGGGAGCCATATGCCGTCACCAAAAGGGCCATATATGGCTCGCGAGCCATGGGTTCCCGACCCCTGGTTTAGGCAACAGTTCATATTGCAATTGCAGTTCAAGGTAGTCATCCGAAAAGTTTCGCGTGAAAGGAGGAGTTTTGGTTCGAGAAGGCTGCTGTGACTTTTATGCACATTTCAAAATAGCCACAAGCTAATGAATAAAAATCCGTTTGCAACAAAGTATGATTTGTATATACCTACCAACATCTCAAATTAAATTAAAGGAATTCGTATATAATAGCAAAATGGTTAATAGTTTACTCTATTTCGTTTAAGATACATCGGTCATCACTTTCTTTAAGGATACTTTAATGATGTGGAATTACAAATAATTTTAATATCCATGATTAGATTTTAGATTTTGTTATTTTTATTCACTTCATTATCAGCTCATTTTGAAGTTCTGAGGTGACCACTATTCCAGTGGCGGCGCGTGGTCATTTTGACAACCGGGGCAAGCTACTGCGGGACCAAGTCACCCCCATCTACGGGGACAGGATGAGCGCTGTAAGTTCTCCCATCATTTTATGAGTATAAAAACCATTCCATCGGTAACAACCAATCGGCAAAAGCGACAATTTTTAACGATAAGAAAGTGTCTTTAAAACCGGTCCAAGTCAAGGGATTAATAAATATAGACATACCGTAGTTTATTTTGAAACCTCTTTCAAAAGGAAAGGCAATATTTACCCAGATAAATACAATGACATATTAACAGAAACTTCGGGAAAGCAGACAAAACCTAAAATAATGTTTAAAACGTTACTATGAAGAAAGGAAAGTTAATGCAAAGATAAGGACATGCGTCGCTCACTCATAGATATATATGCTGCTAGACTTCTACTGCTTGAACATATATGCAACACGCCGCGGTTTCTTGGAAGCAAAATGCTCAATAACGCGCTGATTAAAGTCATGCATCCTAGAAATAACGTCTCTGTGAATGGATAAAACAGCCAAGGAATTTAATCTATCTTGCTTCATTGTGTTTCTGAGATACGTTTTAATACGCTTCAGCGTGCTGAATGTTCGCTCTGCGTCGGCGGAAGAAATAGGCGTCGTCAAAATGATGTCCAGAAATTTTGCAGACGCCGCAAAGGTAGTTACTAGAGTGTTATCTATGAGGAACCCATAGAGCGCGCAAGTTGATGTGATGTTCAAAAAGTTTGATTGGTGTATATACATCGCAATTCATTTTCCAATTTACCCACGTTTATCATGGGGTAAAATTTGGAGACAGTAGCCAACAAATGGATGGGAAATTGACGTGCAAATTTTGAAAATTTTTGGGGTTCATCAAAGAGAACGCGGCAAGGTGTTCAGTGCGCAGGCGATCGCCTATTTGATTCACCAGAATGTCACAGCATTCCTTTGCAGACAAAATCAAACGCAGCGTTGTTTGCCCGCGGCGTAAAGAAGCACTCCATGTGTCGTCGTATTTTATTGTTTCCCGGATACGCGTTCGTCCCAAACCGGAGAGCTCTGAATGCCATTGAAACACTCAATGAGCTCAGACCTAATTTCGGACACGCCCTGCACCACGCGTGATTGGAAGTTCCAACGTGTTGGTGCACAAGCTGGGAGACGGCGGCTACATATCTGGCGAAGGAGGTCAGAGCGCTTCGGCGAAACGGAAAAAAATGAAGAAAACCCCGAAACATTTGCAAAAAATATACGGACGAGAGGGGTATCAAGACACATATTTTCAATAACGAGGTTAAATTGGTGTGCATAACAATGAAAAAAATGCGCATGAGGAAAATCTTCTTTTATATAAACTTGAACACCATGTTTCGACCCACTCATGACTGCCGCGCCGTCATAAGTTTGAGCTATCGATTTTGGCTTCGCGTTGTAAGGCTGTAACACTTCTTTCAGTACAGCCGATATCCCGCAAGCCGTGCGATCAACGATTGGTACAAAGCTGTGAAATCTCTCGGTAGGTTTACCATCTTTCACAAACCGAAAAATCACAGCCAGTTGGGAAATGCACGTGATGTCAGTTGTCTCGTCAGACTGAATCGAAAAGAACTGGCAATTCTCAATTTCCAGAGCCAAATGTTGTAAAAAAAATTTATACATTGAGTCGAGCAAATCATTTTGGATATCCTTAGATGTCCCTTTCGAAACAGTTGCGGCATCAAGATGATCTCTCAAAACTGTATCTAGGGATGCGGTGTATTCCACCATATCCAAAAATACCCCTCTATTAGAAGAGCCAGCCCGTTCATCGTGCCCACGGAGGGACAGCTCGTGACAACCAATGAACTTCAAAACATCTATCAATCGACCGAGAACATGGCGGTTTTTCTCGACGTTTTGGTTGTGCCGACGAATAGAAACCGCGCGTCCTTCATCCAACTGTGCTGCAATATTAACATTTCCGAATGTTCGGTATTTTACTGCATTGTCCAGATGCTCCATTGAAGATTGATGATCCCTGGCACGCTCGGAAAGATGTTTAAGATATCTAAAACCAAATTTACACCAACGTGAGTCACGGGCGGTAGCAAAAAGTAGGCAATAAAAACAAAAAGTGCATTTTTGTCCTCGCTGTAACACAACCATTCGTGTTTTTTATACCAAGTTTCTGCGCAGAATGTACGCCGACGCTTTCCTCCGTCATGGGATTGTTCCAGTGAACAATTTTTGGGTTGATAAGGCCCAAGACGTTGTACCTCTAATTTTTGTTCCAGCGGTAGCTGCGAAAACGGAGTGCGAAGTAGTGCATCAACCTTATTCATTATGAGGTCTAAGGCTAAGAAATGCGAAGCCGGAAAGAAGTGAGGAGCTCAAAAGGAATGTGGAAAATCGAAAGCAAATGGACTAAAGTTCTCTAACTGATTCAAATAACGGAACAAGCGACAAAAACGAAGGCGAGGAAACTATCAACTCTTCAAGCAACCAACGAACGAGAAGGAATGCGTGAATATGTCAACACGTTGTTGTAAGAAACGTCGGCATTTTGTCGTCATAATTTCGGGGCTAGCCCCGATCGGCCCCGTTGATTTAGTAAAAGAAACAGAAAACAAACGAGACAAACGCGGCGAGTGGAAGATAAAAGAGAGAATACGATATACAATGAGCAACCGGGGCAAAATCGGCGTCGCCCCGTCGACGTTCGGCGAAGGCTTTGCGAGCGAAAAATGAACCATCTCGGGAGAATATGGCTAGTGTAGACAGTCTGTGCAACCGATATTGAGGTATTTTTCGAAAAAATTTTATTATACCGAAAAAACAATCGGGGCATTGCCCCGGTTGGCCCTATTGACGCGCCGCCACTGCTGTATTCGCATTTTTAATGATAAAAAATACCAAGTTGCGTGATTATACAGCGCCTAATAAAATTTCCCTTCTAGCAGTTCTCCCAGAAAGAAAACGTCAATAACTTTGCTAATAATATTTGATATTATTACGCAGGAAGAACAGGGCGATTCAGTTAAAATTCAAACACAAACAAAAATTAAACAATGCCTCCAAAACAAGCATGAAAATCGTGCTTGACATAAAGCTTGACACTGAAATATTTTCGCGGTTGAAGGTCGAGTAAATATCAAGTCAAGTTTATTTTTTCCAACTAGTAAAAAGAACGAAAATAATGGAAAAAATTCATATTTACATTACTGGGGAAGGAAAGCCGCTGGGAACCAAAATTGGTTATCGAGCAGCGATACATTTAACATCAGCGATTTAACATCTAATTCAACAGATTGGAGAGGGTAGTTTCAAAATTACTGATATTATTGAAAAATACCATATGAATTTTGCAAATTAGCCAACTAACATCGATTATTAGAAATTATTACTAGAAAAAATTACCTGTATCAAATGAGCCATGCATATGACCAGCTAATATCCGGGAATCCCCTTTTGTTTCGGAATACCTGTAGCGAATGTGTCGTTCTGCAGAATAGCTGCATTTCATGGGGAAATACCCGGTTCTGATTATTTCTGGCACTGTTCTCTGAAATTGAAATCAAGGCCATGGACTTGCATATTTCCACGGATTGGAAGGGTAATAAGTTTGACCATGATCTCATCCATTTCAGTCTCGGTAATGAAGAAAGCGGACTTGTTGTCAACATCAATGCACCATTCTTCAACGATCCAAAAAATCCTGGAGGCAATCGAGGAGAGCCATTTGATGAATTGTGGGAATTTGAGGGTAGGATAGGATAGGATTTACATATTGATCCAGGGGGCTTAACCATATTGCGTACCACGGCCTCTTGTCTGGTCTGGTTACGGTGCCATTCCATGTCAGGTATGGGATTAGTTAGGTATTAGTTTTTGGAAGCATGGACTCGATGGTGGAGGAAGCTGTAACCGAAACCACCCTACAGCCGTGAGGAGTCCAGCAATCCTCTCACACATAGCCATCCCTGCATTGAATCCGAACCTGCGAACCCACGCAGAGCAATCAGGGTTCGGTGAGAGTGTATTCCTAACGCTTACACGATGAGTCACACCGCCGCGCAGGTACTACAATTTTCCTGTAACCTATCAGCTACTTATTTATTTTGTACTATGCCAAATTTTATTCTAGCTCTTATCAATGTGCAGTAAACGGAAATGCAACAGTCTTTTTTACTTTTTAGTTGTTGAACTCTTTTTTCTGGACGACCAAAAAGAAGAGTATTTAGAGGCAGAATTTTGTCCGTGAGTCAAATTTATTTCCAAGTAATCAAGTGTTATCGTGATGGAATTTTATCACAATTTGTATCGAAACTTTTAATGGTGTATATTTCTGTTTAAAACCCACAGCACAGCTTTAGATTGTCGCTGGTTTGGTGACTCATGGTTCTAATTCAAGATTGAGCAATTTAATTTGAAGTAGGTTATTCTATTACTGAAGTTGACCTGTGAGTCATTTAATGAGAATTTGACACCGGAACAGAAAGCACTCTCCTTCCAGATCAATCACTGTTCGCCATATGATTATGCTGTCTTATCTAATTCCCTATCCTGTGGTATAACTCTCTGGATACCTCATTTCAACCTATTTACTATCTTCGATTTTTAGAGGTACTCGAGTTAGGATCACAGTGCGACTTTCATGTCTATTTACCAGTATTTATACGTTCCCTTGTTTATGTAGCCATGGCCAGCATCAAGTCCTCGTTCTGAAAGGTTGCAGGAAGCCATGGAAACTCAACCTTGAATTAAAAGACTTCGAATCAAGAATAGAAGGAAACTCCTGGACTGGAAAAGCAATTCTCCCATGGGGGTATTTTCCAGAAAACGTCAACAAACTGAATGCATTTGCCATACATGGCTCTGGGGAAAAGAGAGCATATGAAGCATTGTACCCAGCCACTGAACCCCACGAAAACCCTGATTTGTGAGTATTAGCGCATTTTTGAACTTTGTTGGTATACAAATTTTGGTTCAAAGCAACACCATTCAAAAACCTGAGATAGATATGGAGCAGGGACCAAATACCTCAACCAATTCCATATATACGACTGAAACTATAAATCTTCGATTTTGGGCAAACTTTTTCATTATATAGCTTATAGTTATACTATAAAACAAGAACAATTTTGAGTGTTATAATAGCGAAATGTCTACTATCATGTCGCCTGAATGCAGCAAATTTGAATGTTCACTGTAATAATTACATTCTCATTGTTGAATCGTGACACTGACCGAACATTGCAAAAGGCTCAGCTGCTACCGCACCTCAGAAAACAGTTCACTTCCAGTCTTTATTGTTGAGTGTACAATTTATTCAAAACAGCAATAGCCAAATGCTAATATTCAAGACAGTAAAATTTTTACTTTTTTTTTTCAGCCATCGACTGCAGTATTTTCAACCATACAAACTACCAGAGATATCAGTTGGAAAGACGAGAGATAGAAAGATATGGGAGTGAAGATACTTTTAATTCAGCAAATTTTTTCAGAGTGCAATAATATTAATTTATAAAATGAATAGCGTGGCAGTTTGGATTTGGACATCATTTACAGACGGTGCTCGTTTTGAATTTCAGTTACAAACAAGCATAAAATCTACAAAACCAATAGATGAACAAAACAAACTGCACATATGATTATATAAATAAAAGGGCAGTCGGTAATTAAATCACAGCAATATGTACAAAAATAGGCAGAAGCATAAAAAGTTGTTTTAAAATTGACTAAATCACTTACTGTATGATCATCTTATTTCTAAATTCATTTAATTCACCAATATGATTTATCTGTAATAATTCCAAAATCGGCAACTCAGAAAATATCAATGTGGAGGCAACTTTGTATTCGTGTGAATTTAAACACAGACTTTTCGAACCTGCCCAGCCCTCAAACAGAGATAATCACCCATCCGAAAATTTCCTTCCAATATATCGGAATAGTACATCAAGTATTTCAAATGGACATTGCTTAAGTGAGTATAGAAAAGTAAATCTTGTAATAAAATTCATTCCAAGATTTGCTAAGGCTACTGATTATCTACAAGGTCAAAAAATACTCATTATACTAAAATGTTTATATATTATCGTGTATCTGGCAGTTGGAACAAAATTTACGACAACTCTAAAATCTGGAAAGTAGAGCATATTATGCCGATAGGTGCAATAAAATTATTTCATATATTCAAAGATTAAAACTTTAATACAGTTGATATATCTGCAAAACTATCACCCAACGCCATATTAGGATCAAACACGATATCACAAGTTACATTACATTTCTGATCTGGTGCAAGTGAAGGAAAAATCTCTTGTACTGTTGATAAGCAAGGTTCGTGGTCTTGTAAACTTCTGGGATAACTTTCATGAGCAGCTGCAATTCTTGTTGATCTCCGCACAGGAGTGATTATAGCACTTGCATCACCAGGGAGTGCTCGAAGTGCTTTCAATCTGAAATGATTTTTAAACATAATTAAATATACAAGCGGAAATTTAGAAAGAGATTGTGGTAAGCACTCAGTGTATATCATGAAGATATTATCCGTTTACTCGGCAATTTCTCAGAGCCAGTAGAAGCTTGGATAAGCCAACTAAAAAAATAGCTCTATAACACATACTTTTGAATTTATTTAATCATTCAAATTTATAACAGATCAGCTTAGTAGTTGGAAGATTTAAAATAACGATCTATAAGATCTTTGTCTGTGACCAATAATTCAAAGCTCCATCACATCCTCAAAAACCATCTAATGAATCATTTTGTCTCCTAGAAGGTTATTTCGGTTGTATTTTATTCTGAGCTGCTTTGAACCTGTTTTACTGACTTGCACAATGATGCAAGCTGCAGTCTATCCCAGTGGCTTTGAAACTTTCATAATCTGTTTTAGAACTAAAAAGACAACAAACAAAAGTAAAAGAATAATATCATCACAGTCTAACAACTGGACAAATCAATCCTTGTTAATCAACCAGGTTAAAGTTAGGCCGTAATTTCATTCAGATTTTAGTTCTATTACGAGTTTGAGGACCGTCTGTGTTAGCCAAGTGAATATACCCCCTGTCCATAGGTTTCAGTCCCCTTACACAACTTGATATGAGGTAGGCTAACAAAATTATTTACCTCTATATCAGTACACACACTTCTGAAGCGCCAATTAATAAATGATACCTAGCGGAGACCATCGTTTGTGACATCTCGGGAGGTCCACTTTGAGGACTTATTTATTTGCCAACTGTAATATCTTCTTCACGCTCAACTGTCTTACTTATTTAATCGCTAACTGTCTTCTTTTAAACATATGACACATTCCCAAAGGCGGCCTGTTTAAAATCTATAAAGCAGACATTTACCTGTTGAATACTGGTGAAGATTTGGACACCATCCTCAATTTGACAACAGATGAGGGAGAGCTAACTATGTTTGACGGTGAAGCAGTCCTTTGTTGAGGACTTTCAAAGACTATTGGTGAAGTGGCAGCATTTTTTAAAATAGGTGTTTCAGATCTGATAAATCTTTCCACCATTGGGTTAGGTGTTTTGCATTGATTGGACGGAACTGTTTGGTAGTTGTCATCATCAATTTCCACTGAAAATAGTCAGAAAGCTCATATTAAAAAAGTCATATTTTTATTAAGAAAAGTTATTTTAAAATATATCTAATGTCAATCGATGTCTTGATAATAAACTACGTACATGCAGAATACATGCACTTCAAATATCCCTATTTTGCCAGGTTGCGGTTAGTGATTGTGTGTGTGTGTGATTGTAACAATTATTTTTTTCTGGCAACAGGCAAGGCTATTTCTCTTTTTAGTAAATACTACAAAGGCTCATAATGTTAAGACAGACATTGCCAATAATTTCTTGATGAAGCATGAGTGAGTGAATTAAATTATATCGAAATGTCAGACTGTAAAACAATTACTGGTACATAGAACTAGTTTTCATCTTTTACATTTCGAAAGTTTTGCTCAAATCAAATGCTTTACAATACTCTTAATTAACCTAAGAATTAAATACCCCTTTATCCTTCCCACCTATATAACAGACAAACAACTGATAATCTAATTATAATATTCTAGATTAGAATATACCTGAACTTTCATGCGACAAAATTCTTGTGTCTTTCTCTATTTTTCTCTCATCTTTTGGTGTCGCAATTTTTTTCAATGCCAGATTGTTGATTGCTTCTTTTATTTCATCCAATGGCTAAAAATCATATTTATTGTGTGATAATAGAAGACTGAGCCATGTAAAATATGCATGTATCCCATACCTGTGCTCTAGCAAGAACAGCTTTTTCCAGTAAATCGCAAATTTGATCGTCCGACATTCCCTCTTTCTGCTCAATCTGTATCAGCGCTACCCAATATTTAGCATGGGATTCAACGCCTGGCATTTTATCGGCTAAATCTTGTAATGTGCTGCGAATAATAAGAGTAGGACATCCCTAAATATAAAAACGTTATTGAATACATGTACAATTACTAGACACGTTTGGACCTATAACTTTGACGTAATGTTGTTTTGGTTACTGGGGTTATGAAAATCGCCTTTCTCCGCTACTAATGGACCTACTGGGCCTAATATTTCACAAATTTTATCCTTCATATTCATGAGTATACTATTATATTACACCTAGTCCTTTGGCAGCGCATAGATTTAAATCTTCAACTATTGGACATGGAGTCCGACCCTTTAGCTGAATCATAGTTGTTGTTGGGGTCGTAAAAAAATAATGGACCAAGTATTTTCAAACAAAAATGCTGTAAGTTTCTAGAAGGTTGTTACTTTCATTTCAAATTTTATTCTAAGTGTTATAACCCCCATATTACTCCACAAGTGCATGTTCATATTATATTCGATACAATTCTTTAACATTTGGCTAGAATTTTGTTGGTATTGCATTAGTCATATAAACTTTGTGTCCTTATATTTGAGTATAGCAAATCATTCCTCGTAAGCAAACTATTATTCTGAACAAGTTATCAACAAGGTAGATTTCATTGAATGCTCTGTATATGAGTGAAATAATATTTACTTCGTCAATACAATCTTGCACATCTTTCATCGTATGTCGAATAAGAACAGTCAATTCATCACTGTCATCTTCATCTCGTAATCCCTGAAAAATAACATTTGTCGTGTGTCGCATTTCCATGTTTTTTTAATATAAAAATGCTGTTTATGATCTATTTTGCACCAAAGTGATGGCATACAGTTTTACAAAGTGTCAATCAATATTTAATCAATAATTCTGTTGCAGGGGCAGAAAAAGAAGCAAAACATACCAAATACGATTTTGGTAACTAGCTGAAATAAAGTATCGAAAATAATAATACATGATATGTGTATGTCTCAGTCACAAATGTGAAGAATCAATAAAACATAAATCACAAAAAATTATTTAATCAAATACTAAAATACACTTCTGATAATAAAGTACAATATTTCTAAAATACCAAATGAGATCTTATTCATAGTCCACTATTCAGAAACGCCAAGCATAAAACATGGCGAAACCATTGAACATTTGCTGCACACTAACACAAATGTCATATTTCGTCTGCCCAAACTCAGACTTCTTCAGACAAGCTTATTTCAACTTCGACAGACCGTACATTTGTTTTAGTGAGCAGCAAGACTCTTGAATGAAATAGAATCTGCAATCATACTGTTAACCGAACTCACGCAATTTTCAATTGAAAAGAATAATGATTTACCGGCCAATGTGAACCTCCTGGAGTTTTTGCTTTAGGTGTCCGTGCCGGTGATCCAACAGGAGTCGCAATTGTTTTGGTGGGTTTGAACCCTCGTAACTTTCTTCCATCAAGTGGCTTTTTTCCTTTCGCCAACAACCAGTTATTCAACTTCTCACTGAATTTAAATAACGCTAATACACTATACTCAAGTAAATATACAATAACCAATAAAGAAGGTATTAAATATTATCGATATAAATATCAGAACTTGGCTTGCTATAATACTAGATTACACACCAGAATATCTGGAAATATTTAAACTCAGCGACCAGCCTACTATGTAAAGTGTTAGGAACATGCTTGCCATTGCACCTCTGATTGCCCCGCATGGGTTCAAATCCTGTGAGGTCTATTTATCTGTGATAGGATTGCTGGATACCTAGCAATTTTGTAGGTTTGTTCGCAGTTACAACTTCAACCACCTTTATGGTTAACTATTCCCAAACCGACATTACATGGATTAATAGCCAGACGAGGGGAACATATGATTATCAAAGTCAAGCAACTTCCATTGAAATATTGCTAAAAGTGTGTTTAAATACCAGCTGAGAAAAGCACCTATTTATTTAAAATATTTTCAAAATTTCAACACTCGTCCTTTTGTCTTGAAATTATTGTTAAAATACTTACTACAGCTTTATTTCCTGATCATTCAACTTGGTAGAAGTAGTATTCGCTGTTCTTGATGTCGCTAGATAAAAATTAAAATTGTCATTAAGGTCATTTTATGTGCAGTACAAACTATATTTTTACTAGCCACATGGGGAAAAAAATGATTAAATGGCTCAATTATGGTAAACTGTAGTCGAATCTTCCGATTGAAATTACAATATCTAAAAAAACCTCACTGATTAATCATTTCTAAGCACGAATTTAAATAGTGGATGAATTCATAATCGCAGCCTCGCAGGCCTGCAAGTCATGCCATAGCTGTATACATGGCAATGCTCTGACCTAATTTTGCGAACACTTCATAAATATTCCAAAAATTAAAACCAATGCGCTCTATCTGACTATATTTGAACCAGGCAAAAATCAAAATACTTTGGTATAAACAAGTATATTGCTTAATTGGAAGTTCATTACATATTTTGAATTGGAACATGAATATAAAATTGTAGGAAAATGGTTAGAGTAAGCTCTGAAAATTAGATTCATGGCAAATTTCATTCAATTATACTTGAACAATAATAAATTTATCGTCACAGTTATTTCCATTGTGATTTCAGAAAATAATACAATCATAATATTGTAAGCATGAAGAAAGTACATATTGAATTATACCCGAATTTTTCAATATTAAATACTCACAAGCCATTCGTGGTCCAGCTGATTTACATTGCATAACTCTTTTTCTCAATGAACCACTTGTTTTTGGAGTTTTCGAGCGCACTTTCTCTGAAATAAGACATTGGGCATATACCTGTCATTATAATTTTTCCTGCATAATATATGATTACATCGCGAGAAGAACAATTGATATTAAAGCCTGAAGGGTCTATTTTCTGTTGCTACCACTACATATTACCTATCATATCCGAGGACCTAAGAGAATGTAGTTCATTGATTAAAGATAAATTAAAGGTTCCACGCTTCTTAAATGTTCAAGATATAGTTTGTTAGAAAATCACCAAAATATCAGTTTTCATGGAAATATGCGATTTTCACAGTAGATTCATGATTTATGCAAAATTTATTTGATTAAAAATCCAATAAACAAAATTTCAAAACAATTCAAAATATAAATAACTAGCTATTAGAGTGAAAAAAAAACATTATTATTCGCCGACAAATTATTTTATGGACATTTAGTCAAAGCAACTAAGCAAGTTTACATGCGTAAATACCGATTAGCAAAAGACTTCAAGCAGTTTATGTTATTAATATGATCAGAAAATAGCTATTAAGTAGTGAATTCCAATATTTTTTTGAAGGTAGGTACACTGATAGTAAATGAGTGAGAGCTCACAGTCAAGCGAGCTTAATATTGATACCTTTATACCAATTGAAATGATTTTTCCTCACCCCGTCTCTCATATGAAACTGCCGTCTTTGAGTTTGTTTTCGGAGTGATATTCCTATTTAGTTCTTGTTGTTGCAACACATTTATGCTTCGTCTCACTAGTTTTCTTCTCATATGTTCAGTAACACTTGTTGATGGAATTTTCACTTTAGGTGTTTTGGTAAGTCTGTGTTTTCTGATGGGTGTTTTTGATGAAATATTTTCTTTCAGATCTCGCTGTGATGGTTGTGCTTTCCTTATTGTAGATTGTGGAGTTTTCTGTAAAAGGTTTCTATGTCTCTCGGACCTGAATATGGAAAGTAAATGCAGAATTAAAGAAAGTTGGGGATATCTCAGTTCCAACCCACTGGTTGGAATATGCTTGTCATCACATCTGCACAGGTTTGCAAGTTTGAATCCAATGAAGGTTCACGTAACCGCTGAGGTAATGCACCACCGATAATGATAAGTTATAATGTAGTAGGCCTACTCAAATAATGGAAGTCCACACAAAAAATAAAGTCATAATCGTTAACAATAGAATAAATAGATCGGTGTACCTTGCAATATTATGAGGATAGGATAGGATTTACATATTTATCCCGGGGGAGAGGAAAGCCGATAAGACGGCTTATCCATATGGCGAACCACGGCCTCTCGTCCGGTTACCATTCCAAGTCGGGTATGGGATTAGTCTTTACTGTATTGTTTGTTTTTCGGAACATGGACTTGGTGGTGGAGGAAGCCGTAACCGACCAGCGGTTACGTGAACCACCCAACGACGGCGAGGAGTCCAGCAATCCTCTCGCACATAACCATCCCTGCATGGGATTCGAACCTGCGAACCCACGCAGAGCAATTAGAGGTGCGGTGGCGAGCGTATTCCTAACGCTTAGCCCGTTGAGCCACACATACAGAGTAAAGATTTTAAAGCTACATTCAATTGGCTTACATATTTCTAATTGGTGTCTTCTTGGACGAATGAGAACTGCCATGATTGTTATTGTTTTTGGGCGTATTCAACTTCAAGTTTTTCCTTGCTGGCTTTGATTCATTCGCTTTACCTTTAAAATGCAAGTATTTGTGCTGATAATCAGACCCATAATGTCTCGTTAAGGGGGGGTTTGCAACCACTGTTATAATTGAGGTCTTTTATTGTGGGAGCATTCTTAGAAACATAGAACTGTGTTGTACTAACTCCACTAATCCACAGAGGAACAAGTTGCTGAGTTGGGTGCAAAATGACCTGACGTCAGACCAGAAACCTTAAAAATAAAAACTCTTTACTCGAGTACTCATTGACTGTTGTACAAAGTCTTGTTCAGAGTGAGAATAGGTATACTATTTAGAAAAAAAATTTACCACTTACTCGTTGTCGTTGTTTTCTTATTTTTCGTCGCAGATCCAATGTTTTTTTTGACATAATTAATTGTTCCTGGAGTTTTCGGAGGAAGTCCTTTCGATATTAAATAGGCATTCAGTCTTTCCAATCTTTCTAAAATATAAAATCTGCACATTGCATTCTATTAGGCTAGTAAGAATGCATAAATGTCACCGAACAGTTTTTTTTAGTCATAGACTACCAAAGAACAGATCCACAGAAAACGATGTCAATTGAGCCACCATGTTACACTTACAACTGTAAAACATTACAGTCAGCGACGTGGCGGACCGAACCTCTGATCACTCTGCGAGCATTCGAATGCAGAGGTTGTTATGTGCGAGAGGATTGTGGACTGAACCGTACAGGCAGACAGGTACCATACCGTAAAATACCGGTACGGTACCTCACCTCACCGTCAATGCTGCACATCTTTCTTTAATTTATTTCAGCACAGCAAGATAATTTTAATAAGATACGGTAAGATACCGGTACCGTAAGTTTATTTCGTAACTTAACTTTGATCCAGAAAAATACCAATTTCTTACCTGCCGCCGTCGAGCTCATGGTTATATATTAATGGCACAATGTCGCTATAGCCTACTTCCACTTGCTCTAGATTAGCTTCGAAAGAGTTGAATCAATGTCAGAATCACTGAATGTTATGACAAATACCGATCGTTTGAAAATCGCGCGTCACAGAAGCGGCAATACCCGTTGCCAGATTCGACACAATAACAAAAAAGGTTTCCTGAGTAATCGCTGTTTGTTGTTTAATGTCATTGTTGTAATGCAGGGGCATGCAAGTGTTTATTAGCGCAATAGGCCACAAACTACAAGTATAGTGATACCGGGGGGGCAGACCATCGAACAACTCGTAATTTTTTATGAATAATTTATTCAATGGAAGAGCACGTACAATCAATTTATTCATTGTGTTGATGATTAATGAGATAATCAACTTTCCTTTTCTTACTGGTAGACATTTGAACTTAGGCTTTTTCGTATAATAACCTGCAACCATAAAGTAAGATCACGTACCACTGCCAGAACAAGGCGGTTTTCATACAATACATATTATGCTGCAACAATGGGGGTCGTCACAGTACTGTAGACTGAATTCAATCGAATGCCAATGATGCCGTTACAATTCAGAAAAAGTTTTTAAATTAATAGGCTATGAAGTCTGTAGCGGGCCACGTAAAAAGGGACCGAGGGCGTATGTTGCACGCCTATGTAAGGTAATGCATTTGCAGAACACAAAACCCTACAGAACTGAAAAAGATCACAGTAATGTATATTTGACTTCTAATATAAAACTGAAATAAATCATTTAAATATGAATAATAATAATAATAAAGTAGCCTAGTTCAATGATCTACGACTCCGTCAAATTTGTGAAAAACCTGTGATTACACAAGTTGCATTATATTGGGTTTTTTGACGAAAGCAGACTTATTTTCCTGATTATCATCATATTTATGTATCTTGTTTGAAAATATACTGGCAGCGAAAACTATATACCATCACTTCAAGACCTATTTGTCAATGGGTGAGGGCGTAATAATTCAAATTTTAGCAGCCCTTCAGACACATTTGCTTAAGCGTAATATCAGGCATTGGCACCTTGGCTCGCTTTCATGACTCTTCCATCTTTTTACCGTATTTGCTTGTTGTTCGTTTCCAAAAGTTAGATATATATATTGTGATTCAATGGTCATTTTTTCTTCCGAGAAATCTTTCATATCTGTAAAATTGTTGCTTAATTTCGTAGGGGACCAAGTGTGTTTATATTTTATGGTCATGAGTTTATGATAATAGGCTTAGATATTTTGTTGTAAGTCATCAGGATGACAGAGTATAGTTAGATTACAGTTGTTTTAAGTTTAGGTGTAGGCTACATGTGGTTTAGTCTAGGTTTTACTACGAAATTAGTTATGGTCAGTGCTTTCTAGAGCAGCATTTCCCAAACTGTGTTCCGCGGAACACTAGTGTTCCGTGAGCGTCTTCCGACTGTTCCGTGGAAAATGGATCAAAATTACGACTAGATTGGTCGCCATCGCGATCGCGAAGTTGGCGACCGTTCAATATCGCGTCACCGTCGGCCTAACTTTTCGAGGGGTATTATGATATTATCGTTAACGGTCCGCCTAGCTTGTTTACTGTCTAGTTCTAGTTCATTATCAAGTTGACACTAATCATTTTGGTTTTGCTATTTACTATAGGCCAGTGTTTCTCAAACTTTTTAAAAAGTCATGCATAACCGCCGCCGTACAATTTTTCTGATGACTCGCGTCCACTAAAGAAATGGAAGCAAACAGCAACGCGGTATATCAAGCATTAATATATTGAATGACATTGACACAGTTCAATGAGATGGGTGCTCTTGCTTGGCTCCAGTTCTGCTATCTTGGGTTCTGTTTTGGATAATGCAACTTTCATATCGTAACTCACGTCCATTCTGTTTCAATAGCGAGTAATGAAGAAAAAGCTGCCTCACATTCGTAAGTTGTTGCAAATGGAATGATCATTTTCAGTCCCTACTCAGCGACATCAGGATAAGACTGTGGTTTTTGTTTTCAAAATTTTACTTCAAATCAAAGTGCTTCTGCGCCGAGGTTAAAGTTGTCTCGCGGTGCCTTAAGCGACCGCGGACCCAAGTTTGTGAACCAATGCTATAGGCAAACATGTAAAGGTAAATGATCAGCTCTTCGCCCCCCCATCTCTGCCTGATTTTACTTTGAAATGCTGAAAAATTTACTCATGTTCGCTAAACTTGATTCAGCAGATAAATAAACTGCAGGTCTGCAGCTCGCGAAATTGCAGCAAGAACTTCTATCTCCCTTTTTACGTAACATCAAAGGCATTATGTAATAGAAAGTGAACGACATAGAAAGGAAAAATGAATACCGGTATATTGATTCATATACAGAGCATTTGCAATATGTAAAACATTCATATTTTAGTTATATTTAACACAATTTTGTTAGTTTTCGCAGTGCATTTGACGACTTTAGTGCGTCGCGGCACACCCTTTGGGAACCGCTGAATTGCACCATTTTTACCCTTTCATTTTTTGGTGTTCCGCGAGGCGAGATAAAAAGCGTAAGTGTTCCGTGGTCAAAAAGTTTGGGAAACGCTGATCTAGAGGACTGTTTATTGTGTGTTCCAAATCTCGCATTGAGCTGTTTTCAGCTCAGTTTGCAGATAATTGATCAGTTTGTTAATTATAATGTACCGGATTTTAGAGTTATTGTCCGATATTTGCGAGTTGCATGCGATTTTATGCTTGGCTTCAGATTTCAAGTACAAGTTTCATTGTATATATTGTTTCTTACATTGTGATACGTGGTATTTATTATTTTTATTTCATTTTTACCTTTTTTTCTATTGATTTTAATTGGAGTATTTTATTATACTTTGATTATTATAAGTAAAGTAGCATTAATTGAAGTAAATATTGAGAAGAAGATTTATATCAGACTGAATTAGAAGGTACTTGGATTTTGAAAAATTCATACATTAACTGACTCAATGATACATATTATTAGTTATCAGGGGAGGACAGAGTACAAAGGGCAGAGAATGTGCACCAAAAGGGAATTCGATGAGATCTCGAAGAGCAGCAGTATATCGCAGGGTAGCGTAAACGGTCAAAAAAGAAAGTCGGGAGAAAATGGAAAGCAAACGAAATGACCGAGATAATACCAGAGAAGCGAATATTGCGATGGACAGGGATGACGAAAGTGTGGAATGAATAATATATATGCTGGTATTTCCTGCCTAATGGTGTTGGTTTGGGATCGATCGTAAGAGTCCTAAGGCTTCCGTCCATATAAATTCATATCAGAACTGAACCAGTTGCGATCTCTAACCATTATTGTTCTGAGAAAGGTTCATTGGTTCATTTCAGTCACCGCATGGGTGTCCGCACACTTTATCTGTGATCTCCCAACCGAAAAATGCCTCATCAGGAATTAGGACATTGTCTGGATCTCCAGCTATTTCCAGAAGTTGTTCCATATCAAGTTTACCTTTTAATGGAGTAAAGCCGATGACAAAGACCTAAAATATATGTATTTTATTGAAATTTTAATATTTTTTGAGAATCTGGATAAAAGAGAAATAGTGCTTTTTTGATATTCCGTTTGTTTTCTCATCTTACCATCCAGGGTAGAGATTTTAACAATGTCGTATTGTTATTTGGACTATGTACGTACTACGTAACTATGTATATGAGATTTACCTCCAAATTAAACAACAATTTTTATCCACATCAAAAATAAGAATGTATATACAACGTCGTTACTGAAGTAACCTCACAAAAATAGTAGAATTTTTAATATTTTCAAAATCTTGAAAACATAACACGATTGATGGCGCTAGCAGCATAAACTCCATTGTCACAGTTCATTACGTATGACGCCTTAGATATATTCGCGCAAAGCATTATTATGCAAGTACTATGACATTGAATCATTATATGACATCATTACAATACACTGCGTATCATGAAAGTTTGAGAAGCATTGTTCTAGAAAAAATGAGAATTCCACTGAGCACAATTTTTATTCAGATTCAGCTTACCAATGCTCCCAGATCTCTTAGTTGTTTAGACTGTTCCAGTACATTGTCTTGTGATTTTCCACCTGTGACGACAAAAGCAATATCCTGCACATCAGGTCGATTACCGACCGGAACCATATTATCTACAACGTGCTGAATCGCTTGGCCTGTCTTCCTGCCTAAAAAATATTAAGAAAATACTGGTGAGGACTGGAGACTCAAGCGGAAAACTTCATTAACAGTGTCATATCAGTTCAAAGAATATGACCTTGTTCAACAACAATGTACCAAGTGAAATAAAACACGAAATTAAATTTCATATAAACTCTGAAAATTTCAAATATATTTATGATAACGGATACCTTGTTGAAAAAAAAACATCTATAGTCTTAAGTAAAATGCAAATTTGAGATCTGGCACGGACCAACGTCCACGAATATACCAACTACGCTTCAATAATAAACCCCCTTGCATAAGCTGAGAGAGACATGAAAAATTAGGCTTCCTGTCGCAAATTCCATTAAGAATTCCCGCATTTTAGATATTTTTATACACACCAGAACCATCATATGGTATGGCGTCAAATGCCGACAAAAGTCCGTCTATATCATTTGGATAATCATTCAACAGAACCTGTGTTGTATTGTCGACAAAACTGCTGTAGCGAACAACGGCAAAATGTGTAGCATCGTCAGAAATTATAAAAGACCTGTAATTATATGTAATGAATTTGCTTGCTTCAGTATTTAATGTTGTAATTATGATTTTAATATCATCACGAGAGAGAGGGACGGGGAAGCCGATAAGACGACTCTATCACGTATCAAACCACGGCCTCTCGTCTGTTTACAGTACCATCTCGGATATAAGAAAAGACACTCAGTTTTTGTTTCAGATTCGTGTGTTTGATACTGAAGGAAACCGTATCCGACCAGTGCTTCCGTGAATCAGCCTAGCAGGGTGTCTAGCGAATGCGATCATCCTGCACATTATTATTCACCCCCGATTGAAACCCGTGTCGGGCCGGGTGCGATGGCAACCGGACGTGTCAACCGAATTGAGTTAGCAACCTGGCTGATATACAATCAAATTTCGCAGAGCAAAGTTTACACTCATAGGTATATAGACGACTGCCATGCTATCCATCAATTCTGAAAAACTTGTAGCCTATATCCTATATTACACATAAACTCACCTAATAATGTTGTGAATAAAGCTCTTTATTATACTCCAATTCTTCTCGCCAACCGATGAGGATGAATCAAGTATTATAAATGCATCCATTTTTGCATTAGGAGGACAAGGTTCTGTAAAAATTGTCAAAAAATTGTTAATATTTTTTTCCCACTGTAAGCCATTCTTTGTTTAGTATATTCCAATGTTTTCAGAACTAATATTCGACTGCAACCAAACTAAAGCTCAGCGGAAGACAAAATGACCATAGACCATGGACGGACCAAATCCGGCCCGTTGGGTAATTCAATCTAGGCCGCCCGATGTTGCCACAACCAAACTAAAACAAAATTTTGATATTTTAGTCAAAAAATAGCTCAAGGAATTTGTTGAAATTGCGATTAAGTTTAGTTTTCGCACGATGCTCATTGTTTTCTACTTTTGCTTTTGTAACACTGTAAATATTGTTCATAAAATGTAACTCGTTACGTCACACTTACATGGCCCGCCAGTCTAAATGAGCGAAATTTTTGGCCCCTGGTTCAAAAACCTTGTCCACCCCTGCTATAGACAATGGAGATATGGGATTTATACCTAAATTTTAAAAATACAACTGAAAAATGACAGTTGGCAAAACCACAAAAACGAGCTCATGTTTACAATCATATATAAAGCTCTGTCTGAGTAAGAAAGCGTCCGAGTAGTTGCAAATCTTCAATTGTTATGTCAATTGTGTCGCTGATTAGCTAATATCGACGAAGTAAACAAGGAAGTCAATTATTGGGAAAACTTCAATTGTGTTAAAATATAGCACTTACTTGTACAACAAGGTGCCTGTCGATCCCAATTTTTTGAAGGTAGGCATCTGTTTGTTGCACGTTTTCTAGGATAAACAGTGTACCCAGCATCACATTCAAATGTACAGACAGATGACACTCGATTTTCATCAGTGCATCTTACAACTCCATTTTTCAAGCTTCTTCTTGGTGGCGTGCAAGTTTCGTCTGTAATGTAGTATATTTATGATATGTTCACACAGAAAATAGCCTACACATCTGGGGATGCTATCATTACAACTTTAATACCAATTAGACAGTGTTCATACAGTCACCATTATGATCACGTTCAAAGATTTTTTAGTTATGTTCTACCAACAATGAGATTTTCGGGGAAAATATCAGATGTTCAATTACAAAATTTTTAGTTATGATTCAACCCTCGCACAGAGGAATAAACTGCAATATAAACAAGGCGAAACATTCTGCAGCGTCAAACCATATGTGCTGACAACGAAAGTCATTGAAATTTTTTGGATGATAGTTTTAACTCATTTTCGCTTACCAACAGCTGCAATCAGCGCATGATTCCCCCATTAAGATGGCAACGCGACTTCACAATACGCCCCTCTAAAATACGTATTGGATATAAATATTCCATTTGTCTCTGCGATAAAGCGACACCAACGGCTTGGACGTGCCGTGTTGTGGATTATACAATTTTCGATGCAGCGCAGGTGCAGAGAAGGTGGTAAGAAGAATTCGCGATACTGTCTTTTCAGCCACTTACCCGGAGGGCAATACACATTCTTCATATCACGCATCATCACATCAATATTTCCCATTGAAGATCGATCTGTCGAATGCATTCTTTCTGAATTATTCTGAGCTATTTTCATCAATTGAGGAGTCAACATTGATAATCTTCGTTTTGGCTTACAGCCAACAGCGTACGTCTAAATGGAAATGTGCTATAAGTCTGGGGATGACAATGCACGGGGCGTATATTGGAATATGTCGGAGGTAATAATACATTTATTCTATCGACTCATAAATAACAAAATAAATCGGTCAACTTACGGTTGCCCCAGCTGCCCAGAGCCTCTGTAATGGCACATCAATGGAGTCTTGTCCTCGTCCGTCGGTCATAACAATAACAATATCAGGCGCATCTGGTCGATTTCCGTTTTCAGCAGACAACACAACGGTACGCGCATATTCTAGTGCGTTTCCGGTCAAAGATCCTAAGACACAAACATTATTCATTCAACAGACTGTCAAATTCATTATTATATTTACAAAAAATGTTGCAGCTACATTTCACCTGATCTATTGTTTGTTATCACTTCCAATGATGCGAGCAGACCGTCTTTATCGTTTGCAAATTGAGAAAGAAAAATAACGTCATCAAATGCTATCTCAGTATGATATGGTACAATTGCAACATTGACGAATTGGCTTGAAATCGTCCATTGACTGAAAAGATAAATAATATAGAATGTGTGTATTAGTTTCGTAATAAATATTTGTACTTTATTGATATTTTTGTGAGAGTTTGAAATTAGATATATATCAAATCTCGGAATATATATATATATTAGCACATTCAAACCGTGATTTTTCGATGGACAATGGAATGCACATTTCAATTTGCCAATGCGTCAGATTCGATTTGATCAATTGAAGACTATTTTGAAAACATTGGATGTCGGCCTTTTTGTTCCTGTGTTATTAACGTTTTATTATGTTTTATAAGGAATTTTATTCGTTATCATGTTTACACGAAAATTATAATAATTTGTTTTTAACAAATATTCCAAATATTTTACTTGAAAAAACATTTATATTTGCATATAGTTACTGGTTTCCTCAGTGTAGGTTACAATACTGAGTGCCCATATTAAAAGCCAGTTGTGTGTTTTGCAACAGGAAGACATTTACAGTACTTTACATGTACACAATACAATATACACATACAGTATTTGAGTTTGGGCAAGCAATTTAAAGCATATTATCATATAAAGCACGTAACAAATGCAAGTTTTTCCGCTGCCAAGGTTTAAAAATGAAGTGCCGAATATCGCATGTCTATATACCAGGGGTGCCATATTGGCCTTTTTAACGCCAAATTTCACAATTTTGGCCTTTTTGAAACACGTTTGGCGTCAGAATTTCCGTATGGCTTGCAATTCAAATGAATCTCTAAAGCTTTCTATTGACTAAATGAGACCACTTTGAAACGCACCGGTATTTTACAACACGTCGGAGTATAGTGATAATAGAAGTTGAAACTTCCTACTGAAACTGGAAAACCTTGAGTTTAATAAACTCAGTTTGAGCGATAAGTCCACTCGGATTTCACGCGGTGTGGAATAAACAGACAAACAATTCATTGTATTGAATGATGATATCATTTGTAAATGTCAAATGAATTCAAGTACAAATTCCCCCCAAGATGAGGTGAGGATAAAAAAAAAAAGGTCATTTTGGTACGCAGAATTATTGTTTATTAAAAAACAATAAGAGCGCGAAACCTAATTGTGTGTGCCAAATACCCAATCAGAATTTAATTCAATTGAATAGGTTTTTAATATGGAACAAGCTAGATTCATATTTAGAAGTAGTTTCCCGTTTAGAGCATTTTTAAAGCAAATGTGTAAGAAACACCGTGAAAATCGGTACGGGAATCGGTAACCTTTATTTGTTTCAGATGTATGAAATTGGTGGTGGCGGAAGCCATAACCGACCAGCGGTTGCGAAATGTAATGGAAGAATGCATGATGCTTACCCGATCATTTCGCGAAGAAACGTTCTTAACATGACCAATGGTGTTCCCATCATTGAAGTTGATGAATCAATCAGAAATACGATATCAGCTTTAGCGTTAGGGGGACAATCAGCTGAATATAAATGAAGTTTATTACAGAAAATAATCAAACTTTATATGTATTATTTTTTGTAAGATTTTCAATATTTCTCATTGATTTAAATTCGGTTTTCTAAAACCTATTAGTAATATCGAATAATCTCTTCCATTCTCCTGAAAAAACGTGATTTCTATATTTATCTCTTGGGGAGAGGTAAGCCGATAAGATGGCCTAATTGTGTGACGAATTAGATACAGTCTGGTCCATGTCGTTGCTTCAGATGCGTGAACGTGATGGTGGAGGAAATCGTAACCGAAAAGCGGTTACGTGAACCGCACGCTGCGACGACGGGTCCAGCAATTCTCTCGGCCTCACCCAAGCGTGTTCCTATCACTTTGCATGATGTGCCAGAATCTGAGCTTTCATGGTATAATAATCACAAAATAAATGGCCAAACTACTGAAGGAATCAAAATGATTAAAATGTCTTCTGGTATTTGTTGAACATGTCAGCAAAATTTAAGACTGTCCACATCCTACTTTTTTCGTTATCCGGGCTTTTTCGTTATCAGGTTCTTAAAATAATAACTTAAGTCGGTGCTACTGTAGCGTGATATCTACCTCAAAATAACACGAAAGACCTCATATTGCACCTAGGTAGATGCCATATGGCGGTAGATCACACACTATAGTAGCACCTTTAAGTCATTAGGTGTCTAAATGTTCGACACTGTTGATGGAGTAGATAATACCAGTCTTCCATAAATATTAAAAAGAACATTAGAAAACCTACCTTTTATTTGATTAATCATACAGAAGCCAACTACAAGAGTTAAAGCAATCCAAAAATGCATCTTTGCTTTCAAGTCGTTTCCTACAAACCAATCTGTGAATGGAACAATTTTACACTCTGTTTTTTATAATATATATATGACCAAAGAATTCGTTCTGTTTCTCTTTTTTGGCGAATAGATAACATAACCAATCCGAAATTTCAAACAATTTGATATTTCTGATTTTCTTTTATATATATATTCATGAAATATCGGCTAAGAAGGATTATTGAATGGCAGAATAGAATGTATCCCCGTCATAATACAGTCAAGCTGACATATGCATAAAATATTTAAAAACATCAAAAAGCCAAAAAAATGAAATATTAGGCGGACAGCACTATTTTTTTTCAAATCAGATATATACAATACAGTACACCATGTGAACCGCTTTAGGACGGATAAATGTACATGTTTCTATCTTGTAATATATGTATCTCAGATAATTTTCCCGATTTTTCACTATTGAAATTTTTTTCATGATTGTTTTGAAGTGTTGGCGATTACTAACTAGTTCACATGCTTGAAGGCATCATTTTTACTAAAATTATTCGACCACGTGCCGCTTGCACAGATAGTCTACTGATAGATGATTTTAGCCTAGATAATCACGTCATTTGCAAGAATTTTGATTATCGCAACCAAACTATAGCTCCTCGGAAGTCAAAATGACAAATATTGAATTAAGACATTCAACTATTTTTTGGAAACATAACTAAAAACTGACAAATAACACTGTAACACGCAAAACTATGAAAACGAAGCCTGGTTGAACATCTGTCTAAGCGGCTGCAAAAACTGCAATTGTTATGTCGTTCTAAGTAATTCAATAGTCTTGCTGCACACTAACACAAATATACTTCTGTAACGTTTTGTCTGATCATGATCAGACTTTATAATTCAACCTAATCGATAGCACATGTTATGTCATTGTTGGCTTATTTTTGATTGGTTGTGATTAAGGGAAACCTAATCGATAGCGCATGTTTTGTCATTGTTGGCTTATTTTTGATTGGTTGTGGTTAAGGGAAAATCTAAATTGAATGTTTAGTAGCTGAGCTTGCTATTGTTACACAATAAATACCGGTATTGTATTTTAAATGATTTTAATAATAGGCAGTAGAATGGACATAAAAAACAAGAAAATTCTAAAAAAATAAAATTTTGACGCCAAGCGTGTTTCAAAAAAGCCAAAATCGTGAAATATGGGGTAAAAAGCCAATATGGCAATTGTGGACTAGACATGCGATATTCGGCATTCTTTTCTAATCCTTGGCAGCGAAAAAAATGCATTTGTTACGTGATAATATGCTTTGTCTGGCTTGCCCAAACTCAAATATATACTGTATGTGTAACTATATATATTGTATTTTGCGCATGTAAAGTACTGTATTCTCACTGTTGCAAAACACACAACTGGTTCGAATCAATTTTTGGGGGTGTTTCATTAAAATTCACTCACCATCAGACGCGATCGACTGCCTCGAGACGTGGTGATCGACCGTTCGATCGCGATCGACGTGTTGGCCACCCCTGGTGTATACATTTGATGGCATGGTCGGGTGGTAACATAATCGGTTGTTGGATGGCTATGAACTTAATATTTTACCAAAAGCGTCTATATACATACTTTGAGATGTGAAGTCTTGAAAGTAACTGAAGAGCCGTGAAGACAAAAATAATTCAAATTGTGTTTTTGGTATTCTGTAAAACATGGCGACAAAAATTAACATTGATCATATCTTACATTTAGTAAGCGAAGCGCATTTTCGATAAAAAAGACCTGAGATTTCACCTGGCTATAGCAACACCTCTAACCAAATCTAAATTCAAGTCAATGCTAATAATAACAGACTGCCATCCATAAATACTACGAATAGTTGAAAACTTTCCTTTTATTTGATCAAAGCTCCAAGCACAAGATTTAACGCAACCAAAAAATGGGAGAATTCGTTCTTTTTCTTTCTTTTTTTGGCGAATAGATATGATTACATTACCAATCCGAAGTTTAATACAAGTTGATATTCCTGATTTTATTTTATATATTCATGAAATATCGGCGTTCTAATTGACGACCGACTCTATTTCTATTTTCGTAGAAAACTGAAATGGTGTGGCTCATCGTGCTAAGCGTTAGGAATACGCTCGCCACCGCATCTTCGAATCCCATGCGGGGATATTTATGTGCGAAAGGATTGCTGGACTCCTCGCCCTGTAGGGTGATTCGCGTAACCGACCAACATCAGTTTGTTGGGCAGTTCCACGTGTAGAAGAATGCCAAAGTATTTCAATATGAATAGCCCATATAAGCTGTTTTCAACTGTTATAATTCTCATATAGTACGCTTTTCTTCAACAAGACTTCTTCTTCGATCCATTACATTCCTACACGTGAAGCGCTGATAGCAGCAGTGGCGATAGCCTGCGTTAGGTTGAATTGGTAGAATATTGGCGTTTATTTTGCAGTAAAGTATCTAAAAGGAGAAATAAAATCATATTTGAAACAACATGAGTGTTTTCGAAAAATAAAAATACCTTAAATACTGACTAATACTTCTTAAACATAATGCATTTTATCTGATGTACTGAGTCCTGCAGTGTTTGCATACTAGACTATATCTAGACCGATCTAGATAAATCGCACAGTCTGAAATGCCCAGTATTTTTTGAAACCTTGACTGTCAGCCTGCAACTTGATACATAATTTCTCACCTCTCATTTGCTTCATTCCCGCAACTCCCGTATAGGAGTGGGCATATCGAATCGAATATTCGAATCGAATAGTAAATTAATCGAATCGGTTCAGAGCAAAATTTGGAATCGCGCCTTCTTGTTTTTTTCCTTTCTGCCAATTGTCGAAGTAAATTTCTCAATTTTTTTTATTGAAGCCATATTTTTTCAAGGCAATTCTGACATATGACTCTTTTCCGTAGTGAGTTATTGATGAAAACGTGTTTTTTTTTATTGTGCGTGAACGCTCAACAATCTGCCTGAGTGATGCATTTTAATTTTCCAGTAATTTATGTGTCTGGAGGACCCAATACAAAAAGATAGTTACATACAGATATATCACCCAAGTATTAGAGATTCGGTTCGATTCGAAAATGATATTCGATTCTGAAATCCTCAGGTATTCGAAAATGCCCAGCCCTACTAATGCATGACTTATCATTGCTGCCCACGTTCTTGTTGACTTTATGAACTTGGACCAACTGTCATCAGTAAAATTGGTTATCTTAAAAATTGGTTAAAATTGGCCTCTTCCTCACAAATGCGCATTATAAAAACGGTCATTATTTTCTGAATCAAATATGCTGTGGCCTATATAGTGGTAAAAGTCTGCTGAATATTCGAGAATCGTCATTAAATTAATCATGAACCTTCCATACAAGCATGAAAATACCGTATCGTTGTTTGTGGCATGTCTTTCAATGTCTAGCCTTTCTTGAAGTTACCGCACCGTACCTACTTTTAACAACGTTATATGAGCTCAATTACAGGTGTTTAATAACTTACTTATACTTTTTAACGCCGTCTCAGCATAGCTTAACTAATAATAACTAAAAAGACGATGGAAAGGCTACCCAATTCAACGCAAGATCGGACAGTACAAACCAGTCGTTGTTACGAACTGAGATTCATCCGCCAGTCAACAACTGATAAGATTTTAATTCTTACGTCATGCGGAAGTCTGCGTTCATTGGCCAATGTTGCCGGAAACGCAGAGAATATAGGACAGATCAATCAATCAATCAATTTTATTCGATGGTAGCATATATTTATTGTAGTCTTTTTCGTAAAACGTGCAACTTTTGGAAATGGGAACAAAGTATTACTTGTTACTCAATTTCTAAGTAACATTTTAAAATTATTTTCAAGTAGTCCCCTTATGTGCGCTACGAACGGAAAAGATAAACGGCCTTGTCACGCAGCCTAATACTAATAGAATTCGGGCGAAAAAAGTTGTTAGTTCCAGAATATATGATAATTGATCGATTCCAAGCGGACGCATCTAAAATACTATTGTATAAGCTATTGTAGGTGCTGTTCAAGTGTTGTGTATCTAGACTTAGAGAATTGTTTATTGTGTTTTTTTGAATGCCTGTATCGAGTTGTTTCTAGCTTATTTTGCAAATGGATGATCAGTTATGTAATTATAATGTACAGGGTTTTAGGTTTTTTTTTTCTAATTTTTGGATGTTGTACTTGATTTTGCAGGTTTTTATTAGGCTGGCGGTATGCTAAGTAGCCTAATCGGGGCTTGCCAAATCTGACATTGATGAAAATCTGTGAACCAAGCTTTGATTCCATACGATTCTTGTCAGCAGCGGTGGCGCGATGGAAGCGTTGATTTAACTGTTTTTGTTCTGATAAAAAGTCCAATTTTATCCCTAATTTCATATCATTTTATTTTTCTTTTTTCGGGTGAACGCGGTTTTCAAATTCATTACTGTTGACTACGGTTTTGATTTTACTTGACTATGTTAGAATATTAGAATCCATGTTTATAAGACTTAAACAGCAATCCATACAAAAAATATGATTTTGCACAACTCAATAAACACGAGAATCACCGTAATATTTAATACACCATATGATTACATAAAATGATACCATGAGAGAAGAGCGACAATAACAGATCCTCATTTGAAAAGTTAGATTCGATATATTTCTGATTATGTATATAAAATCAGTAAAACCTAAATCTTCTGCTATTTATTTTCTTGTATTTCGTCGAAGCTGTGGTTAATTGAAGCATGAATTGGTTCATTTCAGCGATCGCAAGGGTTTCCGCACACTTTATCTGTGATCTGCAAAGAGAATTCTGCATTCAGTGCCTCGAATCCCCCTTTAGCAATTAGGACATTGTCTGGATTCCCAGCTATTTCACGAAGTTGTCCTTCATCAAGTTTACCTTTTGGTGGATTAATGCCGATGACAAACACCTAAAATATATAGAAAATATATTGATTTTTAATATTTTATAAGAATCTGGATAAAAGGGGAATGTGTTTTTTTTTTTCGATATTCTGTTTGTTTTCTCATCTTCCCATCCAGGGTAGAGATTTTAACAATGTCGTTTTGGTATTTGGACGTATTTAAGTAACCGTATATATATATTACGTCGTTATTTCCTGAAGTAACCTCACAAAAATAGTGCAATTTTTAATATTTTTAAACCTTAAACACATAAAACGCTGAAATCAACGAATGACACAGATAAAATATTCTATGGTTATTCCAACCATAAGTAGTTATTTAGAGAAGGGTACTAAAATTGTACACCTGGACAAGCTAAGTGGGTCACGGAAGTCTACTATAGGTTACCATTCGCCATTTATCAATTTAAAGTAAATTGACTGAAATTTGTTTGACTGATGTAATGCTATCATTGCCCTTCTTCTGTTGGTTTTAGTATGAAATATGACACATAAAATACCTGACGTATGCACATTAAAGCAAAGTAGGGGCCACAACCACAAGTGTTCGAGTCTTCGGAAAGGGACTGTGTATCATGGAAGTTTGAGAAACACAGTTCTAAAAACAATGGGAATTTACTGATCGCAATTAATTCAGCTTACAAATGCTCCCGAATCTCTTAGTTGTTTAGACTGTTCCAGTACATTGTCTTGTGATTTTCCATCTGTGACGACAATAGCAATATCCTGCACATCAGGTCGATTACCAACCGGAACCATATTGTCTACAACGTGCTGAATTGCTTGGCCTGTCCTAGTGCCTAATAAATTATGGGGAAAATACTGGTGAGGACTGGAGACTTAAGCACAAGACTTGTTTCCTACCAGTGCCATATTAGTTCAAAGAATATAGTCTTGTTCGACAATGTAACAAGTAAAATATAACACAAAATCAAATTTCATATATATTCAGAAAATTTCAAATATATATATATAAATATAATTATGATAACATCTATAGTCTCAATTAAAATGCAAATTTGAGATCTGGTACGGACTAACGTCCACGAATACACCAACTACTCTTCAATAACAATCCCCCTGCATAAGCTAAAAGATACATGAAAAGTTCGCATTTTAGATATTTATATACATACCAGAACCATCATATGGTATGGCGTCAAATGCCGACAGTAATGCATCTCTATCATTTGGATAATCATTCAACTGAATCTGTGTTGTAGTGTCGACAAAACGGTTGTAGCGAACAACGGCAAAATGTGTAGCGTCATCAGCAATTGTAAAAGACCTGTAATCATAAGCAACAAATTTGCTTGTCTCAGTATCTAATTTTGTAGTTATGGTTTTCATATCATCACGAGAGAGAGGATAGTCGATAAGACGGCTAAATCACATAGCGAACCACGGCCTCTCGTCTGTTTACAGGACCATGTCAGATAGAAGGATATAGGCTCAGTTTTTGTTCCAAATGCGTGGGTTCAATATTGAAGCAAACCGTATCCGTACAGTAGTCACATGAATCATCTCACGACGGCAAGGTGTCTAGCGATCGCATTATTATTCATCTCGAATACGAACCCGTGCCGGGCAGGGTACAATCGCATTCGGAAGCACCAACCGAGTTGAGTTGGCAACCTGGCTGATATACAATCAAATTTCGCAGAGCAAAATTTACACTCATAGGTATAGACGACTGCGATGTTCTCCATCAAATCTGAAAAACCTGTATTTTATATTACACGTAAACTCACCCTAGGATGTCGCGAATAAATCTCTTCATTATTTTCCAATTATCATCACCAACTGATGAGGATGAATCAAGTATTACAAATGCATCCATTTTTGCATTAGGAGGACAAGGTCCTGTATAAATTGTCAATGAACACAATATTTATAATATTGTCTGTCATATAATTTAGAGCACACCGCTTTAATTAATACTATTCAATATAGCTACTGTCTATTGCTAGCTAAATCGACGTACATAAGAAAGTCAATGGTCGGAGGGAAACATCCATTTTATCGATAGTTATTGAATCAAAATATAAATCTTACTTGTACAACAAGGTGCCCGTCGATTCCAATTTTTTGAAGGTAGACATCTGTTTGTTACAACGTTTCTAGGATAAACAGTGTACCCAGCGTCACATTCAAATGTACAGACGGATGACACCCGATTTTCATCAGTGCATCTTACAACTCCATTTTTCAAACTTCTTCTTGGTGGCGTGCAAAAATCGTCTGAAATGTAGTATATTTATGAAAATACACATCTGTTTCTGCTACCATTATTACTTTAATTACATTTAGACAGTGTTCATACATTCACCATTGTTAGGGTTACCATATTTTTTTGACTTCAGAGCGGGACGCCTCATGTAACTTTACGGTTTCCGATTTTACTACATAGGCCTACATTTAAATTTTAAGCCATCCCGGCTGCCTTCATTGACCATATCGTCATCGAGAGTTCATGCGCATATTCTCTGTCTAAATACCGGGTTCAGTTCGAAAAATAGAAAGGAATAGACGCTAACGATACAAATTATCCGAATTTAGATTTTTTTTATGTACAGCAAACGGAATAAAGAATAATGAAATAGTCTGTCGTTTTCAAGCATAAGGAATTTACTTATTCGCCCAAGCATGCTTTTCTGTAGATAACACCTTTAAAAATAACGTTGTTCAATGTTACATTCACGTGAACGTCCGAACAGGACTAATTAAAATTAATTTTACATGTAATACGTTCGCTAACAGTGTTAGCGGGAAACAACGAAACAAACAAAATAACACATTCACCTTCAGTCAGTACGCTAGCGTTGCGCTACACAGTAACAATACTAACGAGAACATGTTCGTGTATTATGCTGGATGGCTGAACGCAAAATCGGGACTTTTGGCTGACTTGTCGGGACGGCGGGACAAGGCGCTAAAAAGCGAGACCGTCCCGTCTAAAGCGGGACGTATGATAAGCCTAACCATTGTGATCACGTTGATATTTTTAGTTATGTTCCACCAGAGAGAGAGAGAGAGATTTCGTCAAACAGAATACAACCAATAAGGCAGTAAAAAATTATATACAAAATACACATAGTTATTCGGTATAGACCGGGGGAGCGATACGACCTTACGGCCATCAGAGTCAGCTCCCCCCATGTTCGCTATTGAGATTCACAGTTTAATTAAGGTATTTGAACAATTCATAAAAAACGATACTTCCTGTAGGGATGGATGGGATTTGCGTCGGAAATATTAGATACTCGGTTATCAAATTTTTAAGTATGATTTAACCTCCCTCCCCCAGAATAAATAAACTGTGTGATATGAACACATTTGAAACAAGCCATATCTGCTGACAACCAAATTCTTGCAATTTTTTGATAATAGTTTAAATTATCAATTATTTTCTTTCACTAACGGTTGTTATAAGTGCAGGATTCCTTTCTTAAGAGGGAAATGCAACTTCACAAAGTGTAACGTAACACTGTCTGGTTAATTAGAAGATTCATCGACGGCATTTGTTTCGAAGTAAATGGATTTTGAACCTGTTTCTTTTTTTGCGAGTAGGCTATGCTTCTCCAAACTCATCCGCGATACTGCCTTTTCAGCTACTTACCCGGAGGGCAATACACATTTTTCATATCATGCATCATCACATCAATATTTCCCATTGAAGATCGATCTGTCAAATGCATTCTTTCTGAATTATTCTGAGCTATTTTCATCAGTTGAGGAGTCAACATTGATAATCTTTGTCTTGGATTACAGCCAACAGCGTATGTCTAAATGAAAATGTGCTATAAGTCTGGAGAGTAGGCTCAAGAATAGCGAAAAAATCAGTTAACTTACGGTTGCCCCAACTGCCCAGAGCCTCTGTAATGGCACATCAATTGAGTCTTGTCCTCGTCCGTCGGTCATAACAATAACAATATCGGGCGCATCTGGTCGATTTCCGTTTTCAGCAGACAACACAACGGAACGCGCATATTCTAATGCGTTTCCAGTCAAGGATCCTAAGACACAAACAAAATTCACTCAACAGACTGTCGAATTTATTATTATACATACAAAAAATGTTACAGCTACATTTTACCTGGTCTATTGTTTGTTATCACTTCCAATGATGCGAGCAGTCCGTCTTTGTTGTTTGCAAATTGAGGAAGAAAGATAACGTCATCAAATGCTATCTCAGTATGATATGGTACAATCGCAACATTGACGAATTGGCTTGAAATCGTCCATTGACTGAAAAAATAAATAATATAGAGAGTGTATATTAGTTTTGTAATAAATATTTGTACTTTATTGATATTTTTGTGAGAGTTTAAAATTAGACATGAAATCTCGGAGTATATATATTAGCACATTCCAGCCGTGATTTTTTGATTGACGATAAAATGCACATTTCAATTTTAGCTAATCTATAAAAAGTGACAATCATTCAAAATCTCCGACAACTTTCAACTAAATATTTTTAATCTGCTGGATAAACATTCGCCAATGCGTCAGATTCGATTTGATCAATTGAAAACTAGTTTGAAAACTTTGAAATGTCGGTCTTTTTGTTCCTATGTTATTAACGTTATTATGTTATTATCATGTTTTCACGAAAATTTTAATATTTTGTTTTTAACAAATATTCCAAATTTTTATATATAATTGAAAAACATTTATATTTGCTTATATTTACTGGTTTCCTCAGTGTATATTTCAAAACTAAGTGCCCATATTAAAAGCTCATCTTTGAAACTATATATCCCATATGGTATTAGTTTTCATTAAAAATGCGTTGCCATAACCTAGTGACATTTGATAACAACCAAGATATAAAGATTTAGGCCTCGACTGATATTCATCTTTCATTTATGAATTCTCCATTGAAAATGTTTATGATGTACTTTGATGAATGTAACTAAGTAATATATTTGAAATTATGATAAATTGCCTAAATCTTGAATACATGCATTCACAATTTCCATATCGTAAATCTATGACTGCCAATTTACCGATGAGCAAAAGACATCGCACCATACATCTTAGATGTCAGTTTTAAGAAATAGTGTTTTCTGTTCTGCAGCGAGGGTGTGAAGTCGGGATTGGAGTCGTATTTTACAACTCGTCGGAGTATAAAGATAAAAAATGTTGAAAGTTCCTACTAAAACTGGAAAAGTCTTAAGTTGACTGAACTCAAGTTCCGCCCAGTATAATATTTCATTAGTTTGACAGTTTACATAAAACGCATTATAAAATTTGATATATACATTGATATGAGCGATAAGTCCACTCAGATTTCACGCGGTGTGTGTGGTGTGTGATAGCTAGACAAACAATATATTGTATTGGGCCATGATATATTTAATAAATGTCAAATGAAGGCGAATATAAAGTCCCCCAAGATGAGGCGAGGATAAAAAAAGGTCATTTCGGTACGCAGAATTATTGTTTCTTGGAAAACAAGCGCGAAACCTAACTGTGGGTGCAGTGAGAGAGAGAGAGAGAGACTTATTGTTACATCAACCAGAAATCAAGCAATGGTACAATAAATAATATATAAAATATGTAAGTTAATTGGTATAGACTTGGGGGGATCGATACGGCCATAAGGTCATCGGCTTGAGGTATTGGCTATTGCACTTGGAATACCCAAGTTGGCGATCTCGTGACTCAAGCCAGCCACCCAATTCAGAATTTGATTGAATAGGTTTTTAATGTGGACCAAACTAGATGCTGTAGTAGCTTCATATTTAAAAGTAGTTTCCCGCTTAGAGCATTTTTGAAGCAAATGCGTAAGAAACCTCGTGGAAATCTGAAATGTTGAAATAAGAGAATCCTTTTGAAAGAATTAGATTCGAAGACGAAAACAAAATACAATTCAGAGCACAGGATTTTAATATTACCCCGACTGAGAGGAAAGTCGATAACACGGTTACCAGTTCATGTCGGGTACGGGAATAGGTAACATTTTGTTTGTTTCAGATGTATGGAAATGGTGCTGAAGGAAGCTGTAACCGACCAGCGGTTGCGAAAGGTAATGAAAGAAGATATTATTAGGCTCACCCGATCATTTCACGGAGAAACGTTCTCAACGTGACCAATGATGTTCCCGTCATTGAAGTTGAAGAATCAATCAGAAATACGACATCAGCTTTAGCGTTAGGGGGACAATCAGCTGAATGTAAATGAAGTTTATGATAAAAAATAAATATTCAAATCATACGTATTATTTCTTGTAAGATTTTGAGTATTTGTCATAAATATACATTTGATCGGTTTTCTAGAAATATATTTGTAATACCGAATAATATTACATATTTTTCTCAAAATTTTGCTTTTTTAAGCATATATATAATAAATATAAAATAGAAATATTTTACGCATGCAGAATGGAAAATTCTTGTCCCATTCTCCAGTTTCCAGGCAGCTGACGAACCCTTGAAGAGGATCACTACTGAGTGGCATCATCCTGTAACCTTCTTGACATTCTACCTCGCAATCACTCCCTTCATTGGTTGTATTGCTACAGAAGAGCAGAGTGTTCGGAGTAATATTTATATCCGGACATTGTCCTGCAAAAACGTGATTTTCATATTTATCTCAGGTGTCATTGTGTGACGAAATACATACAGTCTGGTTACTTTTCCAGGGGATTAGTTGAAATACTATGAACATTAGAAAACCTACCTCTTATTTGATTAATGTTACAGAAGCCAAACACAAGAGTTAATGCAATCCAAAAATGCATTTTTGCCTACAACTCGTTTCTAACAATAAATCTGTGACTGGAACAACTTTACACTCTGTTTTTTATCATATATGACCAAAAAATTTGTTCTTTTTCTCTTTTTTTTTTTTGGCGAATAGATAAAATTACATTACCAACCGAAATTTAATACAATTTGATATTTCTGTTTTTCTTTTATATAATCATGAAATATCGGCGTTCTCATTGACGACCGCCTCTATTTTGCCTTTCGTGGAAAGCTCGAATGCTTTTTTTTTCAGTTTATGATAATAATAAAAACAGCAGAGCAATGTTCAAATAAGTGAACACGAATGTCAAAGGTCAAATAAAACGACAAAATCAACGCTAATATTTATTTCGAAATCGCTTGGCCCAGCAGTTGCAAAAAGAAGCGATTTTTCGCAACAGCGACAACAACCACCCTGAAGAGAATAACAACAACTTTGCAAGACGATACAAACTTCCATGCAAATTTTCACCTCGTTTCTAGAGAGGTATATTGGCATTTCTGTTACTATTTCGGGGCGCCGTGACCTTGCAGCGATTGACCCAGCTGTGGCAATCTTGTGTTCTAAACCCTTGCCCACCATCTTACCCAGGGTGTAATAATTTGAGCAGTGAAGGCCTGAAAATTGAGATTTCGGTCATTTCTAGTAGTTCGCCTACAAGTCATATATTAACATTCCAAACACAAAATAGTAAACGTTTTACTTTACTTTCTATTCTACTTTCCCACGTTTCAGAATTTTTTTCTAATGGCGTTCATAACTCACCTAATAATTGTTTTTGATCCTGATTTATGTTCGTCGAAATTGGATAATATATATAGCAAATAGTTCAATATTCAACGTGAGATATTTAATAGACTCCATTTGAACGTGTATAAGGTTTCGTGTCAAGAGGAATATTGATTTCAGAATTGCGTTAATGGATTTCAAATATTTATAACTCTTTGCCAATTTTCTATATTGGGCAACGCAAGAATTGGCACATACTCAGGCTTTTATATATATATCACAGGAATTCATCGCAGTGTAATATAAGGTAACCAGCATACAGTATTGTTTTTAAACTATTCATTCTGTAGCGGTTTTGCATTAGAATATTATGTATCAGCAAGGCAATGCTCAAATATATGGAACGACATTTTATAATGGAATTGAATATTTTACACAACGGAAAAAACAGTTTCCGCTGAAAAAGTCGGCTCTTCAAATAAGTCAACGCAAATCACAAGATACCAATTTTTGATCTATTGAAGTACAGTGTCTTCACGAGCATGCACCCTCGTGGTCGTATAACATTACCATAGCAACGATTCAAAGAAGTAATTCAACATAAAACTTTGCGCATTTTACTACTCTTCTAGAGTCTTCTTAGCGAAACGCTCGAAAGATCTTTGAAACGCGCTAATTAACAGAACCACATAAAATTCCCCAGATTGCCTCCAAGCTCTAAATTTAGACTTTTGTCTTACGGAAATACACGACAGCATGACATGATGGCAACTTGAAATTTATTGGTGATGGCCAGCAATTGTGCTGTAATCCTGGTTTAAATTACGATGTAATAGAATGCATTACTAAACGTGACAGCTGGCAGATTCAATGAGCAATATTATTGAAACTAATACGACTTCAGACTTTCCACGTTTCATTGGAAAAACATCTGAAAATTGACCTAACAAATGACAAGTTTAGCTCGAAGTTAATGCCCGCAATATAGCACGGCGTTAAAATCGTTCCAGTCAATGATGCTAGTGATCGATGATATACATCATAGGTATAATTTACAAGAACTTACTCACAAAAATTTTTATAAACCCAAAACTACCCAGGTTGTAATAAATTGGGTAGGCTATACATCTTATAGAAGAATTCGTACACATCGCATACAATAGAAATGAATGGCTTGTTAGGAAGGTTGCCAGCTGACGACACCTCAAATTTATTATCGAATTTTCTTTAAAATTATTTTAATTAATTGAACTTAAATTTCCTAATTGAACTATTAAATATAAAATAAGCAGGCAAGAAGGAAAATGGCAAGATTCAAAAAAATCTAATAAAGTAAAAATGCTCATCAGGCCAGACAGACAAGGCATGGTAAAAGGTGAACACCATGATTGGGTGTAACATAATCGGTTGGTGGCTCCGAACCTAATATTTTACCAAAAAGCGTTTATATACAGAATTAAACTCTGGGCTTTAGGTTGAGAAAATTTGAACTCCATTTCAGACTGGACCGAACAGTGAGAAACTCAAGTATATCTAATTTTTGAGATAAAGGTTGATAAAACATGGTAGACTTGATACGTTTTGAGATTCAGGAATAAACTTTCACTTCTGCTTTCACCCTTGAAAGTCCGCCTTAAAATAAAGGGAAATTCAAAATCCCGACTCAGACTTCGGCGATAACATGCAAAGTTCGACTTCACAGCACTGGTTTATCAAAAAATCTGAAAGTTTTCTAGCTCTTGTAGTATAGGGAAAAAAAACAGGCACATGAACATGTTCATTGGGAACATACGGGCTGTTTCAGGGTTACATCATTCCCTATCGCAACAAACTAAATTTTTTATTCATCCGTATCCAGAACCAAGAATATCTGATTCGTTACAAAAAAGGAAAAAAATAGTACAAACATAGAAGAGACTACTTTACTAATTTCTCTAACTGTACCGTTCTTATAAAGTTAAGATAACCTAAACAGACATGTTGCTTCCTAATAAATTCCTGGGATCAGACGATATCGAACTGTTTGTGTGTATTCGGTCCAAAAATGACCGTATTTATTCTGGCACCGATGCTCGTCTCTGTATATTCTATTCACGAGTAATATCAGCATGTAAATGAAGTAGAAGTAGGGAAGTAGATGTCCAAATCCACAACATAGACAATAGGCTAGACACTGAAAAAAGGGAAAAAATAATTGTGAAAAAATTTAAGTAACAAAGTGACAGAAGGTGATTAAACTGACAGAAGGTGATTGAACATAATGAACGCCAATTCACTTAAAGTTTCCGGGTTAGAGTCTAGGATAATCGAATAATTGTAGCATAAAGCGGTTCATTGAAGGACACGAAAAATTCATTTATTAGGTAGCATTCGCGATGAACTAACTGGAATTCGTTTATCTCTTTGACTGTAACGCATATATTCAGGGGCGCAAAAGTGTTTAGAGTCTCCCGGATGAAGGATACGGATGTATGACAGTTTCAGGGCCACTGTTTTGGAATCTAGATGACTTTTGCCACCAAGAATTTATTTAAGAATTTAATTTAGAATTTGCCGCGAGCCTTGGACCATTCAATTCAATACAATCGAGAGACCAGCTTTGAGGTCGTCGTGAATTTCACGTAACTGCCGGCGTAAATATTTCTTAGTTTTTGTCGGTATTTGGACAGTAAAAGGACGAGAGCTCGCAGCCAATCGAGCAGGAGAGATAGAGGGATAAGTTAGAAAGTACACAGATATAATATGTTTTCACGAAACCGAAGTTTTAATACTGTATAGTAAAAGTTCCAACTTACTCCTAATAGATCGCCTGTGTAATTTGCATGACGGCAAACACCCCACCAACCAGATGTTAACAGGGCACTGTCATGTCGAACTCCATCAGAAGACAAATACCAACATTTAATGAAGTCCGGGGATTTGCCTGAATATAAAATGTCACTTCATTATAAACGATAAGTATAATTTAGTAGTTCCCTGTGTGTAAAAGGCGGTCGTCTTGTATAGCGGGAATGGGCAAAGTTTCCAGGGGTGGGCATGGTTTTTGAACCACGGGCGCAAAATTTTGCCCACCCTTACTGGCGGGCCACGTAAGTGTGACGTAAAAAATTACATTCTACGAACAATATTTACAGTGTTACAAAATTGGAAAACAATAGGCCTCGTGCTAAAACTAAATTTAAACACATTCCCAAAAAATTCCTTGGGCTATTTTTAGCTGAAACATCATAATTTGGTTTCACTTTGGTTGTGGCAGCATCGGGCGGGCCAGATTGAATTACCCAACGGGCCGGATTCGGCTCGTGTGCCATAGTGTACCCATGTCAGGTGTAAATCATGTGACGAAAATTTTAAATTTGAAGTTCAGCTGGCGGGCCAGGCTGGTATAAATCCGAAATAAGTTTCAGTTTAGAACAGAATTAATTACGGAATGTTCTGATTGTGGAGCGTATTCAGATAGGCTGTTATTAAATACCGGTCTAATATTTCCAGTCTCGTTCAAGTAAATTGAATTCCCATCGGATGGGGCAGAATAATTTGTATTTCCCAAGAGAAATTAATCATATCAACGTGAATACGTCAGAGCTAACTTCAGTCTTTATACTTTTTTTGACCTCTAAAATAAGTTTTACTCTCGTTTTTTTTTAATACACTTGTATCTATTATTCATTTTGTGGTGGGACACTGACATGAGAATAGGATTCTAACTTAAACCCCCTGACTTGACCATGGGAATTGGAATCGCATGGTAGACGTTCAATGAGATGAGATGGGACAGGCATAAATTACTACGTGGTAGGGTAGAAAAATATATTCAATGGACAAGCCTAAATATTTCATAAAGGGTCACACATGTAGACGGTCGACACAGGTTTTCTCAAATGGTTTTCGCGGGACCACGATTGCGAGTTGCGACCATCTATAATAAGTAATTTGCCTGTAATTTGTTTAATTCCTGTGACTATATTGCATTTATTTGTTTTCTTTCGTTTATTGTATTTTTTATTATCAAACGTGGAGAATAAAATAACTGATGAAAACGCGTTCAAAGACAAACTAGGTATTTGTATAGAAGAGCAAAGAGTGCGAGTGTTGGGAGTCTTTGGCCTTGGATCAGGAAAGTTTAAGAACTACTGGTCCAGCTTAATACCAATGAGTTGTGTATGCGGGAGTCGCATGAACTAGAAACGTTTCAAACATGTAGCAATTAGTTACAGGCAGGCAAATATGTGTGAGGCAAATCTTACACGCGAGCCATAGTCCGTCCCTGTCCGTTCTAGAGCGATGTTGCCGAAAAAACCCACTTTGAAAAAACTGGTGGCGCTACAGAGAAAAGTCAGAAGACAAGTTTTGAACGATAAAGTTACCCGCTGGAAATAAAATTGACGGCGCTAGTGAGTAAAAGTACTTGAGCCAACTTTAGCGTGAACTTAATGAAATTAATTTAATGCGCATTTCACTCCTAATTAGGCTCTATATGAGCATACACTGCTTTGCTGCTATATTTTATAGAACTTATATGTACACGGTTCGGCATTTCCTAGTACATCTATCAATTCAAAACTTTCTAAGATGGCGGTAACCAAATAAGAAAGAATACAAAAAATAACTGAAACAGTTCTAACCGCCGAAGGCAATTTATTATGACGAAACGCGGGCCGCTCCTTTACACTATACCATTAAAACTATTAGCAGACATGAAATTCAATAATACTGTATAGTCGTTACGCATGTTTGAATGTTAAAATAACCGAGTTCATATTCTATTGAAACTTACGCAAGAACTAGTTCATATTCTGTAACGTGGAATGTGGGCGGCATTCAATCCACGTTAACTGACGGTTGAATTATACCGATACATCAAGAATGACGCACCGACCGGTATCCATAACAAAACGCCGGGTATTGTACATGTAATCATTTCGGTTAATACCACAAGTTAAAATAATTCCGTAACCCAAATGCTTCCAGTCGCGATACAGAATTTTACACACGTCACAAGTTGTGTGAATCTCACTTGATATGAATACTGTTACGGATGATTGTTGCTATACTTTGGCAATCTCTATTTCGTGATTGTGACGTCGCAGTGACGTAATTTTTGAATGACGTAGTCGTGTAATGGTCAGTAACGACATTTGCAAAAATTGTTACGCCACGCCCACTAGAATTTATTGTGGTACTAAACAACACGAGAGCCGAAAGAAATCTTCTGCCAAAGTATTATATCTATCCTAACCCAGAACATAGAATGAATTTCAACATGAGACGCCTCATTTTACACTGCTCGTTACGATAGACGATTCCTTTGTTTCATTTGCTCCTTGGGTTATCATGTCCGAAAAAAATCGACAGTCCCAATTCTATGGTCATTCTAGTTATTGCAAAATCCAATCTTTGGGCCAGGTCGTATCCTATTTTACACAACGCCGAGCTCAAGATCATATTACAACGAACGAAATACCTGACTGAGTGGGAAAAACGCGTTTTATACTCTCATATAGTCCTAACAATTATTAAGACATCCTCGCCCTCAGAATTTATACAATGAGTTAGTCAGTGTTTGCCAACCTATTGGTCGCGGCACGAAACTGGGTCGCTTGTTATTTCAACAAAAACCTAAAAATTACTGATTTCATTTTTTTAGAAATTTCAATGTTTATTTAATATATTGTATTGAAGTTGTGAGAAGTATCACATTGTAAAAACCTGGCAGCATCTATTTTGCTTAAATCAACGCCACGATTCTAAAAACTCGCTTTTGGCAAATAAGCGCAGCGTTCTCACTTTGAAGTGATTTTTGGGAAAATTTATGTCATGTAAATATGATTGTTTTATATTAGTAATTTAATTTTGCCGCCATAAAAGCGCAACACCCCGTTTAGTATTTGAGCATATTCCCGGCTCGCGGCTCAACAAAATCTAGTTTTCAAAAAATTTGGATCGCTTGAAAAATTGGTTGGAAACCAATCAGTTATTACATGCAAAATACTCGCTTCTCAAAATTTGAGATTATGACGTCACGTTTTGTGAATATGAATGATGACATAACATTTTTAGTTGTTTTTATTCTACAATTTTCATTCCTCAAAGTGTAAATTGAAATCGTTAACATGTACCACTCTCGCGAGATCAAAATTTGCATAGAATTGATCGTGGATTGTATTATTTCCTATATGGAACTAGTTTCTGAGCGAAAGTTTCCGAGCAATTTTCATATTCTGCGCTATGACGTAACAATAGGTAATCGAAAAGAATGGTTTTAAATGGATTTCAGCGCATCAGCGGTTAGGAAATTAATCATTACACTTTTATACCCAAATTGAGTATAATTATTTGGATTTTCAACCACGTGAATTTGAAAATAAATAGTTAAGAATAATGGTGGATGTATGGCGCCAATCGCCCTAGAATAGCCTCCTCTGTAGATGGCATACTGGGTAGCCACACAGACAGTGGAGGTGATTTTTGAGGCAAATACAAAAGGTACAGTGAGACCAATAATACTTCCACAAAGATAATAAAATTTATTTGTACACTTGAATTTCTGTTTGTGTACGATTGTACGCCAGAGTTTCAGTAATCTAAGAGGGCGCTTTGCACAAAAGTTATTTTCTCTCTAAATAGATTCCAAATGACATGGCTTCTGTTTTATTTATCAACCTATATGTACCCATCAACGATAATGTTTCACAATATTCTTGAAAAATGCATCCCAATAACGCTAGTAGTCTTATCTCGATATCACGACTTTTTTTTAAAGAAATTAAAAAGGCTCGACACGCATTACGGACTTGCGAAAGATTGAATAATTTATAAGCGCTGTGAGGTGTTGCAATTCTTCATTTATTGAACTCGCCATATTCCCATAATTCCAATGAGTACATATGGTTAGAAATTGTCAAAATTACGATTCATCCGATTTTAAATATCTGATATAAAAATCAGTTAATTCAATCCAAGATTTATTCAAGTCGAAAACTGCAAATAAATTCATACTAACCCCATATTTTAGATCTCTCTCGTTCTTTCCTAAAGTGATCTTTTTGGTGGTTAGCAGATCTGAACACATAGTATCCAACCACGCCTAAAACTGCTATAACGATCAACACCGCAATATGTAAGTCCACTGGATTGTAGGCCAGATATAATCCCTGAAAAAAGTTAGCGTGAGTTAGGAAAAACTATAGAAACATATTCAGTATAAAGCCTTCAATTTCAATTTCACAATCACAAACACAATAGTTTCATTTACAGTAAAGTGAATCACGCATCAACAATAGCCGTTGCTCGTCAATAAAACAAATTTGATACCTGTAATGTGTACATATATGGGAGCCAGACGCAATCGCCCCAAGCGAGATACCATCCGAAGTGATCGTGGCAAATGTCTAGGGTCTTTAGGTACCATGTTTCGTTCCAGAAAAAATCTACGACATAAATTGCATGTAGTACGTTCAGTAACACCATAGAATTCGAGACATATCCGTATGCTTCAACTTGATACGCGGCAAAGGATAAGTTGATTAACGTCCATGCTACAATACCTGTTGAATTAAAAAATTTTGAGACAGATTTGAATTTTTCTGAGATATAAGATTTGATTTTTGTTTTCGATTTTTCGCAGCCGGTGCGCCGCTCGCAATAAGTTGACTCAGAATTTGTTTCTTTATTTTAACTCTATACCTACACCAAAGAAGCCAACAACGACTAACAAAAGTATACATTTAATCATCTTCAACAACACTTGATTTCTTGTTCCGCAGAACGGATGTCAACGTTTCGTACAAATCATGGCTCGTAAAGTCCCGCCAATTTAGAATTACATTAACAATAAATATCGCGACCACCCTGTGTTATAGAATCGCAATTAGAATAAAAACATGAATTAATGACATCACTTTCCAAAAAGTTATAACGCCTTGGACGGGTAACTATAGGGCATGTATGGATTCGTAAAACATTCGACTACTATTTTTCTACTTATGGGCAGTGTCAAAGCTATAGCTCATAGGTCATAGGCCGATAAAAAAAACTCTACTTAATATTTGTGAAAACTGGAGTCGACTGAGTTCGACATATAGCCTACCTAATTGATTGATTGTACTCAAGGTGAGTGAGAAAATGAGCATAAGATTCCAACCAAAATATTTAACCTTAAACATCAAAATATTTGGGTCCAATGTGCAAACACTATACCATAATAAACATATTCAATAATTAAGTTCAATTTTATAGTATTGAATGGTTTTCGGAAACTGTTCAATTCTGTATACATACCAGGTCTGCCGTTGAAGAATATTTTGAAGTCAAACCATTTTCCAATTCTTGGGTTAAATTCAATTCCCATAAAAAAATCGTACAAAAAATTGCCGCTAAATTTGCAATCATCTGGATCAGTAGGGAAGAATCGTCCTGAAATTACATACAATATGAATGAGTTGACGATAGGTGAAAATTACAAATATAGTATTACATGTAGGTTTGCGTATAGGAGCTCGGAGTTTTTCAAATTGCCCGGAGTCGGGCGGGAGTCTGCATCAAAATTTTGAATTCTCCGGAGTTGGGAGTCGAAATTGATCTTTAATAGTGATAAGAGAAGTTGAAATTTTTTCCAAAACTGAGTTTACAAAGCTTTTGTAACAGTCTATCAAAGAAGTCTTGTGCATGCCAAAGTTTTTGTTATTAAAATATTTTCGGAGTTGGAGTCAAATTTGGTACCACCGGAGTCGGGTAGATTGTAAATTTTCTCTGATTCCACAGCGCTGCTCTCAGCACAAAAATCAGACAGATGAAACTCAGGAGGATACTAACGAAACCAATGGCTGAGGAATCAGAGTTTGGCATGTTTTGAGTTGGAGCAGTCATATTTTGAAACTATTGAGCTGGGGACGGTATGAAAAATTCTTCAAAGATGAAGTGAATGGAGTCAAAATTTCATTCAAATCGGAGTTTGGAGTCAGCTGTGATTTTTTCCCGGTGTTAATTAAGTAAATTTTCTATTAGGATAATCACCTTTTACGTATGCAAATATAGCCAGCAAGTATCCAACAACGTTGACGACCCAGAGCATAGGCCCAAAATAGTCAAATATGATCGTCGGTGGGAAAAGACCAAATCCATATGCATTTGCAAACCATAGCGAATGAGTTATAATCCATGCCTGCGATGAAAAATAAGATTATTATTATATATACTTATACACAGATCAACTTGCATTAAACAATTCAAATATTTTTGTAAGACTTGCCTGTAATCCGTTAATATTGTACTTATTGACTTTTCCGGCTGGAGTAACGGCTCCTTCTTGTACTCCTCCAACATAAAAAGGTACAACGTAGTGCAAAACGTCAGGTAGAAAAGAAATAAGAAGCTGTAAAGATGTTTCAATTTCAATAATCAATATGAATCAAAGGGATCTGCCCCTAACTTACATGAAGTACGCTTAGATGAAGTTCTGGCCAGTTCATCCTATTATATTTGTCTTCAAGTATTTTTCCTGTCTTGCCCCAAAGTCATTATAAACTAAAGAATGTGGTTTGTTTAAACAGGCCAGCCCTTCAAAGAAATATAAGTTAGAAATAGAGGTAATACTAGTTGCTCGCTTGGCAAGTGGCGCGCGGTATATAACAAAAAATGAATAAAAATTTGAATCGATGACAGACACGGCCAACCCACCGAGAAAATCGCACACACGACTGCAGAATTACGAAATTTATGAGTTGTTGCGTGGGGCTCGTGAACTCGGCGATGGTTTTAAATATGAACGGTATGTGGGTACATTCCAAGACGATGAATATGTTACGACAATGCCGTAATATCCGACAAGCCTCTTTTAGTTGACAGGACAGAAATATTGTGATTTGTACACCTAGTCTAACATGACTTTTGTTGGAATTTTTACCTGTCCAATGATTTGAGGTATAATTAACATCCCGTGATACCGCAACCGATTATAATATAACTTTAAGGCGTGTAACTGCTAAAGTGGTAGATCTCAAGCTGGCAGTTCTACTTAGCCCAGTTTTTTGCCGCCTATGCGGCTTTCAGAAAATTTTAAAAATAACTTTTTGAAAGCTATATCATATAGTAAACTTCAGTTAAAATTTCATTTGTTAAATATCGCAAAATTGAGGTTTTTGGGAAAATATATTAGATGACAAAGTAAATAAATAAATAAAAATAAATCTCAATTTTGTATGTAGTTTTAAGAAATTTCACAGCTTTCGCCAAAAACAGGGCGCGCCGTATAGTTTGCGGTTCCATTACATTTGAACCCACGTACATTTGAACCCATGACAATTGCACCTGTATGCTATTGCACCTGTGGAATTTTTTTTGTTTCACGGATAGTTAAACCCATACTAACCCTAACCCATGGGTTTTAGCACCCGCATATAGATTGAACCCGTGGATATACGCATGGGTTCAAATGTACGGTCGCCATAGTTTGCCCATCCCCCTGACTTAATAAACGCAATCTACGCAGGCAGAAATTATAAATGATGTCAATTAAAATAATGACGTTAATCATAAATGCATTTCTCTGAATTCTTACTTGAAAAGTAATCCACGCTGAGTATATTCCTAATGCCGTCCAACTCCACCTTGGAATATTATCGAGAAATTGTTGGCCTGCAGTTACGTTACTCGTCGAATTTCCCCAAAAGGGCCCCAATAAATCGCCACCGTATCCGTCACAAGCGATGTAGAAATAGAGAGGCGCGATTGGGCAGAAAATAAGCATGAGTGTCAGTCCAATATACGTCTTGATGTCAACCTCCCTAAATACAAAACGACGTACATATATTTTAACAAGCAGAATATATTAGTACAAGACCTAAAAAGTTGATATTGTCCCTTGTCGGACCATATATGGCTGAGGTATGACCGATTCTATCGCGAAAATAAATTTGAAACTGGTCAAGTACATCGAGTAGATAGGCCAACGCAAAGCGTAACCTATAACCCAGGCTTCAATGACTCTAACATTGTAATTGTATTCATAACACGTCCCACGTCTCATTACGTTGATTGAGTTATTTATAGACCACATGAAATGGCTTAATTGCTAATCACATTTACATTTAAGAAATGTTGACGTCGTGTATGTACATACTGTAATAAACTTTAAAAGTGTAATTTTCTTATAGATCGACTAATAAAGAAACAATAATGCAATGACGAGTCCGAATATGTGATTTCAATCATGTGTCCTGCGTAAATGAAAATATATTTCAAATTTTTTTACTGAGCAACGAAATAGTCCCAGAATATTTACACTTTTCAATACTTAATTGGAAATCGATTCCTGCCATCAGAATATTCAGCCAGGCGACAAATCTTATTCAGCCAGGCGACAAATCTTATACCGTTATGCATGCCCCAACTGAGGATCGCGCCTAAACTAAACGCAGTAGACTACAATAATGCCAATACAAATATAATATTACCAAGCACGTCCCCAAAAGCCTTTTCTTGGTTGCAAGATATCCACTGCACTGCCGTTTTTATGATTATCCAATGTTCCATCGTTATCGTCTTTATTTTGAATCACTGAAATTTCTTTCGAATCTGAATCTTTCAGCAGACAATTGGATTCGATCTCATTTCCAGTCATGTTATGGACTATAATTATTTAAACTAGCGTCCTTATGCCAACATACGACTGCAAACTGTTTTAAAATGAACATATTTATTGATTTATATACGGTATTTTTTCATCGTACTCGTAACGTCATAAAATCACTTAACGTTATAACATCACTTAACGTTATAACTTAGGGTGCTGCACCGTAACTCAGTCAAAATATCATGCCGTAAAATCTAATCGATGTAATCGCATTCCAACCCCCGTATCAGGCTGCTTCACTTAATTTGGTCGTCTTGAGGCAATTTGTCAGAAAAACGTTTTTGTTTACCAACAAATATATAGGCTATAATCTGCACCACGGTTTACGGTCCGTTTGTCTCAAAATCACCAGCAGTGTCATTCCTAATAATTCCATCACAAAGAAGAATTGAGTCATTATGACACTACGCGATCGGGCATAACGGGCTACTTTTGAAGCATTCTTTTACAAGGTTAAGTTGGAGGTTGTTATCCGTGACCCCCAAAAAGGTTACAGAAGACATCTTGACAGAATATAAAAATGTTAAAAAGCTATTTCTCCGCCCGATAGAGTGTACTTTCAGCAAAAAGCCAGACTAACACAATTTCGTTTCGACAGTCCGACAATGTTCTTCTAATATTGAATCAATTTGTAATATAGTTCACGTGAATGTACATTAGAAATGAGTTATAAATAAACTTCCAATATAGATACCCCGATTCGCATCTGTAGAACCCTTCAGCGGACCACACGTGGCGTAAGGTATACGTTATGTGAGTAAATTGGTGGTACCTTTTCATCGTAATTTATTTCCTGTGGATTTGTGCCCTGAACCTCTTTATTTCTCCACCACGCGTGTAATATGTTGTTCACGATCGCTCATTTTCTGAATGTATTTTTTTTCGACAAGATACTGACTACCCATTATTAGCTTAACTAAGAACAAGTTGCTGATAAAATAATGATCACTTGTCCATTTAAATCTGTATGCAAGAATACACGTTGAATCTAAACTAAATTCCACCAGTATTTATATGCTAAGTAGGTCCAAAAATAAAACGCACGCTCCGCTTGCGACGACATTATGTTAAACGATTTGGGTAATCCTGCAATTGTTTCCTGAAAACGACGATTTCTTGGTAATGAGAACAGCAAGATATGCGCGATGTCTAGTATGTAAGCTGTTTGTCCAGGAAACAAAAAATAACATGATTTTAAAAATCGTGTACTAGTTTTGAGAACTTGTTAAGAAATACAGTAAAATATGAAATTGCTAAATATATTCATTCTACTTTATCCAAGAATAACATTGCCTATCTTTCTCAAAACAGCTGACTACTTAGTTGAACTAATGAGGCAGTCCGTTCTTTGTCTAACATTCAAAGCTCGCAATGTGCGATGTATTATGCAGTTGAATTCAATTCCCTGCGGATTGTAAATGTATTGATCAGGAAAACAAACGAGTCTGCTATGCTATGCTAAGTGATTGAAATAGAAAATACGGGCCGCCTCTATCGTTTAAGCCCACTTGAGTCTGACTTAACATTACGCAATATTGTACTTGAATCTAATTATTTCATCCTAGATATTTTAGGAATGTGGGACTAGCCGTATGCTCGAATTACGTACCTTCGTGACACATGCGCGCGGCCCAGACTGACTTTGTGAAACATTTGCGCCCAACACCGTCTAGCGATTAACCTCTTTAGATGCCCGTCTGGCAATTAATGGAAAGATGGCATAAACTAAGGACTCTATCTGGACTTATCGAATTTCCTATTTTCTTTGAATCAGCATCATTTTTCTCTATTCTTAGATAATATTATCGAAGCAGAATTGATATAGCCACTAGTTGTATTGAAACGCTAAAAAACTTTTCCCCACAACAAACGGTGATCGAAAATACGAGAATTCGTTTAATTTGATTATTCGCTGTAAAAAGCCGTATTTATTTATGTCTGAAAAGGTTGGGTATGAATTAACGAAATCTTATAATATATAAAAGTTACATATATATTTGTAGAGTGAGAATATATATATATATATATATTCAAAAAGTATACGAAACTGGAGATTTTTTATAATTTTAACCAGTCTGTCATAAAACACTCGAGTACAGCAAATAGTCCATCGTAGTACAAACACGTATAATGGATTTGTACCGAGCCTGGGGCAATTTGGTAATAGAGAGGTATAAGGGCAATGACACGATAACAAGTACGAATGAACGATGTTTTTATCATTCAATTGAAAAACCGGCAAATTATATGCGAACGCATAGTGCATAGAATGGTACTCCCGTAGTATGTGAACTAAGATGACGGACACCGGAACGTAGTATATATACCAGGTTAGGGTTAGGCCATAATTTCAGGTACAAATACTACATTTGGCCAGTTCCCAAACTCGTAATAGAACTAAAATACGGAAAGTTGGAATAAAATCAAGGCGTGACGGTACACATAATGTTCCGGTGTCCGCCATCTTTGTTCACATACTACGGGAGCGCCCATAAAATAATTCAGTTCCTTTTCTATACTCACACATCTTCTTCAACAATACCAGCGCACATTTACTGTATATCTACTGTAATTTAATCCATTCTACCGCAGCCATTGGAGCTGATAAACTAGACCGAAAACCAACACTTGATGAATCCCCTTTTCGTCGGAAACATATGATCACTTTTTACTCGTTATTTAAACGAAGAACCTAAAGCGATCTTATTTTCATCCTGTAATAAATCTGTCCAACTGAGTTTCCAATTGTATCACTTGGTTAAGTGTTAGATATCAGCTTTCACGTTTACACTCGATATTAGCTGATATCCTGTCAGAAACAGTCGCTTCACTAACACCACATCAATTCTCTCGAACGTTTTTTTACTTTGAAATAAGAGGTCGATTTCATTTTGTGAATACGGCTTAACAAACTTTACATTAAAATGGAATGCATGCACGAAAGATGTCTTACTCTGGCACCTCGATAAAATTAGAATGAACATAATAGGAAGATATTTTTCAAATAATCTAGTTATTATGTTTTGATACTAAAATTGAATTCTTAAGCTTTCATAGCTTGATTCCTCAAACAGTAAGCGCTTGATTACTATAAACACTACTAGAATGGGAAATGACTCTTTTTATGAGGGTGGTATATACACTAGACAAAAGAATAATTTTTTGATATTAATTGAATTTTAATTTATTTGAATAATTTCAGAGCCAAATGCTGTATTCAAACGGAGTATTGGGGGTACTCCGGCCACCTTCTTTTTAAAAAACTCAAAAATTCGAGTTATTGAAATACCAAAAAAATCGGTGAAACAAGATTTGCCACGCCGATTAGTTTGTTGCGGCAATAACTTAAAACAGGCCGCTTGTGAGTTGTGATTATTGTCAACATGTAGGCTTACCAAATACGTCCCGCTTTAGGCGGGACAGTCCCGCTTTTTAGCATCTTGTTCCGACAAGTCAGCCAAAAGTTCCGCTTTGGCGTTCCGCTATCCAGCATAATACACAAACATGTTCTCGTTATACTGTTGTTGCTGTGTAGAAAAAATATGATACCCCTATCAATATGGTCCGAACTAAGTTCAAAGTATTTCCATTCAGAGTTCAAAATTACGTTGGTTTAACTCAAGTTTGAAGTTACAAGTCTTGTCGTCAATGTGACTCGTATTTATCTATATTGCTGGTTCCACTACTCTGACTCGACATGTGACTCGAAAAAAATGCGACTCTATACCGAGTTTAGTAACTTGACTTTGGTATTTTCTGTTTAGAACCACTTTACAACATCGTCTAACCATTGTGCCAAAATCACGAATACTTGATAAAACCGTTCACAATCAAGACAAGGTAACACCGCCAACGCAAATACATCAGTTCCTGTTTCAAAATGATTAACTAACGGAGGAACTTGACTAAGTGTAGCGTGGTATACAATTGCTATATCATCATCACCAATGTCTTAGTCATCGGTTGCTTGTTACATATGTGAACAAACCATGATTTCCGTAGCCATTCAAGTTGTTGTATAGTCGCGTTGGACAGATCAAACTTGTTGTCATGGGTAACTTGAAAATAGCATGTTCGGATATGACTGTATTGGTCTATCCCAATCCATAACATACCGGAATCTGGGGATTTCAATTTTAAACCCTGGTCAGACGATTTACTGTTTCCCCAAAACCTACAGATTCGTCCCTCATTCAAATATATATTATTAAACCGAATCGCTGTCTTTCGTAACCTAGGTTTATTTAATGTAACTAACCAGCGAATCTCTAACATGTTGACAATGGAAATTTTTTTTTACATCAGCATAATTTGATGTAGAACATTTGTCGAAAACTCCGGATTATCAGTAATAAAACATGAGTATTGGTTAACTTTTACCTAAAAAATCTGCGGGATTTGACAATCAAAAAATGAATGAAGAAATTCTCAAATTACATTCTTACAGTTTCACCAAGTAAAATTCATAAATAAATCAAGTAGTCTTTAACGCGATTTTACTAATATTGCATCAAACGAGAGCTCAATAAAAGACGTAATAATCCCTTTGTGTTGATATATTTCAGCATAGTTCTCTTGTTTTGGTGACATGATGTTTTGATGTTACGCAAATCGACATTTCCTGAACATGTATCGCAACAGAGTGGGGTTAAATATTTTTATAATTGTTGCTGTTTTATTCGATTTTGGTAATATGTGCCCAGTCCCGAGTCTTATTGGTGCCAGTATCTAATAAGTACTAGTAAGCTAGAGGAAGTTCAGCATCTCAAATTTTCATAAGATTCCCAATTGCGATAACTATTGAGTATACGTTATGTTTTAGCATAAGATTCAATTTCGTCTTTCTTTAAACCTCATCTAAGTCAGTATTGATAGACTCGAATTACCTGTACATTATTTGCTTCAGATTAGTTAATAAAGTGTACGTGCAAAGTTGATTCGACTCTGGAGAGAGGAGAGCTCAACCATATAGAACTTCGATTAAACATAAATCGTCGGTTTTATATGTGGTACATGTTATTACTGAAAAATTGACAGTAAATGATGCTCACTCGGAAAAATGCGGTTTGTTTTTTTAAAATGATTTCGATTATTGTAATATGGGTTGTCGTGTGGAAGATATATTGTTACAAGCCCAAAAGCACATTGGATATATACAACAATGAAGTTTTTTTCCGGGCAATGAAAACGCGAAAGATTCTACCGAAGCACAGCAAGAATTATAAGTATTGGATATACCCTAATGCTATCACACCGGAAGAAAGCATCGAAAAATCTCACGACATCACGCTTGCTGTGCATACTTCCTACTACAAATTACGGTACTTACCAAGACTCATAAAAATGTGGGATGGAGTAATATCATTGTCTGTATATGCAGAATATCCAATAAGAGCTTTAGCACTTGTTGAGATTTTGCGGAAATGTTGTATAAAAGTTACCAAAATTGTTAAATTTCACTTTGTGGTTCCCGATGTAGGGGACATGAAAGATCAAGGAATAGAAACATCAGATGAAACTGACGTGGTAAAACTATTATCACAAGCTGAAAAAGACAAGAGAGCAGAGAATGAGATGTGTATAAACTTAGAAAACCTATTACAAAGTCTTGGAGTTGCTGAAAATAGCACGCAGTCAGATTACCCGATTGGTGTTGTAAGAAACGTCGCATTTGAATACTCGACTACAACTATGATTTTACAATCCAATATTGAATTACTTCCTAGCGCCAACTTGCGAAATGGGTTTCGTACTTTTGTAAAATCTGTGCCCAAAGACATAAGAAATAAACAAGGTTTTGTAGTTCCCCTTGTAGAAATCGACGAAGAAATGTATAAAAGTATGAAACACCTATTCCCAATCACAAAGAAAAATCTTCTGAAAGACTTCAAAAACCACTTCAAGCCTACTGAAAGCGACTTCAAAACAGAAAAATTTAAATGGTTCAACTATGCAAAGTGGTTAAAATTACGCCGGAATATGTCAAACAAAATACAAATAGTTAATTATGAAATTTCTATTGACGATAACACCCAGCCGTTTTTATTATTACCCAATTATGGAATTCCAAACGGAAATTTAGAGGATTTCACACAAAACTATACAAAACGTTTAATGCACGCTGGCTTAGAAATTAAGGTTTTAGACAATGTTTTCTTAGTACGTGTTGGGTATACATAGACAAAGTCTGATATTATCATGCGGTTTCCTTCCATAACCGACAATGGATTTACAAGCATTTTGACTTCAACTCTAGATTGTGAATAAAACTTCACTATAGTATGAGCATATGCAATTAATTTATAGTTTTAGATTAAAACTACGACTCTGACGATTAGGTTCAAATTGCGACTTTATAAAATTTTAAACTTTGACCTCCATTCCAAATAATTGGAAATTACGACTCCAATACTGGCCCAAGATGTAGAATGTATTGTAGCTGTGTATAATGGACCTCTTCTTGTGTATTTGAGTTTTTTCAACAATACAGACTTCAAGGACATATTTACATTTTTATTGAATTTGAGACAAGAACTATTTTATTATATAAAATAGATAGAGTATATACAGAATGGTACAAAAGTAGGGTTACATTTTCTATATTATTTTTCTGTGTTAATTGTAATCTCACCCTATATTATCGAAAGTTACAGTTTTTCACAGTCTGAATGTACATTCTAAATTGGCAATGGATAACAGGAGAGCAGTATTCTAGTAGATTACTGGAATTTCTTGGCACAATCATACACAAACAGACGTTCAAGTGTTGAATAAATTTTCTTTATTTTCGTAAATGTAATCAATAAATTTGTGGGTTTTGTTGCGGTGGGGTGAGGAGGGGGTTCACCCATATACAACGTTTTTGTCACTCCGCAATTAAGGATCTACCTTGACATTGGGGTCGTATTCATCATCCGGATTTTCTTCCCTGTGCCATAAATAATACAAAAGAACTTGAGGACCAAAATGCTGTGCTCTTGAATTCTGACAAGACTCAAACTGGGCTTTGCTGAGTGATGCTGGACAGTCTTTGTCGTGATAAATGTGAACCATGGCTGGTTCCATACTTTTGAATATTTGAAGACCAGCCTTCTTCAATACCGCGTCACACTGTAGAATGAAATGAAAAAAGGATTATTACAAAACATAAAAAAAAATGATTCAAATTTGTGATTTTAATGACATAGCTCAAAATATTCTAGTAACTCAAACACAACTATTATATATCTAGTCCAACTTTGGCTAGTTTCGGCGGATACTGGACCAAAGTCGCATTTTAATACTCCCCGGAGTAGAAATTTTGAATCCGTCAAAATCGCAGTTTAAACTCTCAATAATGAGTCAAAATTTTCCACAGAAACTCAAAGAAGTGGATAAACTTAACGTTCTTAACAGTGCATTAAAAATGGATTGCAAACGCCAAACTTTTCGACACAATTTTTGCAACCCGGAGTTGGGAGTCGAAGCTGATTAAAAACTTCAGAATCATGGCTTCGAGCCACTCTTTAAAGGATTGTGGATAAATGCACAGAACAGCTCATACCACATGCAGTTAAATTGCTTTCTGGCCTCATCAAATACAAAAGTATTCAAATTTGAATACTATTTGATATGTACTCACAAATCTCAAGTCTTCTAATCCCCATCCTTGTATAGAAAGATCGAATCCTCCACTTTTCAGAAAATCACTTTTGTAGAGCGATACCATTCCGTAACTAAATGTTCTCCAAAATCCCGCAATTTCCTCAAAATAGAAATGTGTTTCGGGTGCTTCTTGATAAGAATAAACAACTTCTGGATCGTATTGACTAAAAAATGTTGGATAATAAACCTGTTTCCCTCGAATCGTACTTCTACGAATGTGAGACAGTATTTCTGTTTTAAACAGAAGATCAACATCACAGAAAAACAGTAATTCATCACGTTCTTCCGGATGAAAAAGCTTCTTCGCACCCATTTGCAAACCGACACCACGAGAAAATTTGAGTCCGTTGGAGACTGGGAAGAAATTTATTTCTGAGCCTTGGTGGTTTTCGCGTAGTTTTGTTAGATTGTCTTGAACAAATCGGGTTTTGTCGCTTTGTCGGATAATGTCTTCTCGGTATTTCTCCTCGTCGGCGTCTATGATCTGTTCGTCTTTTGGGGTTACGCGAATCTTTTCTGGAAAGTAGACTATCGACAAACTTACGTTTTCTTGCTTGTTTAAAAATTCTTCTTCAAAGTTTTTCAAAAATCGCATCAGATTTTCAGGTCGCCCGCTCAACGCAACTATGAAATTCACTCTTTCGTTTCGTCCGCTTGTGACCTTTTTTTTGTCGCTTTCCATTTTCGATGCTACAGACTTAACACCTTGAATATCAATAGGATATATCTCGGTGAAATACACAACAGATTCAGGAAATGTTCTTCGATAATGAATATTATTCAAATAAATAGTCATAGGACGTTGGCGAGAAGTCCCTTGCACTTTTAACCGTGATATCATGTCCACAGACGTTAGGGGGTTTACAAAATATCGCATCTGAGTTACCGATATTTCGTGAATGTGAGCTTGCAAAGCAGTGAACTTCATACGCAAGTCTTGTATGGTGTAAAACACATTGGTGATAGCCGCTTGTTTTATAAACGATGGAATCGCTCGAACAAGAGATGACGTAGAATAAATGCTTTTTTTCGTTATTGAGTCCCAAACGTATCCCGCGTGAGAATTCCATGCCTGAATAAAGTTAAGTGAGTGAATGAAAGATACTGAATAATTTCATGTATTATGGGGACAAGAAAAAACTTCGGTGAACTGTACCACTCTATTGAGAAATTGAGTACAAAATCGGCGCTCCAAAAGTGTGTGTACCAATATGGAGGTAACTAATTTTGTCCGCCTACTCTACATCAAGTTGTGTGAAGGGACTGTGACCTATGGACAGTGGGTATATTCACTTGGCTAACACAGACAGTGCCCGAACTCGTAATAGAACTAAAATATGTGAAATCGGAAGGAATATGTGAAATTATGGCCTAACCCTAACCTTGTACACACAATACGGGGGACTAAAAACTACTGAACAAGAACATTTTTTATATCAGTGATTTTCAACATTTTCGATGAAACGGAACCCCAATGAAACACTTCGGTAACTCTAGAAAAGAACCCCTGTGCATTAGATCAATTGTTTTTTATGGTCTCAATTGTACGAATAAATATAAAAGAAAACCTAATAATGTGAAAACAAAATGACCTTTTTAGTATTACAAGTTTAACAATAGTGGAAAATTTATTAAGTATTTGCTTATATTTAAACAATATACATAAATATATACTCTCAAATTTGAATGGAGACGTTTGGAACCCTTGGTTTGTACTGGCGGGACTATACAAGGGGCAGCGGAAATCCGCTTGGGAGGTACTATTTTAAAGAATCCCTATGGTGGGCTTTGAAAATTCAAAATACATGATTAGACTAGCAATGAATCTATCACATACATTAATAAAATATCGATCGAATGAGAAAGTAGAAAGGTATAAAGAAATCACCTTATAGTCAAATTCTCTCAAAGCCAGAAGGCTTGTCATTTTTTTAACTTCAGTCTCCATTTTTGTGATCTTTGTTAACATGTTAGTTATTCTGTCCTTTAAAATTGTTTGATGAAATTTATACTGATATTTTGATTCTTTGTTTGCATGGAAAGTAAGTGCAACAGCTAAAAAATAAAAATAAATAAATAATAAACAACAATAATTCTGCCCATGAGCCATAAAAGCAATAAATATTATTACTTCTTTTTCTCTCTGACATTTCTTTTATATTCGCATCGTAGCTACCAAGGCCGCCATAATTTTGATAAAATAAATTTATTGTTTCCCAAGATTCCGTACAACTTGTCCCAGTAATCTTCCGGACACATCTTCCAAGTTCAATGTCTTCGTGCTCTGTAAACATTTCACCCAGGCAATCTGAAAGTCTGGGTCCTATTCTGCGTAGAAGTTCTTGAGAAAACAGGATTCCAGTTCCCCCCTTTGAAAATATAATTTGAAAAATAAATCGTAAATTTATGAAATTCCGACGTTATTAATTAAGTCGCAAACTTTCGGAAATGCACATAGTCTTGTTCTGGTAGTTATTCACCATACACACGATATTGTCAAGTATTAAATTAAAAAGTAATTTTTCAGGTCAAAGATATGCGAATTTAAACATCACATTTCATGTTTTCACTTCTACAGAAGCCTATAATGATTCAAGGGAGGAAAAGAATCGATGACGTAAACCAGTGGTCACCAAAGTGTGGGTCGCGACCCCAAGTGGGGTCGCCCTAAATATGTCTGGGGTCGCCGAGTGCCCATCGTTGTCTTTTCTTTTATTATTTTTATTATGTGTGTGACTTCTCGGCTTAACGCTAGATACTTCAAACAAAAGAATGAATAACAAGCACGCAGACAGGTAATATCAAGAGCAATTACGATAAATAAATTATGACATCATAATCACAAATTTAGTCCGTGTGAAAAACAGTGTTCTATGACACAAATACACAACAGTGTGCAGTCTGCACTGTTAAGTTGAATAACGCTACATAGGCTAGCAAGTTTCGACATTTCGAATTGGAGTGACTTATTTTATAATAAGGCTATTGCGTAACGACAGTAATTTATATTTTAAATTAAATCGTTATTGTGTCTTAAATGTACTCTGTACAGTGGTCGTTGCTTTTACTGCAAATCCTCATTTTCCAGGCTACCGTCATATTGATAATTACAATTTATTAAATGGCTGATAAACATAAAAGAAAAATATCGTATGATCAATCTTTTTGAAAGCTTGACTTTTAGTGCCATGAGTCTGCTAAAATCAAAGCAACGAAATCGCTTCACCGAAATGCTTATCATACGTAATAATATTGTAGATGGGGTCGTGTCTCAAACAGTTTGAAGACCACTGATGTAAACCACTAAAATGATTACGTCCACATAGCTACAATAAACCAAGTAATTTTGTCCCCAAGTGAAATTTACTCCCAAAGATGGTAAATTGTCCCCGATTGAGACCCCGCTGAGGTAGAGATTGGAAATAGGCTTTGCAGTAAAACAATTCAACGTTTGGAATTACTGTATCCATTATGTCTGCTCGACAGCAATGGAGCCGACGTATAGCTAGTCATTAACATTATGGTCTGCTGTGAGAGTTTCAATAAAATTATAGATATTTTTTGAGGAGAATCGTTCCAAGCAAGGTCACGGGAACTCACTCAGAAACAAAGGAAACTAATCTCCGAGCAAAGTAACGGGCGGCCTCTCAAGTGCCAAAAGAGCTAGTGAAAGAGAGCTACTGAGCCTATCGTGGTATAGAATTCTGCGTTTGACATGCTGTACGTCGTTAATTATGTTTTACTGATATTCCGAGAATATATAAAGTTCACCAAAACAAGTCAAGAATCGAGTTCCATTCGAATTACAGATATCTGGAGTATTTTATCATATCACAATTTTCTGAGTAAACAAACTAGATTATTTGCTCCGATTGAGCAAACAAAACGGTGACGGAAGCCGCACGTCGTAATAAGAAGTTCGTACGTAAAACCAATATTAGTGACGTAGTACTAACTTTATTGTATTTTAGAGTTTTGACGGGAAAACAGTATACGGGCGTTTTCCCGTTAAAAGGTGTAAGCCATTGGTGTACAATGAAATATTTTACTCGCAAAATTTAACAACATTCTTCGACTTTTATGAGTTGTTAATCGGGGGCCAAGGTCGTTGTACCAAAATGCCCGAATTCAATAGTCTAGATTCATATTTTTTAACGGTAATAATACGAGTCAAAATTTTCTACAAAACTAAAAAAGCATTATGTTAACTACGCGTTCTTAAACTCCAATTAAAGGAGGTTTTCATAAGCTAAAATTTTTTGTTTTCAAAATTTTGATTTTCGCTGAGTTCGGAGCTGGAGTCAAATTTTTCCTAACCCGGAGTCGAAATCAGAATTAACTTTCTCTCAAACCGGAGTTGGAATGGATTGTAAATTCCCCGGTCTTGATTATGCCTTTGATTTGAAACATTTATGTCTCACCATGCAATAATTTTCTCCATCTGCTAAATAATCCTCTGGGTGTTTTCCATATCCAGAATGACCGATAAAGTACGGCTTCGTGGGATCGGCTTGACTGAGTAGTTTTTTCAAGGCATCCACCTTTATATATGCATCGTCATCCACCCGTAGAAACCAATCAAAACTGAAAAAAATACTCATTCAGACTAGTTGGAAAAATTTTGGCGTGAGTAATCTCACATTTGGTCAAAATCCAACTGTATTGTATTGTTTGCATTCTTTCTTTCTTAAGTAATCAATTTTATCCAAATGAGGCATTTCTACGTCACCGCTCCCTATGAGTACATGCATGTTCAGTTGTACGTATGTGCATTCGAATGTTCATACTTCCAACTTTACTGAGTGACTGTTTTTAAAAATTCAAATTATTAAAGTGTTGTCAATAACGCTGTACATTCGTTTTGCGATAGTGCAGCAAAACTCTATCGAGTTTCAAGACTTTTATTCAGCGAAAACACGGCTAATTGTACATACTTCTTCAAATGATTGTCGTGAATATACTTCAGCATTGAAAAACATTTCTTCTGCGGCGGATACGAAACGTCTGATACGCCTGGTAGTTGGATGATTCTTGCTCCGTTTTTCAGCACAGAAACACGCCCAGATCTTACACTTGGCGTACCGTTGTTACTTGCAAATATTTCAAGTCGAACATCCTGATTTTTGGCCCATGTTTCGACCACGGCTTCCACTCTCGTACCAAGAAATTTTTTCATTGACATCATTCCTGTGGCAAAAATCAAGTTTAAAAGTTGGAATGTTAAATGGAATACGTTCATTTTATTTTTATAAAATAATTTCCGACAGAAACTACTATCACCCAAAGATTGGAGGGCAAAAGTTCCACAGATGAATGGGGCATCGAAGTTCTCGTTTATTTCCGTAATATTAGCTAAGAGAAATTTGTCAAATGAGACGTGACCAGTGTTAACTCTAAGCGAATTATGAGTGCGAAAGTGCTTCGCAGTCGAAAAAAAAAGTGCGAAAGTGCTTTTGCCGATTTTAACAAGTTAGGTGCCCTAGCCTTTCATATAACCATTTAACAGGGCATAGATACTCGAAAAAGCGCTCCTCCGGTTAATATTATGAATTAAAGAGAAGCCTTTCCGTTAACCGAGTTCCCTTTAAGCGAATTCATGTTTAATTAAAACAAGCGAATTCATCGGCAACGAAAAGACATCTACTAACACTTGCCGCGAACAAAACTTTCATGCAATGTATCACGGTGTCAGTTGCTTACTCGCGTGAACAGCAAAGGCTTTCACATTTGTTACTCCTTCCATCTAACAGACAACGATTGATACACGTAGGATGGAAACCATATTAGTTACAGGGTGGATCATTTGTACAAATCCTGTGCAAAATAATCCACCCCCCCCCCCCCCCCAAATATAAATAGCAATCCTCCCCTTTCGTGAGCTAGCGTGACCTAATTTCTCATTTACATTTATATTATACTATTTCAGAGCTTACCCAAAGACAAGTAATTTTTGAATGTCGACATGCCTTGGTTTGCGTGCGAGTTAGTTTAAATCAGGCAGAAAACATCATATATTGGCCAAATGTTTAGTAATGTCATGTACTTTCAGCATTCATAAATAGCACTCTCTGTAATGCTGCTGACCTAGTATCAAATATTCGCATCACAACGCCACTTGCGAGGTTTCCATATATTTCAATTACACTAATAGGAACGATGACACCAAAGAGTTTTCTTTTGCGAAGGTACACGAAATATAACGAGGGTGATTCTTGAAAAAAACATGAATATATAAAATAAACCAGTGATATGATAGTGGATCCCAAATAATTTTGAGAGTATCTCGAAATACCAATCCATTTGATAAATAATTTTTATTCGACCACATGAACGCTGATATACGCATTCTCAGATATCGGACATCCAGTCGCGATATTCAATCGTTCATATGCACAAATCTCACATTAATAGTAATTGCTACCCACGTTTGTAAAGTTTAGAAACCAACAAACAGAAAATAACTTATCCTAAAACACAATTAAAACTTAGTCGTCAATAAATTCGTCGCCAAGACGATGCCATACAAAACAAAAAAGATTTGGTCGCGAGAGTTACGTTAGATGACTGCAAAACAACGTTGTTTTTTAAGCAGAATGTAAAACAATCAAATTAAAAAACGGGAGTTACGACGCCCTTAACACATCGTGTGTATTAAACTTCCCTGGTAAGTACTATTATTATTGTACTTATACACCTGTTGTATTTCGGACAATTTCGAATTTAAAATTAATGAAAACCCGACATATAATAAAGACGCAAAAGTAAAATGAGTACCCGACATATAATAAAGGCGCAAAAGTAAAATGAACATTTATTGAAAAAGTTATTATTTAAGAAAGACAACATGATCGTACAATTCCGCCCAAACCTCGATGTTCGCAAGTGAGATGATAAATAAATACTTCCCTGTATTCGAGCAATTAACTTTAGCGTATCGTTGTTCTGCCAATAAACAGCCGGGTGCAAAATATTTCCGTCCTGTGATATGCTCACAAATATTCTCGATATTAATATCATACCCTCGCGTATGTACTTTCTATTAGCTCTTTAGTGATCCCTTCCATCCTTGGCCAAGTCATGTTTCGAATATGTGAACATTTTATTCGACCATACATGGCCGGCGGGATGTTAAAATTGAAAACAAGAGAGAGTCGCAACAATCGCGAATTTCGTTTTGTTGCGCCTGTTATCGTCGAAAATGATTAAATTTGTTGTATTTTGAGGCATTTAAGCAGTAATAATTAGGGCATGACATCATCAAAATCGTCAAGTGAGATTTTGAAATTGCAAATTCCGTAAATAAAATTGTGAATTACTCAGTAACGAATTCAGCTTCAATGACCGTCGGGGTATTGTTTTGTTGAAAATTATAATTAATGTGAGAGCGCCAAAAACATACAGTCCATACCGATGCGACTGCAATTTATATGGCCGCACTTGGTGTGGCGTTTATTAATAGTGTAAAATAAATTAAACGAATATCAATTATAACCAAGCCTGTCAGCGTGTTTATTTTCTGTGGGCAAGAATCGTAAAATACCATCTTGAGACAAATTCACTTCTTTTATAAAATCTAATTTTTCAGTTATTATCGTTATACAAATAACGTGTGGCAACTTTTTAATTTATCGTCGACCAAAAAACCGCCCCACACTCGTCCAAACTTGTGTCAAGCTTGACCGACAGGAACAGATTCATCGACGACTTTAATTAGGGAAAATACGTATTTTGTTGGGAATGCAAAATAAATGTAACAAAACGCATTTTTTTGTGATAAAACTTTGTATTTTCGGAAACGGATTGCCGTGAAGGGTAAAATTTGATCTAAATTAATCGCAAAAATGTTTTATTTTAAATGTAACAAAACACATTTTGCGATATAACCTTGTATTTTCGAAAACGGGTGTCCTGAAAAATAATGTTTCATTCCAAATGTATCAAAACGCATTTTTTTGCGATATAATTTTGTATTTTCGAAAACGGGGCGTCATGAAATATATTAATCTAATGTTTTATCTATCGTCTAACTAACGTCTGGTACACAACATTTTCGGGGAGAACTCTAACCCGCGAAACGTCATTTAATTTAAAATAGAGAATGTTCCACGCATTCCAAAACGGAAAATCACCAGTTAGTCGACAGGGATTCAACCCTCCGGATTCAGTATTCTATATCCCCCGTGTCAGAAATTTCTGAAGATTGGAACAAAGAACCCGTCAAACCGCCGTGGAAGAAGGGGAGTATTTTTTGCACTAATAATTAGGGCGTGACATTATCAATATCGTCAAGTAACTGGTGAATTTTCAAATTCCATAAATAAAATTGTGAATTGCTCGGTAACATTTTAGCTATAATTATCGCCGGGTTATTGTTTTGTTGAAAACATGTTGAAACTTGAGGGAATTAGTTACAATTAGCGCCTGACCTCTATCAGGCACTCGAGCACTCGAAAAAAAAAGCACGCGAGTCCAATCTTTTCAGCATTAAGTCGCATACGTAAAATATCCTGTAAAAGAAGTGCTGTTCATTAACGTTATCTCGTCCTATGACCACGCAGAAATGCCTTTATTGCCGAATTATTCAATCACTATTTTAAATCAACATTCAGGATTGGCACAATTTCAGATTTGCCAAGTTTATCACCATAGAAAAACATGAGAAAGTTAATTATCGTCTTAATAAATATCAGCATCACGGTATCGACAATAATATTACCATTCGCATAAAATTTGGACCGTAAATTTACAAATCTTGATAGGTATTATTAAAGCCAACGCAAATGTTAATTTGAGTCTTCAATGTCTTCAACAGCTGTTGCCGATGTGAACAAACGGGTAAACCCGAAATATAAAACTTCGATGTCCGCCGACCCGCAAGAATTCATATTTGTAAAAAAGAGAGGGCGGGAATATAGATTAACAAAACCTGGATATCGCCGCCAAAACGATCGGTGACAAGAACAATTAGCGATTACAACGGAATTAACCAGTAAAAAGGCTTTGTTGCCGATTTTTCAATGTTTCAACCAACGTTCAAAAAATATTTGTTATTCGGTACTCGTTAAAAATATTCAATTCAATAAAATATTGAATTTTGCCCACCCGTACTCGCATATCAATGAGAAATAGTTGTGTAAATATCGCAAAATGCCACGTGCTTTCAACATTGTGATTACAATAAAATGGCACTTAATGGTATTTTGTGAATTTGGTGATTTTGCAAATCTGTGACATGCTGCTAAAAGTTTCGTCTGATTTGAAAATCGTGCACTTTGGTCACAATACACCCAAAGTGACTATAACACTTTACTAACACTTTTATAGTCATTTTGAATTCAAGGATATCATTGATAGTCACATGACCACTTTCGTTCAAAGAAAGGCACTGGTAGTATTCCAACATCTGGTTTCAAAGACGGGGAGCGTTTTGCGGGAGAAGCGGAATCGGTGTGCTTGTATAATAATCATATTATAAACAAGAATTTTGCCGTTAATGCAAAAGCTTTATCTCCTATGTCTGCATCTCATAGGTTAGAATTCCGGTAAATATCGCTATGATATGCAGAATTGAGTTACAAAAGTACTAGTATGTTACTTATTTGTCAACTTAATACTCGAAAATATTTGTTAACTTTGAATTTTTATCCCATTCAAAATCGGAAAAAAGTGCTATTTCTCTTCAAAATCGGAAAAAAGTGCTATTTCGCAGTCCCTAAAAAAAGTTGCGAAAGTGCTTCGCAATTTTCGCAAAAAAGTGCGCTAATAGTGAACACTGGACGTGACAATTTTTAATTTTAGTAGCCTCTCAGACGTCTTTTTAACATAGACAGATTCTCAGGCTTGATTGTAAACATGAGCTCTTTTTCGTGGATTTGCTAGTTCTTTGGTATTTTTTAGTTATGTTTGCGAAATTCAGACATAAATCAAATACCTCAAAGGTAATTTCGTCTTTTGAATAGTTTCAGTTGAGGTGCAATGATCACCTATTAGTTCCCAATAAGCTTTGATAGACCAGGCTAAAATCAACTATCAATACTTTTAAATAGCAGGTTGCTGAGTCAAATCATAAAACCAGCAAACAAGTTTTAAAGCCTTGACTCGCGAAAACGTGGTTAAAATAAGCATCAAAATTGTAAAGTATAGGAAGATTTTTTCTGGGGAAAAGCCGTCAAGGGTCTAAAAAACATCCATATTCATTATTCTCTGGGGTGGCATGTAATTATTAATCCTAGATTATGTGTGTTTCACCTGCTACCCGTTACACGCATTTGTAGTCGGCGCAGTATACCGTACGTTAAACTAACGGTATACTTTCAGTCGCGACATTCAACTTTAACGTTACGTTCAACATCGCTATAGTTTGCCTCGGCAAATGATCATCCCCATGGTGTAATCAAGAAGAAAAAAACGTCCAAATTACCAATATACAACAGTCCATTCTCTCTATCCAGCCTAGGTTGACGCTGTTGGTGGTGCTGTGCAGCGTCCTGGTTATACTTGACAAATCGATGAATCTGTGGACCTTGGCACACAAGTTTACCAAGTTTCTGTACAACGGACACTTCATGATTTGTGATCACATACGAACCGAGGAAGAATCCAACTACCAGACTGAGTATAAACCTAAAATGAAACCATTTCCGGTAACCAGGTAATTCATGTAATACAAAGCATTTAAGCAATAGTGAAAGACTATTTGCAATCGTTGTATCCAAGCCGTGATCTGGTCAAATTTTTCAAAGTTGTTTTGTGGCGATATTTTTTGAAATTGCTTGTATTTTGGTCCGAGTTTCTCAAGCGTGGCAACTGTTTTAAGTTATCATTCCAAAATATCGTTTTGTATGAGAATATGGCGACTAGTTAATTAAAACGATAATCAGTGCTATTTACTCTGTCCGTTCATTTTCCGATTGCTGCATGGCAGAAAATAACCTTCAGATCGCATTAAAAATGAGATTTCAGCACTGTAATCGAGATATATATGAACACGAATGGATGTCCATTGTTGCTGAAGAATTTTCAAGCATATTTGGTTTTAGACGTAAATTATTTGTGGCCTATTATTATCAAAGACTGAAACACATGTCAAATACAGGTAGTAGATCAGTTGGTTGTGAGCTATTTACGCTTCAACATAGCGGTTTCAGAAGCTTTCGATATCTAAGTGGTCGTCTGTGCTCCGAGATGAGTTATCTTTAGCCTACTACTGAGCGCAAAATAGACCCATTGGTTACGCAATATCGCCTTCAAGCATTTATAACAGCACTGTATTAGAATTTATACTGTAACTGTAATAGGAACTTTCCATGGGTCCAAGCATAGGCTATAGAGAAAAACATGAAATTACCTTTCTAACCTGTCTAGGTTCACTCAAGGGAAAATTTAACGATAAAATATAAATTTCTTGTCATACCTGTACACAATCATTTCAACTTGCGTGCTGAATTTCCCCATGTTTCTGCAGCTACTGTTTTCTCTTTTTCGATCCAACGGAAGTAACGAATGTCGCGGAACCATTATTTAACAACTACAATTCTCTGTATCTACTATTCCGATGCGAAAATGCCGCAAAATATCAATATACACGTTCGAAAACAACCTGTTCTCGATCGACGCGTTTCCTCCGCTACGTTACGGCTACTCCCATAAAACAAACAAGGCTAAGAAAAGGAGGTTCCATTATTCGAGCGCTAAGTAAAGTTTGTTCGGTCATTTTTAGAATGAGCCAAATGAGGGCCACGCCTTATCCGCACATTCCTTCACTATTGGCAAGCGAATCGACGTAAATGTGTGTTTGCGTGCATCGAATCCAGACGTTTAAACCACGCCACGATGATAATGAATTGTGATTTTATGCTCCTTTATAAGGCGTGAGTTTTGAATGGGTAAATACATCCTTTCTCTTTAATTGTTATTCAAGTTGCCGCGGTAGGTATATTGATACTAATTCAGTAAATATTTAACATTACAAGATTTATACTTCTATTTACACCCTTGCACTGACCCCGGGACGAGACAGGCAACAAGAAGATTGCTACGCGCTTAACGTCCTATTATAAATGTGATACAGACTGCTAGAATACAATAAATTGGAATACACGGAAATACGTACTTCTCTTATTGTACCTTACCTAAGTGCGTTAAACCATTGTATTAAACCAAGCTATACCTAAAAGGTTGTCATATTTCGCATCGTCGCTTAATGACTAGACTTGTCCGTTGTATCGAATGCACGATTCTATCACCCTTCGTAATCAAGACTTCTACTAACATTTCCTCAAGTATTTTGTCGTTGTACACCGATCTCCACAGTGGGTTTCCTTAGTAAAAATATCTACATGAAAATTAATCGTTCTAAAGTAATAATTTGGACTTTGGTCGCGTGTATTATAACTGGTGTGAGAAACATTTAGCTTTCCGGTTTAAAATAGGCTATTACTACCATTGCTGCAATCGTAATGTGTATTGTAATATATATATTTATACATATTGTAATAATAACATATCAATTCAAAACAATATTTCTGATATTTATAAAATATATGCTCAGGGTCTGGAATAATAATTAGGTATATATAAGAAATTTGCTCACAGAACATAAAATTGCATTTCTTGGAGTTTTCATTGTTTTCCTACTGCTGATATATGATATTGATAAAAGTTATATTGTGTGAACCCATTAATAAAATACTGTTTTTTTTTTCACGCGGGACCTTGATTAGGGATTTAGCTATGCTATGTATGTATGTTTATTATTATAAATACTGAAGACAGGATGTATGCACAAGACCATACTGGCCTAAAACACGAATGTGCGGCATACACCCCTTATGATATTTATAAATTATAATACGGTAAATCAAATACGTATAATATTGTCCTTTATACAGGCAGTGCAAGGAGGGTGAGTGGGTGTGATAACAGAGGTATGGGGGAGTATTCGAAACTGTTTGAACAGAGGAGTTTGTAGGACAAAAACAACATCTGGGCCGGGAGGAGATTTTTTTTTACTAAATCGCTTTGTGTAAATGATCATAGATGTATAACTGGTTATATATAAATAAATCATAAACCCCACGAATATGATTTCCGCATTTTATCCAGTGGAGAAGGAAAGGCAGAGTAGACCTAGAATTATTAAGTATATAAATTATTCGTGCAACCAGATGGTGAGATGAACTATTGAAACATTCGATACTTTTAGGAGCATCAAGACAATCCGGAGAAATCAGTGCGGAGGAAGGGCGATTTATGTGTATCCATTCCATTGCCATACTTATAGCATAAAGTTCAGCAGTGTATGACGTTTGGTTTAGTGGTAATGAAAAGGACATGGTAGTTTCCCTCTGTAGCACGTAAAAAGAACAGCCAACTCCCTCATCTGTTTTGGATCCGTCCGTGTAAACATATATATGTATAATGTTCAAAGCAAGATTGAATACGAGAATATCGGTCAGAGACCGGTGACTTATCGATCGAAAGTTAGGGGTTCCCCCAAAACAGCGCTCTTACTTTATAGTGACACCTTGTGTCCTATCACTAATTAATTAATACCTCTTTACCTTTCTGATATGGTCCAGAATGTTTTTTAGGATAAGTTGGAATACTACTTTTTATTTTATTTTTTGTCTGAAGAGATCGTGAGTTATGACATACATGTCCCCACCCCGCGAGAGAATAGGATTCACGTGTTTTTAGCTATTTATCAGCCAAACTAGCTCAACTAATGTGACTATTTTCGCTGTCAAATTTTTATATTGACATTTTCAATATTACATAGTAATTATGAAGAAATATATCAACACAGCACATAACAAAAAGCAACTAGGCGCTCAGTTTTAAACATACAGTGGAATTGGGGTCCTTATTAACGGCACATGGACTTTTGGCACGGGTATAAATTCTGACTGTTTGTCGTCAAGTACAAGTGTCATTTATTCCGTCGACATCGATAAACTATATTCCGACACAATTATCCCTCTACGCAGGTATTAATTTTAATTTTGTTTAACTACACTACTAAAGTAAAAAAACATCCCCGACGGTTATAGGTAGGTCTTTTTTTTGTCGGTGCTGATTGATATTCTCTCATGTTGGCTTTGACTTATTGCGTCGACGATTACGATTAGCCACAAAATGAAATATTTGTAAAATGCTTTTAATTTGAACGTAGGGCGGCGGCGCTAGAATGTGTGGGTGATATTCGATATTCTTTTAAACACGAATAACGATATTCGAAGGTCGATATTGACATTAAATTCAAATTGGATATCCCGGCTTATGAGTTTTCTAATTGAACACCAAGATTACTAGCGTTACTGTACAATGTATCTTAATCTGTTGAAGTATTATGGATACCAAACATTAATTTCATATTATGTGACATATCTTTTTATTCGATCGGAAATAATGTGAACTATGAACAACGCTCAAAGACCATTGTTTTAACCCGTCTGTCTTACACAGTACACCTAATCAATTAATAATTACATAGTATCGGTATCGGAATATCGGTAATATCGGCCTTTTGTAGTATCGGCGTATCGGTATCGGCGTTTTTAGCAGGTATCGGTATCGGCGACAAAAGTTGTATCGGTACATCTCTACACGGGATATCTCGATACTTCCAAATTTTTAAAAATATCCGAACTTGTCAACATGTTAAAGGTTTTGAAAAAAGGTGAATCGGGAAAGTATTCCTGCCAAGATTCTTCAATTATATATTTCAGAGGATGATCATTTATAGAGATGTGGTTCCATTTATAATTAAGACATAGCTGCAGATGTCGGATATGTAAAGGTAATTCCCCCGTAGCTGCTAGCCTAGTATACTTAAAATGGAGGTACTTTTCATAGCGCCGCAGCATATTCTTAGACTCTGTCTTTGTATTAAGTATATCTTTTTCAGGTAGGAGTTAGAAGCAAAAAAGTACGCTTCCATTTCATATTCACAAGCTGCTGTTGAACCAGAAAATAAAACTTTGTTAGCCTTAAGAGACATTGTTCCATGTAATTCCGTCTATAATTCTCCAGTTACAATCGTCCCAAAGCGTGGTTCTAACTCTGTTAGGCTGTGCCTCGATTTCAGACTTTTGAATTCAATTACGATCAAGGAAAAGCATTCCGTACCCCATTTATACGATTTTGTCAATAAATTGCATGGCTGCCGTCATTTCACTACACTTGATCTCACAAAAGCTTATAATCATATTCCTATCTTGGATTCGTATCAACCAAAAACAGCCTTATCCTGCAACAACAAGATGTACATGTTTAAAACCCTTTGTTTCGGATTGGCACCTGCCCCAGCGACCTTCAATTATTTCATGATAGAAGTTTTAGCGAACATTGAAAATATATTTGTAATTTTCGACGATATCCTTATTGCAACCAAAACAGAAGACGAGCATTTCAGAACACTAGATCGAGTTCTCGAACGCTCACACAAATATGGACTTACTATAAATCCAGATAAATGCCATTTTCACAAATCAGAAATTAAATTTTTGGGCCATCATGTCACGCCCGAAGGAATACAGCCCTTAGCCGATAAGGTGGAAGTTTTGCAAAATTATCCTCAACCGAATACATTGAAAGAATTGAGATCTTTTATTGGCCTTTGTACCTATTATAATCGTTTTGTAAAGAATTTTGCTACTATTATACGACCTTTAAATGAGATGACAATTGGAAAACCTAGTAAACGTTCCCGTATTAAATGGAATGATGAATCTTTGGAAGCTTTCGATGACATTAAACATGCTTTAGCCAATGCTACGTTATTGGTTCACCCAAATCACCAATTTCTTTAATTACTGACGCTTCTGACATTGGAATATCAGGCGTTTTACAAATGTTTGAACATAATCAATGGAGACCTCTGGGCCCTGGGGATGTTCTCAAGAGCCCCCCGTGGCCCTCAGAAAACTTATTCGACGTTTGGCAAAGAACTTTTGGCTATTTTTGAATCCATCAAATATTTCCGACATGAATTGACAGGCAGGAAATTTCAATTAATCTCCGACTCCAAAAGCCTGGTGCAGGCCATTCAAAGTCCGAAAGAGCGATTAATCCAACGGGAAGCCCGTCAGCTTGAATACATATCAACTTTTGATTTCACAGTAAAACACATTGCCGGTGCATTGAATATCGCGGCCGACACATTAAGCCGTATTGAATTTCACCCCACATAGAATGGTGCCATAAACGTTGTTGTTCCCCAACAGAAAATTATCCCTTTGATTGACATCTACAACGCCCAACAAAATGACCACGAGCTCAAGCAACTTCTGAAAAACGCCAGCAAACATTCTCTACAATTAATAGCATCACCAGTACCCGAATTAGCGGGAAATATAATTTGCGACATCAGCCTCTCTGGAAAACCACGAACATATATTCCAACTTCGTTACGTCAACGCAATATCAACCTAACTCATAGCTTGTGTCACCCAGGAATATCAGGAACCCAACAGCTTATTAGAGACAGATATGTTTGGCCGAATATGAATAAAGACATTCGTAAATTTGTTCATGAGTGTATACGATGCCAGAAAGCAAAAGTTCAACGACACATACGATCAGAATGTCACTGTCAATGTAGACTTTCTTGGCTCAAAACATATATTGACAGCACCATATCGGCCTCAAGAAAATTCTTTGGTCGAGCGCCGAATTTGGGATTTGTTTTACTTGGTATTCGATCAGTCGTTAAAGAAGATTTGGGTTTCAGCCCTGCTGAATTAGTTTATGGATCAACCTTGCGCCTTCCAGGCCAATTCGTGGATCCGCAGCCAGAAGAAACATAATGCAGCCTATTTTGTGAAATATTACATGCTATTAATATGAAAGGGTTAAATACATTATAATCCGTAGTTACACAATGCACATTCGCTACACCGGTACCTAAGAAAACGGCTACTGATAATGCCCGACAGGCACGCGGTTGACGTCATCAGTTCGTCTGTGTACGACGCGGCAAAGCTTCTCTGTTTGAATAGCGTGGAATTGCAGTATATTCATTCATAAAGCTGTAAAGAAACTACGTTGTTCTGATACACGAATACTATAAGATGGCTCAATCGAATTTGTCGTATACATCATCAACTCTTAGGTAAGTCGATATATTCAATTTCATGCGTAGGCCTATTTTTATCTATGTCTGTATGTGCAACCTTATAACAGTATAAAGTACAATTGACTGAGTGATTGATAAGCATACTACTGCTGTACGGTACAGTATTACCTTGTTATTCACAAAAGACACGGCACTATACGCGGGATAAGTTATTTCCTGTCTCAAAGTTAAGTACAGAAACATGATAGGCGTATGCTTAAATGGCAAAATTCAGATGCCAAAGTTATACATACCATCATACACCAAGGTGACCCCAGCACAAACAAGTTTTTGTTGATAGCTTTAGACTACATTGAGTATAAAAGTATAAGTACCGTATAAAGTATGAGTATAAAAAAAAAAAAAAAAAAAGAGTATAAAAGTTCTTCAAGCCCTTGATTCTGTGATTGCAGCACATGTTTAGGCTGGGTAATTCTGGTCTGGTAATTCTCCTACTCCACTGAGCACACCCAGGCCGAATATTAAACCAGAAATTAAATATATCTGTATATACCAAACTTTTCAGCATGGAGATTGTTGCGAAGTGTAGCACAACAAAAGCTCGTGTTGGAAAGTTGAAGTTACCCCATAGTATCGTTGATACTCCAGTATTCATGCCAGTTGGAACACAAGGAACTTTGAAGGTAGGATTTATATCACTCAAATATAGGATTTGTTCATACTAGGAAGTATAATAGTGTTTTTATATTTATCAATCATATGTCAAACTACCTCTTTTCATATGTTTCCCAATACATGCTGGGTATGTGAAACTTTAACCAGTTGAACTTTATCAGTAAGTGATCAGCATAGCAATCTCTTTGCCGATATCTGTCCAAGAGATGCGAACTGGCAAGGTAATTAGAGATGGAGTGTGGATGGTAATCCTAAGGATTTGTACTGTGCGCCAACTGTCCAGCTGTACTATTAATTATTTTGTTGATTGACAATACTTTGTGCTCCTACGAGAATTTGCTCGATATGAGATCAAGCTCACTCAAGCCCAAATGTTCAATTACTCAAGTTGAGGGAAAATTCTAATAACGGTAGAGATATCATGAAATTTAGAAAGATATTTTTTTTGTTAGGTACATTTTTAGCTGAAATTTTTGGATGTCTCCAATTAAAATATGTTTTGTCAACTTATTCTGATTAACAGATTGTAACAGTGTAGTATTTCAATTCATCAAGTTTGAGAGTGATATTGAAAGTCAATAAATGAGTTTTGTTAATTTACTAAACCTTTATTTTTACGGCCAAACCTGTTATTTCACTCATTTATAAATTTTCTCAATTTGTCAGGGAATCACGCCAAAGCAGCTAGAAAATCTCGATATACGAATCATGCTTGGTAATACTTATCATCTTGGAAACAAACCAGGGGAAGAAATATTAAAAAAAGCTGGAGGATTGCACAACTTTATGTCCTGGGATCGCTCCCTCCTTACTGATAGTGGAGGTTTTCAGGTATATTGACAAAAGTTTGTGTCTGGCCATAACCTTTTAATTTACTATATTTTATGTATTCTAATATGGGTTATTTTCATTGTTCTAAATTTATACAAATGAAATTATATTTTTCTTATTTTCTTTTTATTTATTTATTATAGAAAATTTTCTAAATTGCATATATACCCATTTTGAATGTATCCAATTCGTCTTGGACCACCCTCGAACCTGATTACCTGTTTTACTATAATGGTTTTATCTATTATCGTACACTTTTTTATTGAGAACCTACAACAATATCAATTAAAACTATCGATTTAGAAATTGTAACAAATGTGCATTATCTTTTTTAGATGGTGTCACTTGTTAAATTGGCAGAATTTTCTGAAGAAGGAGTGAAGTTCATTCATCCACACAATGAAACTGAAATGATGTTATCACCTGAGAAATCAATGGAAATACAGAATGCTATTGGGGCTGATATCATGATGCAACTGGATGATGTGGTGAGCTTGAAATACCTAATAGTGCTATTTTGCTAATTTATTATGTTAGAAGGATTATGGACAATATTTATGTAACTGCCCATAAACTTTTATATTGCACCACTATTCTGGTTTTAGTCTCCGTATACAAGTCATACATGGTTGGTCAATTTCAACCAATGTCTCAGCTGGATGACTGATTCTTCGATAGCATAATAGATATAAGTTTATCATTGTGCACTGGTTGTGTTTCATGGGGTTAAGAGGTTTGAATCCCTTGGAGGCCGTTATGTATGAGGATTGTCGAACATTTTATGATGGTTCACATAACTACTGCTCATTTAAAAAAATATAGTTTAGATTATATTTAGCTATTTCTGACCCAGGATGTTCAAATTAATGCCCGTGGTTAATTTCATGTAAGGTATTTTCTGTGTAATTGTTTGATAAAAATATAATTTTCAATATGCCAGGTGAGCAGCACTGAAACAGATCAGGACCGATTTCGTTTGGCTACAAAAAGATCAATCAGATGGCTCGATAGATGCATTGCAGCCCACAAAAGACAGACAGAACAAAATTTATTCCCTATAATCCAAGGTGGATTGGATGAAGAGTTAAGGAAGGATTGTTTGAAAGAAATGACTTCAAGAGATGTTCATGGATTCGCTGTCGGGGGTTTGAGTGGCGGTGAATGCAAAGACGACTTTTGGAGGATGGTGACTGTAAGCACAGATGGACTGCCTGATAATAAGCCCAGATATTTAATGGGTGTCGGCTACGCTGCTGACCTAATCGTATGCTCTGCTTTAGGTTGTGATATGTTCGATTGTGTTTTTCCAACGAGGACCGCTAGATTTGGTGTAGCTTTAGTACGGAAAGGACAAATGAATTTGAAGCGTGTCGAATTTTCAAAAGATTTTGAACCCATCGATAAAAACTGTGAATGCTCCACTTGTCGAGATTACAGCCGAGCGTATCTTCATATGCTATTTAAGAATAATAACCCAAGCGCCTGCAGTATGGTATCTATTCATAATGTAAAATACCAGGCCGATCTAATGGCAGCTGTTAGGGAAGCTATTACCTTAGATAGATTCCCAGACTTTATTAAAGAAAGGTTTTTAGAATTGTTTGAAGATCAATCTAATTTTCCTGCATGGGCTTGTGATGCTTTAGAATCTGTTGGTGTTAAATTAAAAAAATAAATATTTTTTAATATTATGCAATCATAGACAGTAGCCAATTCTTTTTTGTTCATTAAATAAGAATGGGACCTCTCAAGATCTCACGCATCAGGAGGAATCATTCTTATTGCTATTCTGTGGGTCAGAAGAATGCGAAAAGAAGTATAGTGCAGACTTTAATATAAATTATAGTAATACAATGGAGTGCCCTTCAGGTCAAATAGTTAATCCGTAAGTTTTGCTTTGGGATGTGTATCCATTTCCTGATATTTCTATCTTGAAGGTTTGAAAAATTTCCAGAATATTTATCCGTAAGCTGGGACATTAGTAACACATTGTATGAGAAGGTAAATTGAACCCAGTCATGAAAATAGAACATAAATTGAATCCTTGGTATTCTGGATTCAATTTAACTATTCTAGAACAGTAAATTGTTCCATGTTGCCCATCCCTATTAGTCCACTAAGCAAGATTTTGATCAGAGCTGCACCGCTGCTCCCATTGAAGCCCAGACTTTTTCAAGCTTAAAATATGGGAACGAGTTATTAGATATGCCCATGTGTTTCATTGTTACTTATACAGCATGTATAGTGTTTCTCACCTGGCGAAATCTGTTCTAAGCCACATAACTAAACTAAGGATGACAGGGCACCCATTAGTTTGCACAAATACCAGTCCTGTATGTTTTTTCATGGCAGTTAAGACAAAGCACGCATGATATTTTGAACACTACGTTATACTCAGTGATGGGATACTAAATTTTAACAGGTTTTCTTTCGTATCGAGCTCACCAAGAACAGATTCCCTCATTTCAGAAAACCATACCAAACTTATAGCTATGGACGTTTCCCTGACCTTTGACCTCTAAAAACAAATCTAAAAATGGACAAATAAGGCTCAAAATCACCAAAAGAGACAATGTTTACAACTATGTTCGAATATCTGCCGAGCATTTGTTATTTCATTGTTAACTCAATGCTGATTTGTAATTGTTGCAAGAAAATTGATGCCCGGGAAACATCCAATGGTTCGCCGAATATCACGCCCATCCAAGTTATGAAAACAAACCACGCAGTTTTCTTATATTTGGAATTATATTAGATTACATGATGAAACATACTGTAGTACGACGACTGACTAAGAGTGATTTCTATACTTCAGTATCCATATTGCGAAAACAAATTATATCACACGTATTCATACGTTTCATAAAACCATACTTCATTGGGAATCATTTGTTAGATGAGCAAATCAATGACAGGTTCTTACATTGCAGAGGCTAAGTGTTTTTCAGAGATCACCAAGATCAAGAACAAAACATCACTTAAAATTAATGAATTTGAAAGACTATTTTATCAATAAACAAACTTCAATTATAAATGCATTTTTCTGTCATACAATGAATTTCAAAATTGCACACGTCAACTGAGTAAAACACGATTGCGTGCAATAGCACATTTAGGTAAATTTGACTCCACTACCAGACATTGTATTAGATTTAGAGGTGAATACAAATTGCAAACTTTTTCCAAAAAAAGTGAAATTACTAGTCTTATATTTCTAATATTTCAAAAACTATTTTTATTTTTGATCCCAAAATCAAGTTCTATACCGAAAATTGTCACAATGTTAGGAAAAGAAAAACTAAACAGTTGCAGACATTTTATTGGCATGCTGAGAATAATACATTAGGCAAAAGCCTTTGCATTATGACAAGAAACTATATTATTGGGCCACGCCTTAGTATTTATTGTGTTTCATCAGTGGCCTTGGCAAAACCATATGATGCAATAGACATGGCCAATTTCGAAATATTGATCAGAAAAAGAAAAATTTTTTTTTTATTCGAGTCTGAAAAACGTTCAAACACAAGATTGAACATTTCTCAAATTTCAACTGGTTTTATTAAATTTGACCGAAATCGTTAAACTTATTTTTGTACAAATTACGATATTTTAGGTACTGATCGCACCAATAACGATTGTGATAATATATTTTATAACTACTACGTGTAATATACTAAATATCAATATGATTCAGGCGAATTTTCTCAAAAAAAAAGATAAAACATATACAATATATCATACTAGATTGCTGCTGTGAGGCATTTTGATTTGTTAATGACAGAAAACCATTCGTAAGCAGGAGATGAATAAACAATGACAAATTTTGCTTTAAGACAATTTTTTTTTAATTTTACAATCATGTTATCTATAATTAAAACATATATATCGCAAACAAACTTTTTGGAATTCTATTTCTACAAGAAAGCTTTGTATTCAGAACAAGGCTGGGAAATCTTAATCGAGTCGAAATTTAACACTGCCTGAATTTCATATTATTTTCAATGGTGATAATAAGTCATAATTTTTCATAAAAACTCAAAAAGCTTCAAGTTTATTAAGCGGTTTTTAACAGTTTAACGAAGGTGACTTGCATATAGTTATTAATTTTTGTAGTTCGGATTTAGAGTAGAATCAGAATTATTCACGAGACAGAGTAGGAGCCAAATTTTTCTCAACCCAGCGTCGGGAGTCAATTGTAAATTTTCCCCGATTTCACGACCCTTATTTATTAAACCTCATGTTTTGAATTATATAGTAAAGAAAAGCTTATTCATCTTAAATCAAATAATCGACAATCAACGGAAGAAGTTAAAAATCGAATCCCATCTATTGGATTCTAAAAAAGGTAGGTATCATTTTCACTTCAAAATTTTAGTAATTTTACACTATTTTTCAACAATTTTGATTCAAAACTTATCGACAATGAAATACTTTGGATACTTGGCTATGAAGAGGTAAGAATGTAGGAAATAGGAATGAGACAGATATTCGCCGTGACAAATTTAAGATTTTCGTTTCATTAACAATCATTTGGTAGTAATCAACAATGAGCATGTTTTATACGATCTTGGTCACCATCATTTTGGCTATATTCAAATCCTATTCATTTCATGAAGGTCAACAACGGGTCTCGTAAAGTCCGCTACGTCCGATGTACCTCACCCACTTTATAACATCGTGGTCATTGTAGTTGAGCTTGTGTTCGAAGACCTTCAGATATCGAACTTTAAGACCAGATGGTGCAAACGGCACCTGTGAATTTAACAAAAAATTGATTATTCAAAGGAAGAAATAATTTTCACCAGAGAGATGTTACAGGGTGACCCAGAATAAGACAGGACTCTACTTAATTACCGTACTTCTACGTGAATGAAGAATTTTTTTTTAATAATGAACTGGGTACTGTTTCCTGGGCGTCACCCCGTAAAATACATGATTAAATCTTCAAAACAACCAAGATTTAAATAAAAAAAAATGCTTCAAGTAAGATTGTGAAAAATACAATAGAATAGCATAACAAATTACCTCAAAATTCATAGAAATTGGAGGGCGAGACCATTTCTTTTTGTCAGATGTTGGTAGCAATTCTATTTCAGCACTGATTTGGGATTCTTTCATTCCAGCCATTCTTTTCATCCTAGATAAACGATATTATATTAAATACTCAACATCACAACAAAATATTCAACCAAGGGTTACCTAAGGTCAGTGAAAAGCTATTTTGTGCGAAGAGAAATCATGAAGTCTGACTTACAACTGGTCAAGTCGAGGATTTCACAGAAAAATGGAGAAATTTTGCATGAAACATTACAAACATATAGGTGATCTTTAAGCTGGTATGTTCATAATCTGAAGCAATATTCACCAAAGTATAACAATGAAAAGTTTCAACTTTCCCTTTCTCCTTTTATTTCGAGCCCTAGAAATGTTGAACATTTTCATCATGGCTTGGCTGATTACTGTTGTCTCAGTGATAGTTTCGAATGATATGGTGGTTCATGTAATTACTGTTCAGTTACGTCTTGTGCAATGATTGATATTTATACATGTGTATTTTGAATGATTAGATTATGGCCTTAGATGAGGAATTTCCGTACATGTCAATGGTTCCACCAAACCATTTTCTATATATTTTTCCTTTTGCCTATTTTCGAACTATTCATCCCCTCTCACTATAAAAAGTATGTTTTCGTTATTCGTACAATCTTTGAAAGATCCTTGGCTCACTCAGGATTATGCACGGTTTGAACATCTAGTTTATAATGTATAAATATGTATTTAAATAATACTAGATGACCAAACAAAATTGGTAAAACTGAACAGAATACAAAGATTAAGCGATCTTAATTTTCTCTCCTCCAATGAAAATGTGAAAACATAGAGCAGTGGTTCTCAAATGGTGGGGCGCGGTCCACAAGGGGGCGACATAGACAATTTTTGAGGGGACGTGAAGTTAATTAAAAATATAGATATTTGTTAGATTTGATCTTACCCGCCTTATTTTGGATATTTACATTTCAAAACTTTCCATTTATTTCATTATTTACGTTCCATCCGCATATTTTCAACGTGTTTTTGAGTAAAACATACTTTCGCCTTACTATCTGTTATTTGTAGCTTATTGTTAGCTACCGTAATTTCTCGAAATTACGCCTATCTTGCAAATAGGCCGACTCCCTAAAAACGACGATTTTATAAAAAAAATCGCACATAAGCCGGTCCTACGAATCGTTACACGCCGGACGACTAGAGAAATACGTAGAAAGAGAACAAAATTACTGTAACGCAAACATTCCTCATGTTTATCATTTGTTTGTTAGCGACGGCGAGTTACAAGTAGATTCCTACTTGTAACTCTTACTTGTGAATTCATGTTAATAAAGTCTATATTGCTTTTCATGCGTCGTGATTTGTATTAATGGAGGGGATTGTTGTCGGGAGTTTAAGAGAGTCCCTGAGTCAGCATAAAACAATTTCCTTTGATCGTCCACAACGCAGTTAATTTTGATAAGAGTCCTTATCACCGCCCCTTAACGGATAACATATCGTAAAGACTGTACAAGCCATAAGCTGTATGATAAGACAATCCACCTTCACAAGCGATTGCGTGTGTGCGTGCTCGCTTTTTATTGTGAGAACTTGGTATGGTTTGAAGCCTTTGGAATTACCGTCAGCATAATATCATCTCGTTGCGTGATCAAATTCTGATGCGCGAATGAGTCGATTTTTTGGTGCAATCTGAGTTATGCGCGAATAAGATGGTCCCTTAGTTTGGCAACGTTTTTTTGAGTTTTAAACTCGGCCTATTCGCGAGCATATACGGTAGTTATTTTTTAGGTGGACACGAGACTTGACAAATTCTATAAACGGCTCAAAAAGTTTGAGATCCACTGACCTAGAGGATATGGTCCTAACAGGCTGTGTAGAATTAGTAAGACTACTACTTACTTCCATACAATCGCATTTTCACTCGATTTGTATTTTGCTTTTCCTTTCATGCAGAGCACTTGCACTCCACTCGTGTTGAGTGGAGTAGGTATCCTCACTTCAATCTTTTGAGCAAGAAGAGTAGGTTTAAAGTTGGACTTGACGACGACCTTAACTTCCATTTTGCTTCTGCCAATATCTCGCACTAATGGAATAACTCGGAACGGGAGGCTAATGTCCTTGGTAGTCCGATATCTGGTTAAAATATTTAACATATTATTGCTTATAAACTTCAGCACTTTTGAACTTTTTATATATAAAGATGGCATAATCATATGGCGAGCCACAACCACTTGTTTGATGTGGTTATGGTGATAACTCGGTAGTCGAACGACTCGCCACTCAACAATTTCTTAGCCGACTAAAAAATTTAGGTCAAAAATGCTGCAGTACTCAGAAATTAGACACGAGTTGAGCACGGCGCTGAGTGAGGTGACGCCACCTGAACCGCACATCTAAGCTGCCTTTTTTGTCGTTGCTCATAGCTCCAAAGAAAAGTAGTAATAAAAGGAAGGAAAAGAGAAAAACTGTGAGAAGAAATTATTGTTGTTTTGGGACACGTTTTATTAATATTTTGGGTATTTTGGAATGTGCGTAAATGTAGTCAACCAGTTATTTATTTCAGACACATGGACTTGATAGCGGAGGAAGCCGTAAGCGTTTACATGAACCCTCTTACAATGACGAGTAATCCAGCAATCGTCTCACGCCGAATTATTCCACACAGGTAACAAACTAGCGAACCCACGCAGGTTAATCAACGCTTAGCACAATACGGCGACCATTAAGTATGTGGTCTACAAGTACAGGAAATGCACTGGTACTCCAAATGACAAACTAAACACCAAAGTCATATGAATATTGCGTCATAGTAGAAAACGATAATATGCAAACAAGTTTGGAACAAAATAAACAAAACAGGAAATTAATTAGTGGAGTCAAAACAATCCTAAAACTACAAAACGATTTGATACATATGACTGGGGTATTATTATTACAGGGCAAAAGATGTGAATAAATGTCATATTTTTGAAAACTTTCATATGCTATATCATATTACTCTGCATGGTTTAAAATTACCAAACGAAAAATCTAACCATGATATAATACCGGGAAACAACTTGTTTTGATCTAACTTTCTTAAAACAAAAAAAATATCGAAACTTTAGGATTATTCTGATTTAATAATGATAATTCATTTTAATTTCCAACAATGGTTGTTCGAAAAAAAATTGGTTTGAATTTAAATAACTCTAATCAAAATTCTAGATACTCCGTAACTTAACTGCTATAATGGATTTACCGAAACAGTGAGTTCATATTCACCATCTCTATACATATGTTTTTTTTATTTCAGCAAACCTAATTTTCAAGCTTCATTCAAACTACTTTTTTGCACATATCCATTTTTTATAATTCATTCCCAATTCTCAGAAATTGGGTTTATAGTAACATTACAATGTCAGGTTTGTGATAATGAGCAGGTCTTGATCTCACATCGTGATTGTAATAATATTAACATTAGGAAATAAAATGAATTCGGCGAGTCGAAAATGCCTTCAAGCACTATACAAACATTCCTGTAATGCACTGTCATGCTATATACATTATAATTTAACATCTGTGATAGAGCTAAACTAAGTCTTTCCAAATAATCATAGATCAAGCATGATTCGAACTTAATTGGTGATTTACCATTCTTGATTGCGCTCATCATAGGCCAAGCATGATCCGTAGTTTATAGGTATTTGGGCGCTTCAGAAGTGTGTGTACCAATATGGAGGTAACTAATTTTTTCGCCTACTTTACATCAAGTTGTGTAAAGGGACTGAAGCCGATGGACAGGGGGTATATTCACTTGGCTAACACAGACAGTACCCTGACTCGTGATAGAACTAAAATATGAAAATAATCTACTTACCTCATGAGCTCAAATTCACCATCTGCCGGGATAAAGCTGATGCTCCGTTCAGATTCAAATTTGCTCAATTTAACACATTGATGAAATGTGCAATCATCAATAGCAATAGATGGCTTCCCACTGAAATAGATTAAAAACTTCCATGAAAATCCTAGAAAACTAACTTATATGTATATCAGTACTGGCCAATTCAAAGATGTCCAAAACTAAATGAATATGCTGCTATTTCTAATATATTCTAAAATCTAAATTTATGTTTTTTGAAAATAATAAAAATAAATGAATGAAGACTTATTCATATTCTATTTTTTTCTGTTTGTTCATACCACAAGATTGCTCACAATGCCAATGATGAAATGATTTATTTATTAAAACTTATAAATTGACCACCCTGACTACACTATTGGCTCTTTTCAGTATTGCTGCTTACTGTGAACATTCTATAAATGCTTGAAATGTTTCCACATTACTACTTATCTACAGACACATTTTGTCAATTTTGAAAATTCTATCGGCAACAGTTTTCTCGAATTTCTTAAAAAAAGATTCATTGTGCCAATACATAAAATGACACAAATGTCACCCAGCGGGCCAGATGAATTAGTGATTGGAAGCGTTAGACTTAACCATGTCGACATCACAAGTTCAATTAATACATACCTCTTAGTCGCATCGTCAGTTGTTCTAGAAGATTTATCCAAGACAAGTTTATCGTTCATTCCAAACTTACATTCTGGCATTCCACTCAAATAACTTTTCATGATGACACGACCTGCCACATGAGCACTGAGAACTTGACCTGAAAATGAACAATATTATCAAATACCCATTTCATATAATGTATACCAGTAAACCATGTTGAATGCATCACCATATCATAATTTAAAAGCATTTTTACTGATAAAACAGATATTTTATTTCCTGAATGCTGAAAGGGAAAAATGTTCTTAAATATCACAAATTTTTACAGAAATATCTTTGGATTTCAATATGCTCGTCCAAAAATAAATGCAGAGTAGTGCGCAGAGGGGCAAATTGTCAGAACCAACTGTAACTGTTTATGAATCGTGAGACAAACAAAACGAGGGTACGTCCTATATAGGACCCATATTTCAAAAAATTCAGAGGACCCATGGAGTAATACAATTTCATTACAAAGCCAAATGATAAACCCTGCACCTTGTAAATTTCTGAGCGAGTAATCCGGTAACATTTTTAAATGTGAATGAAATGTCTCTCAATAAATATTGATGAATAATTTACATTCTTAGCTTCATTAAATTTTATTCATCAGATCAGTGAGGTAATTGACTGGCTATACTAAGAAAACTTTAAACTAAGAAAAAAAAACATCAGAAAAAAATTCCTCATATCAAATACGAAATTGTAATACAAGAATTTTTCTGGCAAATTTTTCATTCTCATACATAAAATAGTTAATAATAGGGATGAATTTTTCATATTTATTCCATAGGAGACGAAAGCCGGTAATAGAGCTTAATTCGATGGCTAACACCAGCATCTTGTCCAGTTACCAGCCCATGTCAGGTAATAGAATAGTCAACTAGTTCATTTCAGATGCATGGACCTCAACTTACCAGCGGTCATGTGTTCTATAGTACACCATCTATCTGTTACCATGATAATTTGCATCCAGTTTTCCTTTTCGAAAGTATTAATTGATGCATTTTGACTGGGTTTGTACTCGAACCAATAAGAAAATCAGATCAGACCGAAACTTTTTCACATATTCAAGATTCAAGTCTCAAAACTTTGTACTTTTAGAATATTAATAAGATAGTATTAAAACATATTAAGAATCTGTCATACCAAATTTTTAAAATCAATACACAGATACACAACACAGATGTGGTTTTTAAGCCTACTCCAGCAGTCTGTCATAAAGACCGTTGAATATTGGTTAAAAATCAATAAGAAATCCACTCAAGGGAAATTATGAGAGCTGTTCTACTTCAGTACATATCATCAAAACTCGTACATTATGTAGCAAGCACGACCACCCAATCAATGCCATAATAATTTCCTATTTCGATGACCTCGATAGTTTGCAAAAATAAAACCGATCAAATATAATAATTTTAAATACAGAAATGCTTTTCATCAATGATGTCTACAGCCAAATAATTCAAGTATTCTAAAACTTAGCGTGGATTTGAATTTACCGGTACTGTTAATTTTTATCAGAAAAATGATCTTATATCTGATAAAAAATTATTCTATAAAATTTGAAGTGGCCTATATATATAAAGTTCTGTTACAATTTCATTATTTTGTTATGAAGTCAGTTCTCCAGATAAATCAACCATTTTTTTTAATCAGTGTTTATTCGAGTTTTTCTACTCCATTCAATACACCTTTATATACCTATACATTTAGTTATACGAAGCACATTAAAGATCTTTTAACTAATTTAAAGTGGGACTTTAGATACTTTTATATATTACTATGAAAATTATAGCTTTATAGAAAACAGTTACCGATTAACATAAATTAATATTATCAGAATTCGTAAAGTACGCAATTTTGAAATGGCAATAATTTGGAACTTCATAAATTAATCATAACAATTTCTTTGGTAAAACAAAATTGCCAGATGAAAAATATAGAAGAGACTTATATGGGCATGAAATGAGGGTTGATTCAATAAGATCATATTTATCCAAGAGGATAAATACCGTTACAAATAATACAATACTAAACTATACATAAATGAATATATTTGGCGAGGTTCTGCCTCTATGTCGCCTATCCAGGCGAAGCTTGAGGTATAGATTGTTCAATTATCTGTTTGAGTCATTCCTAGAATATGTATAAACAGACTGTTTATCGCTAAATTAAAGGTATAGAATAAGTAATATCTATTAAAGAATGGAGTGCAAGGGTAGACCTCACGCTATTATGTGGTAGACCTAATGTTCTAATAGCACCATATATTTTACATTCTATTAAAATCCTTCACTGATTTAGAGAACACTACCTTGTGGTGACATGAGAAGATTGACACTCTCCAACACATCAAGAAACAATTCATTTCTTCTGTATTTAATTCCTTCTCTTCTCCATCCTATTTGTCCTGTAACTTGCGACGTTATCTGAGTGGTTTCTTCTTTGCTCTATTGTTTGTGAAATAAAAATTATTCAAGATTTCGATAAAATAACACATGTGAAAACATTTGCTTTCTTATTAATGTACTTTCTAATCAACCATATAAACAAATCATATCTCGTGGGTTTGGACTGGAGGTTTGAAACCTACATGGGATAATTATGTGCAAAAAGGTTGCTTAACTCCTGTAGACTGGTTCATTCAACCACTGGTTGGTTACGGCTTCCTGCACTATCCAGTTCATATACAATGATTTGTTCAGTTCACAGGAATTAAAGAAAAACCTTTTTGGCCCTACGGTGAGATTTCAATTAATCAAAATGAAATGAATCTATAAATGAGGCCTCAAAAGTTTAAAAAGACAATTTAACCTATAGCCTACATAACTAGACTTGAAATATGTAAATAAATTCCCATTAACTCTAAATTTATGTATCACTCATTTTATATACATATTATTAATAAAATACACACTGTACATATATGACAACATTTAACACAATATAAAAATAATCACATAAAAGCAACAGCAATTTCGCAACTCGACTTCTAAAGAAATTTCATACTCTTTCACTTTTTCCGTAGTATGTAATGAGAAATGGTGCAATTTCATCATACAAAGAATTTCAAATATAGGTAAATCATTTTTTATTGACACGTCATTTTCACAATGGGTTCAGTGTTCAGTCGAATGATAATGTATATATACCATACAATTTTGGGTACCAGTACTTTCGAAGTATGTGAAACAAGATGGCGGACACCGGTAAGTAGTATGTGTACCAGGTTAGGGTTAGGTCATAATTTCAGGTACAAATACTACAGGAGTCAATTGGCTAGTTCCCGAACTTGTAATAGAACTAAAGTAAGGAAAATTGGAATAAAATTATGCCCTAACCCTAACCTGGTATACATACTATGTTGCGGTGTCTGCCATCTTGGTTCACATACGTCGGGAGTACCCAATTTTGTACCAAACTAAGTTTGTCTGACTCTTTCTCAATATTAAACCACGCAACCACGCAAGATAAACAACAATACGGTAAAAAATACGAACAGACATCTGGACATCACATTAGAATTATTAAATTACCTTTCCAGACAATGCAGTTACAACCTTATTTTATTAAGATTTGCACAATGTCAAAAGAAACAAGAGTTAGTCATCACACATAATTACAGCAATAAAGTTCAAATTCAATCAATTTCGAAAATTAAAACTTTTCTTAATAAAATTTGAACAAATTTTAAATTAGAAATACCAAGTGTCAGTGAAAATTATTAATCCCTTCAGAATACAAATTGCATCAATGACACATTCATTTCAACTGAATTAGAGATTTTAAAAATCATCTTAGTTCTTTATTTAAAATGAAAATAACTTAAAGCTTTTTACAAAAAGTTATTAAAGATCATAAATAACATAATAACCTGAGTTTTGATTCCTTGTTGCGTAATAAATGTCTTTAATATTCCAGTATCAGTCTTCTGCGGATATCCGAAGTCCAAAACCTCTGTAATATGTAAAATTCATTGACAAAAAAAAATCCATTCGCAATTTCAAATACTGTAAATGTGAAACATTTCAAAGCTAATCTAATATGCATTTCCATTAGCTTGATTGTTAGAAAATGGCTTTTTACGATTCGAGTGCTGTTAAATTCAAATCTTAAAATTGATATTGGCTTCAGCAAGTTGGCATTGCATTGAGTCAAAACTGGAGTTGGGATTGATAGAATATTTATCAAAGACTCAAAGTCGAGTGATCTAAATGAAAAAACTCAAACTTGTCATCAGCTGACCACCTGTGAGACTTAACTCAATAATCATCAGGACTCGACTTGAAGACTCAGATAACTCATGGGCTGTGACTCGACTCGCAGCTAGGGAAATAGGAACTTCTACTCATCCTGCACACTTGAGATCCAGGGTTCAAGTTGAGGCCTATCTATCTAACCATTTAGGGTTGAGATATTGGGCATGACAATCAGATGAAATTCTGGGATGTTCATACTCAGGATCTTCTAAGTTGATAAATAAATGAGAAGCAATGGTCTATGCACACTAACCATCTAGAAGTTCGTATATCAAAACAAAATTGTTTTTGATATTTTCTTCATTGATTTTTCCAAAATAACTTTGCATAACATCAATCATTTTAAGAAGAAATTCAAACACAAGAACAGCGTTGACATTTTGCTTCGTTACCTGAAAATTGAAAGCGTTGTTTAATTATATACTAAATTTTGGAGAGCTTGGTTCCAAAACGTGATATATGCCAAAACCAAATATTTAGAAAACCATAAGGAAATTGGCAATACAGTCATAGCTAACGAAAGTGAATCCAGTCTTTATTCCATTTATCAATGAAAACCGAATACTAGACAGTACTATAAGTAATTTTACTAGGTATTTGGAACAATCAGGAATGTATCAAAAATGAATCAAATTTATATAATTCTGGTCAAAATGCTGTCAAAATATTGTAACATATGTTTTCTAATATTTTGAATACATTTAGGAAAATCTCTAAAAAATAGGTCAGCTCAAAAATCATAGTTCATCATATTATTGAACAGTCTTATAATTTCCCTTCCCTTAAAAATGAATCCTGAAACACAGCAGTAAAGCATTCCTTGTTAAAGTAAAAAAAAACTGTGATTTCTACAATAAATTCTTACAGCACATAGCCATATATTTCCTCGTTTTGTATGAAAGAAACTTGTCCGTGCTATATTGGTAACAGGTGATCGCACTTGCTGTCTTGCATGAATAACATTGACACGAAAAGCATCGCACGCATTCCGCCTGTAAAATAATACATTGCATGTTAGAACAATGAAATACTACAATTAGGAAGAGTCTATAAATTCAGATTACTTCAAAAATAGCTATTGGCTTTTCGGACTGGGAGCGTTCATGCCATCGTAAGCAGGGATATGGAGTCTGGAAATTTTTACAATTGACTTTTGACTCGAGGATAAAAAAAATTTGACTAAGTTTCCCAGTAGAGAAAAATTGACTCTCGCTCCTACTTGTAGAATATTTGGACTCTGGGACTCCAGATCCAAATTCTGAATAAAAATTTTTTAATAAGAACTTTGACATAATAGGCTGTTATTAATAACACTCTGTAAACCTACACAGAGTAGTATAATATATATAGAAGTGCAAAAGTTATAAAATCTGTAATCAATGGTCATAAAGAACAACATACCCGATATCATCACGATATATCCTTGATATGAGAACTTCTCCCTTGTGATTGTAAAGGAAAAGACCACCGATCATTTTGGTGGTTTGACCAGGCCAGAGGCCTCACACACTTCAGACAGAAATATTCAGTTTCCCTACTTTTATAAGAACATAGCAGTTTAAATAGTTCACTAGCTTTCAATGAAAGAATCAGAAAAAATTTAATGAATATGATACATGAATTAGGTGAATACATGAATTAGGTGATTGCTTCCCATTTCTAGATATTGGAACATAAGCACTGTCAGACTTTTCGATTAGAGAAACTGAAGCTTAGTTCAGTAACGCACAGTTCAGCAGTACGGTACTACAAATTCACACCCATTTCTGCATTTTGATACAACCACAGACAGAGATACCGAATTGTATACAGTACCGTACTGTAGCCTACCGTCTGTCGGGTAACCAATGAGTAAAAAAAAAATGAGAATACTGCTGTACTGGAATAACAGAATCAATTTCCACTACTGCATTATGAACTTGTACCGATACCGGTACCGTCTGACCATACGGTACGTTTACGACCGTAGGTCTTAAATTTACAGTATTGCTGTATTGAGTTAAGTTACACAGTTCAGCAGTTCAGGCAATCAATCAATCATTTTATTTCGGCTCTCTGACTAAAACAGAACAATACAAAAAAGTAAACATACAACAAATACAGAACAATACAAAAAAGTACACAGACAACAAATACAGAGATACCTGGAAGGCGAGCATAACTTAAAATAAAGTTAAAAAACGTACAAGTACGTGCCCACCCACCAAAAAATAAAATAGAAATAATATTATACAAAAAATATGGACACGATTCAAAATCGGGCAGTGCTTATAACTCAATTTAAAATGATAAAAGCCAAATAATTGCTTGAATCGGTGGATAATTTACATGGAGTAAAATAAGTATTGCGATTGAAATAGGACAGCAAAATTCAGGTAGATAAAATTAAATGTAATAGAATCCCAACGACCTCCTCCGTCTCTGATAGATGTTTCAAATGTTCGTATACGATTATGGTAGCTGAGAAATCGCCAGGATTAGCCTTGCAGTAAATATATATAAATAAAGCTGATCTCGAATTCTGTAAATTTTGGGTCTGAGATTCCCATATAGCATAGAAATATACCGGTACAGGTCAAAATCTATCTATGATAGATCATAGATCTGTTATATATGTACTTCCATACAGGTACCGTATCGCTGATCTCTGTCACAGAATCTGTGTACGGTACCGGTACAATTTCAGAATTTGCAACTCATTACGGTACGGTAACGTTTCATTAATCTTTCTGTTTTTGTCTGTTTGTGGGTCGACCGCTTCCGGTACTCATTTCGCGTGTGTCAATAAACATTTCACTTACAAGTAAAATAGTCTACTCTAGACACTATGCAGGCAATCAGTAATAACAAGCCTAACAAAACCGGATTATAGACTCTCAACAAAATTGACAAACGGAAGACGGACGAAATCAGGTGGGCGGACACGCCGAAAGTTTACTTTTGACAAACATGCAAATTTCAATGCTATAGCGACCACTAGTGATAACCCGAAAGGCGATTGATTTCCGGAAAATCGTTCAACCGTCCATAAACATTTCTACTCAGTATTTTAGTAAACTGCCAAAATCTTTCATTAAATTCTGTCAAAAGTTTGATATATAAATTTTCGTTGACAAGTGCAATGTTTTTGTTAATTCATCCCTAATTTTGATTCATCCAACCGTTTAGAAACAATTGTAAATAGTAAAAAGCACGCTAAGAACATAATACATGCCCAAGATGATAAATCGATCAAAATAGTTGTTTTTTTCATAGATAAATTCATCTCATTGCACAGGATCAAAAGTTTAAAGCTTGAGAAAGCTTAGATAATAATTCTATTTGTCTGAAGAGAAAGTGAAATTTATTATTTATTAATAATACTGTACAGTCGTCGTAACAACAAGCAATAAATATTTTAACAAAAGAGCGATGATTGAAGTGCGCGATTTCTGATGACGTCATAGCACACAAAAATTGAATCCCGCAGACATTTTTAAAATTAATAAAAGTAATAGCAGTAATAGTAAAATACAATATTCAACCACTGAAAATTTCAAAGCGATTGATCTTGTAATTGAAGTTAAATCGATTTTTCGAAGAAAAACAGGAAAAAAACAAGAGAACGATATGATCAAATAAACGGACACGAAATAGTATAGGTATGCAGTCTGTCACGGTAGTCTACCATTAAGGTGTCGATAACAATGTAGCCTACAGGTACCATTTGACAACCGCGAAAGCGGAACCGCCACAAGGAGCGCAATTTTTGATTTTGAGAAGGTTATCGTACACAAAAACAAATTGCATCAGAAGCCACAGAAATTTTTAAAATAAATAAATAATCTTCTAGCGAAAAATACAATCTTCAACCGCTGAAAATTTCAAAGCAATTGGTCCAGTAGCTATTGAGAAAAGCTTTTGAATACTAACGAGGAGATCAACAATAACAAAACAATCCATAAGAAGACCACTGGGTGTCCAACAAAAGCAACAACGTAACACCAAAACCTTTATTTATATGTACACACCGTGTCCAATAATATGTTCAGGAGGAAAAACGCTTAAACTTTGCAATGTAAGGTAGCCACCCGACTTTAAACCGCAATAAAAACTATAACTCCCTATACTTTATCTATGCTTATGATGCGGATGTTTTCGAGAATGTTTTTTTTTGAATATATTTGACCAACTGCAATAAAAAGTACACTTACTTTAGTATACTAAACCCCATCTTTTTGAAACCGCGTGGTTTTTGAAACAAATTGCCTGCTAAGTTATTCAATTTGCACATATGTCGAAGGTCCATATGTGCTAAAAAATGGCGAAGGATGTATGTCGACCCAAACATTGACAATATTCTGGGCGCAACTCGTGCGACATTGAGGTATTTTTCCATTGACATACTTTTCCATAACTCAATAGTCCCTCACCCTAAAGCACATTTCAGTTGGTTTCATCATAAAGAGAATGCACGATGAATCATAATATTTCTGTTAAATCGCAGCATGATCGTAGTTTGCAAGATATTTTTTCCAAAATAAAAAAACCAGACGGAAAGAGCCGCATGAAACCGCAGCAAGGGCCGCATGCGGCTCGCGAGCCGAGGGTTGGCCATTCCTGCTCTATACTGAACCGATTCAATTTGACATTAAGTAAAGACCTATGTGCAAATGCATAACTTTGGTAACTGTTTGAACCTGAAAATCAGTGTTCACATTGCGTGTGACGTCACTTCCACTTGACTTTATTCAACGTTTAACAACATATCGCAATGGTCAAATTTATAGAAAAAAAATCGTGGGATTAGAACACGGATAAATAAAAAAATTAAAAACGGCATCTAACAAGGTGCTAGAAATTTTATCCCGAAAATTGATAATTTAACTCGACCGTTTAGTTCAGGTCGTAGCCTATCATAGTGTGTATCTGAATGTTTATCACTCACAGCCCGTCGACCGCTGGTCGTTTAATTTCATATTACTCATGATGTAAAAGTGCTATTCTCTTACTTTGGTGTTATGTTTCTATGTCAAGCGGCATGTGCCGTTTTTAAACGCAAGTATCCCTACGTTCTAATATGTATTTATGCTTTGATCATTCATATAAAGTCAGGCGATCTATTTCATTTTCATACAGTAAGTAACAACTTTTCCGTCTATATGATTCAAAATGCACTTCGATAGTTTGTGTTTGAATTGGCGATTAGGGTTTATTTTTTAAAATCGGAGTTTAGCTATTCGGTAGTAATGTCCTAATTTTGTGTGTTTATCATTTCATACTAACAAGGTGGCAATAAATCATTTTAACAACATGTCAGTATCCCTGTACGCGTAGGCTGATAGCAAAAACTGCTGTTCTTGGTTAATAGGACGTGCCAAACATCGCCGTATACAATGTGCGGAAACTGCGTCGGCGAATATTCCTGAGTCCACGAATTACTCAACGATATATGCGTGTGTGTGTGTATGATTACTAAAGTACATATGCAGGCAACACATTGCCCTCGGATGACGACACTAGAAAACTGCTAGGAAGCTATAACGTTCAAATAGACTGTAGTCATTATACGAAAGAAAGCTGCTGAGGTGCATTACAGAACATATGAGTAGAAACTTTGATATTGATAAAGATAAAGTTATGGACAGAGATGAAGAGAGTGATTCATAGTTGCTCGAGTTTTAGTCTTCTTTGACATTAATAGGATGGAAGAATTCCATATTCCGATCAGACAGGATCTTTTTGGTAATGGCACTACGTAATGAATGTTGATACAGCTATATATATATTAGATGCTTCTAGTGAAAAAAAACTTGTTTTTACTTTCTCTTAATTTAATTAAAGAACGAAATGTTGCGATTCAATCAATCTGCATCGCCGACCGTTTACTTGGTGGATTCTCGGTTATATGGATAAAACCAAGAAGTATTTAAAACCCAGGCTAAAACCATATTTAAATTTAAAGCAGTAATAACATTGATTGTATTGTGAGGTTAGCATATCAGGTAACATTTACTAAAGTATAGGTCGTCGATGCAAATGCGTTCTACGCATTGGTTTGCGTCAGAGACGCGACAGTTTCCGGCATGTTTTACGCTATGTACCATATCTTATCACAGAACAGCTGAATCCGAAAGGAAATATGCTAACCACCGAAGCAGCATAATAATCAATGTTTTTTCTGCCCATGAATGTGCTTTTTGTTCGTAATTAGAAAACATATAAACTCAGTCTATAGGTAGCAGATATAGATGTTAATGATTTCTTTGGGTACCGAACGGCCGAAACTAAATAAAATGCCCTTGAACAAGCAAAACAACTCTGATCTGCTATTATTAAAAAGAAACGGTATAGCTATTAGCTTTATCCATTCTAATGGAAATTAGGAGCACCCTCGCTAATATGACTTATAACACTGATTAAATATTGAGAGTTTCCCCGCCTATGTTATTATAAGTGTGGTGATACAATTCTCAATTGGCTATTCTAATCATTTTTGTATTGTTGCATTCTATTGTTGTATAGATATTTTCTAGTTAATGAATATCGTTTTGAATACACTTGCCTTCGTCATTGCATAGATATTTCCTTCCGCGACATAAGATAGTGAGTAGTTTGGTTGCAGGACGACATATAGTAGATTAGTTTCTCCTGTAGCTGGGAGCGCTTGAGACAAATATCGATTCTTTTTTTCAATACCTTGAGTTTGTTTAGTTTTTAGTATCTTATTGGTCTTGAATGTCAATTCTATTTGGTTTTTGTAACGGAAACAAAGCTTTGGGTTGAAGTATTGCAATTAGTAATCAGAATCGAATTTTACCAAATGCATAACCTCAGACGATGTATATTTGCTGAATGAGATCATATGATCAATTCAGAAGATTATTTCGAGTTGCTTTTTATCGGTAGTTAGATCTTCAATCGGTCAAATCAAGAGTTGGAGGGAAAATCTTTTACATAATAAGACATGTTATAGATTTCTGAAGCCTATTTTGTAATCCTGTTTATTATCAACCTATCTACTATGCCTTCTTTGGTCATTCAGGGAGAATTACGATCTCTTGCAAGAGCATAAAAACATTACCATTTAGTCGGCGACGATATTTTATTCTTGATATCTACCCATGTCATCAATATCACGTAAAAACATCAGATCACGACTTTGAAACGTTTCCTTGTATCAGGTAATATACGAAACACGGGCATTGTCTGTGCCCCTCATCTGTAGTTGCCACATTCGAAATGAATATGAGACATTCTGAATAATGTAAATTTTCTATACACACTTGTTCAGTGCTATTTTTTACAAAAAGTTTTACCTGAAATATGAGAAGTTAGTCGTACTTGTGATTATGACGTAATTAGGAACAAGGCAGTCCAAGTCGAAACACACGCGTTCTTTGTTGAATTATGCAGTCATTTTACTTCAAGGGATAAATACATATGCATGATCTAATCATGAAGGATGAAGGCTCAGTGGTGTGCGAGTGGTCAGCGCATGTAGCTTCTGTGGTTAAACGGCACGCAGGATAGTACATTTGGGGATCAATTACGGATATATATGTACCACTGAATGCGGTATTAGGCTAAATTTACGGAATGGGGACGTATTGTTCCACCAAAATATTTTTTAGTTTGCTTGGTTATTACTAAACTTGTGCTCTATTGGGTTGGATAAAGTTCTCAAAATATAAGAATGAATGGAAAATTATGGTATCTATGGTTGAAGTGGCCACTGTGTGAGATTTGTTGTCGTACGAGGATATGAGACGCAAAACCTCACATTATTTTTGAATGTAAAATTATTACCGTTATGCTAACCAGAAAACTGTTGGTAGTTCAAGTAATGGAATTTAGTTAGAGGACATTCGACGATTCGCAAGTCCAGAGTGAAACCGGGAATTTTTTTTCAATCATAGTCAATGGGGAATGAAGATTTCCTGGACTACAGAGAAATTCTTGCTATATTTTACAATCGTGCATTAATCATTGACATGACCAAACCAAGTTTAAATCTTCGAAATCACAATTTCGTTTCAAATTATCGGAGCACTGCGATTGAAAAGTTATGGCAACCGATGTTAGTTAGCCTAGTCTGCAACTATTCAGAAAACAAAGTGACATTTAGCTTATTTGATTTGAACCTAAATTTTAGATTGAATATATACAAACTGTCGAATAAAACCAAAAATTAGGGAATCGAGTAATTGTTGACGAGCGTGCCTGGTATCTGTCAAAATGAAAGAGTCGTTTCGCCGGTTAAGTTTTAATTATGACCCCATCGACAACTTATTGCTGATTAGTCATTATTACGGAAAAACAAGGAAGTCGATGCCCTAGAAAAAAACATCTATTGTAATGTGTAGGCGCAGGGAACAAGAATCGGAGTCTCACAAACAACTACATGATATATTCTCAAAATGCAAACAGATCTTATTTTAAATATGACATAAATAAACGTCAACTTTCCGTAGTGGCCGTGTAGACGTATTAGTGTTTGGTCTCTGATATATTCAAAATTGGACACATAGCGTCGCTGGAGAATAGTCTTCACAATTCCATAGTTATATACAAATAATATGAAGAGCTAGCGGAGTAATTCCAATTTCAAAGGAAGTCTTTACGTTCATTGGGCACATTGGAAAATATTAACCAAAAATTTTGAAACCGAAATTAAACAGGATTACAAGTTTTTGAATAGGCGTAGTTGAAGTGATGACCGTAATGGCTGTTTGGTAAAGTTCAAAATTCATTTTTGCCGAAACTGATACTGATCGTACATGTGTGATAATAAAAATATGATGCTATATTTTTTTTACTACCTGAAAAGTCTAGTGTGATGTCACTTCGGAACATGATGAAATACATTATGACGTAATAATGAAGGGTTTTCCATTCCTGAAAATATTTTAATGCAACATAATTGAATTTTATGAATATTCTGATGGCATAATGCAAGATGTAATGACCGCCATGGTAACCATTAGTGACATGGTACGCCCAAAGCGTATATATAACACGGCTGGCATCCGCATACGTACGCATAATGGAAACGCGTAGTGTGAGACTATTTTCCATGCATGTGCAGCGAGGAGGACTAGGCACTATTTGAAGTCCTTTTTTCGACTGACCATGCTCCAACAATAATGCTCTCATCACATAATACTTTTTGCTACAGCTTAAAACCAACGTGCGTGCTTTAGCTATTACAGTCGGCAGTTTGCATTGCTGCACTAAGTAAATTAGATTACGCATGACGTTTTTTGATTGCAGTAGCCACATCGCAACTTACACTTATCGACTTCATTACAATGTTTGAGAATAGTTTGTTTGTATTTATGTTTAGAATGTCTGAAAATGCTTGAATAATGTATTTCGACTGTGTGCAATGTGAGTTTCCATACAAACTTCTAGTAATGTTTATATTTAATTCAGTAAAAATATATGGTGCTGAAATTATATTCTTTTACTCTGCTCAAACCAGGAGTAAAGTTTCGCCCACACCCTAAGCACATGTGTTACCGTTGATTATACACGAAAATTAATCGTTGCTGTTCAGTGTCGAATACCCCTTCATGTTTACTGCTGCTTTTCAGAGTAAATATTGAGTTTTCTACTCATCTTGCATTTGTTTGTTCCATTTACGTTCATCATTTGTTGCATCACACTATACAATTCTGTCGACTAAAGCCGATTCAGCACGTTCGTCATTACAGTCATAAATCAGTGTTTTACCAGGTGGCGGAGAGTTTGGCAAGTGACCTAACATTAGAGTCGAGTCAACAAAATTCAACAGTTTAGACTTAGTCTACGACTTTACTTTTTGTAGCGCAATACCACATGTTGATTTGAAGGTAGAGACAAAACTAGTGTACGATCTTTAGAAATCAGGTTTTCACATCATTTTACACGCACACAAAAGACAATTTTTAATAATTTGATGGGTTTTTCTGTCTTTATCGGAAACAGAACTGCAGTTTCATTTCAGTTTCTACGAACAGTTGTTAGTAACAATGTGAAATAACTTTCTCGGATTGGTTATTAGAAGTAGTGTTTGAATAAATAAAGTGGTGCACGTTATGTTTATCTAAAATGTATTCATTTGTGGCTCTGAATAAACCATCAAAATCGGTAGTCATATTTATATTTTCCTCTCAGTAGGTGCATTGTGCTTTAGGCTTCGGTTCAATTAAGCGATAATCGCTGGACTAGACTATCTGGTCCAGCCCACATTCGCCAATGCTCTACACGGGCAAACTACGGCCCGCGGGCCAAATCCGGCTCTTTGGGCAATCCAATATGGCCCGCCTGATGCAACCGCAACCAAACTAAAACCACATTTTAATGTTTTAGTTAAAAATAACTCAAGGAATTTGTTGAAATTGCGATTAAATTTAGTTTCGGCACGAGTCTTATTGTTTTCATTTTTGCTTTTGTAACATTGTAAATATTGTACCTAAAATATAATTTTTACCTCACACTTACATGGCCATCCAGTATAGATGGGCAAAATTCCTGGCCACTACTCCGAAAACCTTGCTCACCCCTGTAGTCTACACTTTACAGGCATTGTTGATAAAGCTGAACTTAATAAATTTGCTGCTGTGTTGATTCTTATGTAAATTATCACTCTCTGTTTTTTTTCATTATTAATTGTTCATTCAGTTTACAACTATTATAAAATTCATATTTGACAATACGCATGAATGTGGTGTTCCTGATTGACCTTATCAGAACAACATTTCACAACGTGATTACGCTCATACTATTGTGTTAATTTCTGCTTTCGACGTCTGATTCGAATGCACACAATGCGGTTTTCAGTTTGACATTAGTCACAGGATGCACTGTTAAGTTAGACGTAGGGTTGAGTCTTATTACGAACAATTCAACAACACAGTTGAAAGTTCATCTTCGGATGCACTGCCTTCGCTCCAGAACTGTGTGTACCAATATGGAGGTATTTAATTTTGTTTGCCTACTTTACATCAAGTTGTGCAAGGGAACTGAAACCTATGGGCAAAGAGTTCCCGAACTTGTAATTGAACTAAAATGAGGAAAATCGGAATAAAATTATGGCCTAACCCTAACCTGGTACACACACTACGGGAGTACCACACTGCCGGTGAAATTTATTTTGCCTTTAATCATGTTACCGGCATGGAATGTTAGGCTTATGTTCCCCCAAATTGACAAAACATTAAGCGAAAGTGATTTGTAGATTTATATTTCTATATTACTAGTTACTCAGTTTTCATATCGTTCTTTTCAAAATTTTATTTGCTTTTATAGCGATCATGGAAATATGTTTGGTTTCAAATAACATTGCTAGCTAACATGTGTAAGTTTGATAAAACACAAGTAGGATTGGATTATAATCACCAGAGTTAGCAAATTAATCTTGATTTTTAAAACTGTCGGATATTTCAAATACCCATGGCAGAAAACAACGACCTCGACGAAGATATTGGCTCGTTCATAATCCGACTGAAACTACCGGAAAATTACATCAAATTTTTTCACGATAATGGATTCAAAACGACGGGTGATTGCCGTGAAATTGACGAACCGATACTCAAAGCCATGGGAATAACTCTTCCAGGTAAATATTATGATGAAGCTAGTAAAATGTTTATGCTGTACTGATTACTGCCTACGTAGAACCATATGTCATTCGCTTAAACCGTGCACATAGCTCTATTTGTTATTCAAACGTTGATTGATCATTCACTTACTAAAGAAGTTATTGAAACCTCGACTATAAATTGATCTGAAATTTACAGATCAGCACAGCGCAAATTAGCGTTTTCTCCCGGTCCAGGGGTGTACCCAGGGGGTGGTTCTACGGGTCGGAACCCCCCTTTCGCAATGTAAAAAAGGCATTTTTCTGTGACATACACAGCATTTTTCGTAGATTGAAACGCATTTTAGACCCTCAAGACTTCTAAAACCCCACGTTTTCCGGACCCGCTAGTTGTTACGGTCGGGCAATTAGAAAATCAAAGTCCACCACCCCACCCCCGTTATTGAAAATTCCTGGTTAAGACCCTGTTCCTATCCATTGAATTGTCAAAATTTCAATCCTGACATGTATTATGAGACATACGAAATGCTACACAATACCTCTTATATATCAAAGTTTCAGTAGCGTCAGGGACTAACAAAGACTTACTACTAACTTACTCGAACAAATAACACCCGATGAAAACTAAGGACTGCGTTAGCAATGGACTAATATTCCATTGAAGTTAGCTACCTTATGACATCAATGTGTAGTTTCAGTAATGGTAAGATCGACAAACATGCATTTCACAGTGGTTACGCAGGCCAGTTAGTACATGGAACCGAAGCCGTGTGTTGCAATTTGAATGTTTTCAATTGTACGAACATAGTGTGAATTATGGTAGCTTGTAGCTGCATTAGATCAACGCAGTTTTGCTGAATTTATGCCAAAAATTGTCGAGCATATATATTTGTTGCAAAATTTGTCAGAGTTATTTAACCGTTCGGGCTGTAGCACATTGCATACTAAATGTGATGACATATTACGTCACCAGTCAAATCACGAGTTTAAGCAAATAACCCGCTTGTTTATACATGATGTGCTTGTTACTACCAAATCGATATTGTGACCAAATAAGTACAAATAACCGTACTCTGGTTCGAGATTAATTAACAGTAGCTTTTCATTTTAAATGGGTTCGTTTCGACTTAAAAAGAGCGGCCAAATTCATTCTATGTCGATAGTAGCATGTTAAAATCGACAAGCTTACCGGAACAAGCGTCAATCGCCAGTTTTTCATACGTGTTAACTGTACTCATATATCGGCATCTTAGGTAAGAACAAGCAGTATTAGATTCAGGTTAATTGTTCATAGCACAGCCAGTAGCTGCTGATCCAATGTCTTTCCGCCTTTGGTATTAGTCATCGGTTACGCATACATATTTTGATTGTGTTTCGGTTGCTTACTTGAGTTGGCTCAATGATTATGATGCTCATATCAAAACAGCGGATGCAATCACACGACGTCTTAGATGGTTAGGTACATAGACGTCGTCTTATAATATTAGCCAGTATTAGTTGAAGGCTATTGCGTTGCAGAAATAGGCGATTCGTTTTGGTGGTTAGCCCGCGTTTAATTATGTGCAGCAGTATCAAGATTCCCGAAACATGCAAATAAATAGGTTTTTATTTTTTTCATTATGTGCCGATGTTCGATAAGCAGTATTGGTTTTCCGCGTCTCCCTTCACCCTGAAATGCAATTTCTTTGTATATACCTTATTGTAATTTGTATGCCATGAGTGCCTTTTCAGCATAAACTACTGACTACTGATTACAATAATAATTGAAGATCGTGTTCCAACAGCAAATTTTCGGCAATATTTATTTTTTTAAATGTTTTATCGTGTACTAAAAATCTATTAATAACTTCAAATCAGATGCTCTTCAATCTTCCCCGTGTGTACTTGTATGTGCGAAATCTAGTGAAGCAAACCAGTTACTTTGACTACAACTGGTCATAACGGAATTGAGATAATTATTGGTGCCAACTGTCAGGGAAAGCTTAGACTGCTAGCATTTATACAAGATGTTATTACATGTATATATATAGTTAAATACTGTAAAAATATTTGTCATGCAAGATCATTTTCGGGATTACATGTCATGAATAGAACAGTCCAGAAAATATCAATTACTTGAAGTGATCGTATATCGCGATATATACTATGTAGTTTAAGGTACACAAATTTCACACTTTTATATCCACGATATAGAACTTCGCTATAAAATTATCTTCGCTTACTATTTCTCACCAAAATAATAAGGTTATTGCGGAGAGAATCAGATGCATTGACTATATGACCTCGCACTCTGCCATTTTCATATGTTCTTAGATGTTTATGACAATAATACTAAATGACTAAAAAAATTTTTGGTTATACTAAATCGAATATAAGGTAATATTTCTGTTTCCTCGGGAAAACAACAAAAACCAACCCCGGTTGCCAAACGCTGACATATCTCATAAATTGTTGTTGTTTGTAAGAATTTTCAAATTTTATCAAAATCGATTCTTCTCAGATTTCTCGATGATTTGGAGATACTTTTAAGAGTTAAGATTTTAAATATGTTTGGTGTTAAATAATCTCTTTAATTCGCACTGTATAGGCACAGTTTTTGAAAAGCTTTATTTTGGGGAATGTGCATGTGTAAGCCCCATAATTTTATGTAAAAATATATGTATGTCTGAGTACACTTTTTAATTCATAGCTATATTATCCTTCAGGTCATTTTCGACGTATTTTGAATAAGCTGCCAAGATGCGCAGTACGTAAGCCACCAAGAAATCCCAAAATGGATTTATTATCACCTTCAAAAACTGACAGTGATGAAGACGCCGGTAGAAAATCACCCGGACTACAGTTTCTCCCTCTGGCATCCGAACGAACTTCTCAAGCTCATATTGAGCATGGCCCTGTGAAACAGGGGGCTTATTTTCCAAGTACCGAATTAGCCGAAGATCCTTACCTAAATTGGAAAGGTCCGCAACACTCTCAAGAAATTACTACAGCAGATAATCAACTTCGACCTTTAACGCCTCCATCTTTGGAATTTTCGAATCTTCCTGAAGATGCAGCCGAGGAAAGTCCGTATGAAAACACACCAACACATGCCGTAAAACTTCCAATGGAATTACCCGATGAAAAATTATTTGACGACCTCCCACCACCGCCGGATTTACCCTCACCACCGCCGGATTCACCTCCGCCACCGCCCCCAGAGGATCCATATATGATGAGCCAAACGCTTCCGCTTGTCGAAGATGAAAATCCATACTTGACTGAAAATCCGCCCCAACCTTCTGATGACTATAACTTTCTTCACGAAACGCCAAAACCAATCAATATCTTTTTAGAGGACGTATATAACACAACATCACAGAACTACACCGACGAAGGCGATTACGATCATTTAAAAAGTGACACCGAGGGAAGTTTGTCCATTCCCCACTCACCAACGTGCATTGGTGGCGCCGTTGCAAGTATTTTTGCATATGAAACATCGTCGCGCACCAGTTCACTCGAAAGAAATCAGTTCGAGGGTGAGTACGATCTCCTCAACTCACAGTCTCCGAGAAAAGAGATTCCTGTACCCGCATTACTCTCTCCTAAGGAACGTTCTTTACCACGTTCAAATAATTCGAGTGAGTCACACTATGATCATCCTCCCATACATCGTACTGTTTCTGGTGATAGCGAAAAAAGCGCGAAAAACTTGCCTCTGCCGCCACCACCGTGGAAAACAGTCATAGAAGAGAAAAACAATGTGAGCAATAGCGGTGGAGATTGTTCTATGAAAGCTGTTCTGTCGAAGCAAAATTCAGTGCAGTCGACGACAGGCGACGAGACAGATTTCTGGGCACTTGACCATATGGACGACACGAATAACAAAGATGAGGGCGATTACGACACGTTAGCCTTGAACCTAAGCGGTAATACTAACTACGGCTCAAAATCAATGATGCCTCGCACAAAATCGATACAAGGCGAGAACGACGACGGCACGACTTACGATTATGAAGTACTCGAGTATAAGATTCGACGGCCTCACAGTCCGCAGCCTCCGATAGGTAAGCTAGGCGAACTCCCGCCTGTTCCGCATAATACACCGTCGCATGCATTGGATGATTATGACGATGAAGAAGATCAGGAGGCTTCATACGAGGAGGTAGAATTCCAGCCAAAAGATAACAGAAAATTTGTTCCAGCGGCAATTGAAACAAGTATATATGGAAGTATGGATAGCGAAGATCGGGGTCGAAGCATGACTATGAATTCTCAGCCACCAAAGGATAAAAAACACGCTTCAAATAGAAGATTCACTGGTGTTCAGGCTCAACTTCAAAAGGCAAAAGCGGCAGTATCGAAAGTAAAACCAAAAAGAAAAAAGGCTTTAATGAAACTGGGTGATTCTCGAAACCAGTCGTTTAGCGATAATGATAGTGAAGGCAGTGAGATATCATCAACCAGAGGTTCAGCCGATACTTTAAATAAATCTCTCGAAGATTTAACAGCCGTGTCGGATCTTCCACCTGCGTACCCAAGCCGGCATCAAAGACAACCAAGCGATACTTTGCCTCCTGGGGCGAGTATGCCAAGCAGTGGGGCTGGCTTTAGGGGTTCTAGATTAACCAGAATATCACCCGTAACTCGTCGAAAACGAGTTGACGCTCTGTCGTATTCAAGCGGACAAGATTTTCCGAACTCACAACCAGAGGAAGGAATATACGAAGACGTCGACCCAAGACGAAATGGGTTACCAGATATCGGAGTTCGTGATAGATTTAGCAACTTGAAGGAAAACAAGAAACGACCTATCAAAGCACCCAGACAGCGACCTGTATCTGTATTCATGGACCTATCGGTGAGTTTGTAATTTATTTAATTGTTGTGACAAAAACTATTTCCAATTACCCTCGTTTTTACAACTAGCTCTATCAGATCATACTGTTCATTAAGGCGAGCAGGCTATTCTCCTATGCAGGGTGTCGTAAATATAAAAAAAAAACAGAATCGAGGTCATTTGTAACATAGTCTGGAGCAGTTCGGACCGGGGGTCAAAAATTTTGCCCACCTAGACTGGCGGGCCATCTGAGTGTGACGTGAAAAGTTACATTTTATGAACAATATTTATAATGTTACAAAACCAAAGGAGGAAAACAATAAACCTCGTGCCAAAACTAAATTTAATCTCGATCTCAACAAATTCCATGTACTATATTTTAGCTAAAATATCAAAATTTGGTTTTAGTTTGGCTGTGGCAGCATCAGGCGACAGGCGGGCCAGCTTGTATAACCCAACCGGATTTGCCACGCGGCCATAGTTTTCCATGTCAGGTTTGGATAGAACAAAACGTTAGGCAAATCGTCCTAGATTACTTTTAGGTACAATCATACACAAACAAAAGTTGTTACAGAGTTGAATAAATTTTCTACCTTTTCGTGGAGGTATTTAAGAAATTTACCGGTTCTGTTTTTAAATCCTCCTGTACTGCCTAATTTCGGGCAAAGTTCAAATTCATTCACAATGCTGTTCAAATATGTAAGTCATGTTTATAGCTCTAGGAGTCTAGATTGTGCCTGATTTCAATCAGAGCTATGATTGGACTCGAACCCCGAATTTCAAGACACTAGCCCAGAGTCCTAAGTCACTGAATTGAGGTCCTTTTTCGAATCTACGCCCGTAAATCTGCGTCAATTAAAAAAACTTCAAATTATATTAGACAGCGTGTCTATCTATCTATTCAGAAAGTATAATACTTTTTACGGCTTTAAGCAGGCTGGATTCGCCAATTTAAGCTTATTTCAGTACCAGATCAAAATTTTAACCATTACTGCAAATGGAAACATTGACAATAACTATTCAGAAATTACAGTTATAAATACCTATAATCAATGAGCACTGTTCTTCATTACAGTTTTTGTAAATCTTAATTATGCAATCTGAGCCTGCACATATATTTTTGAAATGCCACCGCCCACTTCAGACAAATATTCAAGAAAGCTTCGAACGTTTCCTCTTTAGCCATTAAATAACATTCATCAGTTTTGAACAGACAAGTTAATCTTTGGTATTTCGTTCAAACTGTTTTATGTGGGTTCTAAAAGCTTGAGCAGTGGTTTAGTTTAGAGTAAGAGGCGTTTATGGAAAGTTCCAACAATATGTATTAGGTTCAAGTATAGGTGTATTATAGTTCATTCAGCAACAATATACAAATACCAAAGCATAAAATTTTGAAATGCTGACATGCAGTGTCATTGTTTAGACTTACTTGACTAATGAGTTCTCCTTCATGTTTGCTATGATTCTCAATACGCCCCGCGTAGTACAAGATATTTAGCGCTCAAGAAGTGTGTGTACCAATATGGAGGTAACAATTTTGTTCGCCTACTTCATATCGAATAGTGTATAGGTACGGAAGCCTATGGGCAGGAGTATATTTACTTGGCTAACACAGACATAACCCTAACTGGTAATAGAACTAAAATAAGGAATATCGGAATAAAATTATATGCACTGCGGGAGTACGGGATATTTTTAGTATCATGATAAACCAAATTATGGTTTATAAAGCTGTAAATGCTTCGAATTAGACTGAATGTAAACGCTACTGGAATCCTACATAGCGCCCTTTAATCCCTTTAGGCACTTGAAAAGCAAAACACATGCAAATAAAATGTATCTTGGCCGAGTATCCAAAGTATATTGTTAGATTATATTAGTAAGTGTGGGAGATTTTCCCCAACTCATATTTGCACTATTCGATACAGTGTAATCATGATTTGACACATATTTTACCTATGGCCCATTCTTGTTCAAGCAAGATGAATTCACCATGAAACACCGGAAAATATTTTCTTGTATTTTCAATTCCCACTGCGGCAGAATCGGAACAATTATATGACCAAAGTCTTATATTCTCACGAAATGTTCAATTACTACTAAAAATATTCAGTATTATTTGCAATAATAGCTATCTAATAATGACTGCCTTTTGTGCGGCGTAGGTATTTCTTTACTTTAAAATCACAACTTCCTGATGGAAGTCTTGCAAGGCTGAATGTTATAAGAAAACTAGGAGCAATAGGAAATTTTATTCTTTCGAGTTACGATTGGTGCATAACATCACGTATACCATCTGTTTTGACGTGACGTACCTTAGGGCTTTTCCTGATTTCCGGTAAGACTACCAGGCTCATAATTATCCCCTTATATTTACATGGAAGAATGAATAAGAATTGAAAAATTATGACTTTCTTTAGGAAGTGCCTCCGTACCATTCATAATTTCTTCCTTGTTGGTTTCTGCGCCAACTTTATACTTTAGCTTTAGATCTTTAGCTACCAGTTCTTTCAAAACTATAGTATCTGCTCATCTTAGCAGTGGCTGCATGTGCAGGGCCTGGTTCGTAGGGGAAGACGTGTAAATACACTGATCTAGTAAGAACCTTGCAACTCGCGAATTCTCCTTTGGGTGATTCTCAGTGCAATTTTTTCCTCTTGTGATATAAAGAGTAGATTAGAGTTAAAAACATGGATGTGGATTATTTTTTACGTATGGAAAGGATAAAAGAGATTATGGTGGATGCAAAGAAGGAAATAGACGACGAGGTCTATCTTTTTATATTTCATCACCGCACATATCTAGGAAAAATTCTATAGTCATTTTTTTTTATAACTTATACAATTAGGATGAAAAATAAATAGGATAGGAAGCCGGAGACAGTTACTCATTTTTGGGCGGTTTGAATTGTGACAATATATGTTGAAACAATGGCCATGGTTGGGAGACTTAAAATATACGCGTGCTCATGTTTTATTCATAAAATGAACTCTAGGATGGAATTTGCTATTTGTCATGGTCACGCAGTTCGCTTTCCATCATTTTATTGGCATATGGTAATTATTAACTATTTTAATGCTACATATGCATGTGCCTAAATGATGGATGAAACCGTCCTCCAGCAGAGGGGCGCGATCACTTCCATAACAATAGAACTTGCGAAGCTGGGTTGCAGTGCGATGGCGAACGTGTTTCGAAGGTTTACCATGATAGGACCACCACAATATTTTGGCGGAGTTTGTCACCATGGCAACGAGACAACCCCAGGAATGGCAGGAATATGTTTTCAAACTAACGATATCAACCACAATTTGTTATCATTTTCATAAATTTTCAGCGATTTCCAGATCACTTTTTCTTTATACAATATTAATACATACATTATCACTCTTTTCAGAGAAATACACAAAGCAGTCTTGCACCAGCAGAAGATGAAAGATCTCGTACTTATTCTGCGACACTCAAACGTGGTCAAACCATTGAAACTAATTATGAAGAGGAACCAGACGAATATATGGACATAAATGAGTTTCTGAAGCAGGACGCTCCAGTCTTAACCGTGTCTCCACTGGTAAGTGGAAATTCATTTTGTCAAAAGTATAAATTTCGGACTACTTTTTGGATCTCTGCTCTAAAGACTGTAGGGTCTAAACGGATGTCAAATTTTTTACATGGCTTATCCTGCCACCATAATATTATGCTTTTCGCCGAAAGTACGGATTAATATTTCGGAGCGGAGTCGGAGCGATTTCCTTCAAAGGAGGAGTCGAATATGAAGTGGCTCTTGGTTTTGAATCAGGGCCAGTAAATTTTCTTCGATATAATTTTTTTCGATGTACCTTATCCAATTTCGTTCAGAGTTGCATATTTTCACTCTTCGACTAACCTCAAGAAGCATACTATTGCGCTTAAATACCGTGGGAACATATACGGTAAATGATATTATAAATTATGAGCTCAAGGCTTGTATTCATATAATGGTAATGGCTTTCTCCACCATCAAGCCCGTGCATCTGAAACAAATACAGTAAATGGTAATTCCATACCTGACATGTACTGGTAACCGGATGAGATACCGTGGTTTACCATCAAATCGTATTATCGGCTTTGCTCTCCTCCAGAACAAATATGAAAATCCCCTTTTTATACACAATATGCTAGCGTTTATATAAAAATTAAACGATTCTGTAGGCTTCACGGACGCAATTATTGCATCTACAATCCAATTGTTTGCTTTTATTTGATTTTTGTATGAAACGTTTCCACACCTCAACTCTGCACAAGGCTTTGTGCAGGCAACCATCGTGCTATAGCTAGAGTGCAGTCCACAATATGTGTTAAAATCTCAAATACTGATCTTGGTGACTGGGAGGGTATCACACATGGCCGTGCTTGAATGAATGATTTATTGGTTTTGGAGTTACAATAGATACATATTCAGGCATGCTTAATCTTTGCACATATGTAAATCCATATACGAGTAAAAAATAATAAGACAAGCGAACACCGCCCACTTCCGGTTTTTCACGTTTTGTGGTGGCGTAACCGAGCTTCTTATTCGGTTCGGTTGAAAATTCTCCATTCACAAAATACTCGCGGATGAATTCGTTCTTGTGTTTTTACGGATACACAAAAGCGAAGTTTGCTATGTTCACAAAGAAATGTGACATAAACATTACAATCAGGTGCCAATGAAATTGACTAGACTGCAATTGTTGACACTAGGGGCGCCACGTGGTCGTTGCCCAATTTTGACCGTTCCTACAGAATGAGTAATTTACATTAACGATTAAAATAATAATGAAAATATACAAGATATGTTGTATTTTAAATTACAACTTGAAATCTAACTGAGCCAAATCTAGAAATGGTAAAAATGAAGTTATATGTAATTAAATGTAGTTTTCTAGTGCTAAAAAAATCCTGAAAACAAAATAAAAAACGCGGTTATGAGTACTGTACCCATTTCATTCCAATGTACAAACGACTTTTAAAAATTTTCACACAGCGACATGAATGGTAAATAAAATCTTTCGCTTCATACCGGTTTCCCACTTCTTACCGGATTCGACTCCAATAATCCGATTGTATTCATGTCTGGCGTCACTCTTGCCTGCTGTGGAAAGTTACTAACTTATTCGTTATTGCGATACGCTTGATGTAACAACGGGCAATTTTTCCACGAAATTGCATTAGGTACGTGATATGCTGTATCGATTAACATAAATCTAAAACTACGACGCATGTGTCACCACTCGTTCAATTAATTTTGTGAGCCAACGTACCACTAGGAAATGCTTCTATCACCACTGGCCATAGATGAACCTTCTAGCTTACCTTCTTACCTTAAGCTTCTTACCTTCTTACCTGATAGCTCGAATATGTGTGGGATTTTTAAAATAAAGCGAACATGTGAAAACATTCGAGTTTATATTATAATTAATAATATTGAAGTCTTGTTTTTACAGATAATCTAAATTTATTTAATTTGGAAAATGTATCGATTTGAGTATAAAAATAACAATATTTATCTTCACTTATTGCACTGTAAAATCGTGCTACTGGTTTTACCACTACCAATACAAACATTCATGTCATTTCTCATTCAAATTATTATTACAAATCGTTTGATAACAGTGGCTTCATGTCTCCATTCCAAAACTACAATTGTTTGCATAGAAATTATTGGACTAGTGCTTTAACCACAGGATCATTTAAAATACGATATTTGGGTTTTTCCGATTTCTTACGTGCTGACAACAGATTTTTTTTTTTAATTCGGGATTTTCTCAACCTCGAATTTTCCGAACCGTGCTCATGTGTGCAAACTATACAATCATAAAAATAACTGCAAATAAGCTATGTTTTTTAAAATTACAAGCATGCACGAAAATCCTTTCGTGATCTATAATATTTCACTCCTCTCACGATTCAGTCATATGCATATGTATTTGGAGACAACATTGACATTGATGCATAATAAATGATTCAATCTCATTTATCAATTTTCTCTTAGAATATTCGTAATGACAAGCTTGTAACTGTAATTTTGGCAAGACATAGATAACACATGGTCCGCGGTAAAAATATACTACACCTTTCAACATATGCAATAGTGAAAAAATGAAAGGTCGCGTGACGTAAAACACCAGCATGGCTATTGATCATATTATATATATTCGAGCCATGTTTATTCCAACGATAAAGTTTCATTTTATCCAATCCACTATCCTATTTTTAGGTAAGAACAAATTACGGCAAGCATGTATCATGCTTGGTATAACATGACGTAGTCGTGACGTAGATAATAATTAATAAAACTGGACATAAGACAGCTATGAAATGTGAATTTTGTGAAATATTGCATTGATTTACTTTTAAAATAGTCTGTGCCATCGTAGCAATTCATACATCGTAGCAAGCTATAATAAATAATTTAAATTAAGTTTTTACTCGTGTAATTTGGTAGAATCGTTTTTCAAAGTCGAATTGAAGTAGTCAGTGTGCTAGACAATTGCCAGGGGAATTATTTAACGGTTATTTCACGCATTATAGTAACGGATAATGGAATAATTATGATATAAGAAGTAATGATATACCCTGAATGAGATTTAGTTGAACATTAATAGTTGGGAATATTTGGAGATGTTATTTTTAGAAAGATAAGCAAGGTAGTTTGGAAGTAAGATATCGTCAGCACGACTTGAAAATTTACTTTTCTGCTATATTTATATCAATATACTCTGTGTTAGTTGTTTAAAATATGATGGTATTTTTGTAGTATTTTTTCAAATTACTTATCTCATAAGTATGAACCATTTTGCTATATTTTCGATGTAAAATGGTTTAACTTACAGTTGCATACGTAGATGGAATATCAGATAAATGTGCGCGATGAGACCAATGGTACATACCGTGTTCAGATGTACTTGACGTTGCCGTTCAGATTATAGATGCATGGATTAACGTTCAATGTTAATCTCGTTACGTATGGTGTAGTAAATTAAATGAGCAAGCTGAAACAAAGACTCGGAGGTACTCCCGTAGTATGTGTAGTGTGTACCATGTGGTTGGGGTTAGGCCATAATTCTTTCTGCGTTAGTAAAGTGAATATACCCCCTGCTTATAGGTTTCAGTCCCTTTACACAACTTGATGTAAAATAGGCGAACAAAATTAGTTACCTCCATATTGGTACACATACTTCTGGAGCGCCGACTCGGGTTTTCGGGCAATCTAAATTTAAATAAATTTCACCGATACATGTAGAATCCTTCAAATATTGTTTGAATTATTTGTTATCCAGATGAAGCACGGCGATTTTTATTGGCACGAAATAATTCAGTCTTCGATTTTTAACCAAGACAAGTAGTATTTGTATTCATGTCTGATCGATACTAAAATCAATAGTTTCTTTGATGCTATTCTTCCAATCAATTGTCACCATGTTTTAAGAAAATTTGATTTTTCAATTTATACCAGCTCGTAATCTCTTTCAGTAATTACACGGGTCACCTTAGTCCATATCGGTGCCAAGAGTCCATAGTATGATATCAATACAAATCTTTTGGGTATGCACTACTGCAGTAAACGGGCAAATGCAGTCTGTCACGGTAGCCTACCGGGACCATATCGCACATTAGCAGCAGCTTTGACCCTACCCGAAAGCAGAACCGCCACAAGGAGTGCAATTGCGAAAAGTAAAATCTTTAACCACTGAAAATTTAAAATCAATGATCCGGTAATCAATGAGTAATAAGAATAAAAATTTTTTTTTAAATGGGAGATAAATACTAACAAGGAAATTAACAACAAAATGATCAATAGGTTTACTTCGCGTCCAATAAGAGGATATATTTGGCACCTGTATTTTTTACAACATAGCTGAAGAGTAGGATTGGAAAATTTCTACTTGAATGATCTTCATTTATGATATTTTGCTACTATAGCAGCAACATGTTTGGTTTCATGGTGCTATACTGCTAATCAAGTACACGCTTTCATCGATAACATATGGATATGGTCTATTCCATTTCAACCTGATATTTTCAACTCTATCCTTCCTGATTAAACGAGAATACGATAGAATAGAGAATACGAAGTAAATAAAAGTCAATTACCCACTCCAGTATATTTTATGAGGGATTTTTATTGAAGCAAATATTATCATATTTTCTCAAGAATATAACAATATTACTTCGTTTACCATATGCTGACCACAAAATAAATTTTGGAAATCACGTTTTGTTATTTGTAATATGGTACTTATAATAGAAGAGGTGATGCTCATGGTTATTTACTTTTTCTGCGCTATATTTTTGGGGAAATTTTTCGACAAATATAAAAGCACCTGATTTTGCCACCGTTGTCCATCTGTGTTTGCCAAGAAATTACTTGATTGTTTGTTACTCCGCGCTGGACTTCGATGTAGCTAGTTATTGATGACAGTGTATTACATTTAATGTGCTTCGAAATAATAAAAGAGTTTTATATGAGTGTTTCCGATTATGGGTGGGAAAACATAATCTAAGTTGATAAGTTGATTTCAATTGTTCATATTTGCTTCTTTGAGT